AAAAACCAAAGTCCACATTTAGTGGCAAATCCTTCTTTATTATATATACCCTTATAGTTGCCACACTATACCTAATTAGGTATATACAAGGGCTAGGTATATATAATACATATTTCTTTATATGACCTCCACCTTCCAACAGCTATTAATTCCTCTAATAGTTAAGTATTAAAGCTCGTAGATAGTTAATAGTTAAGTATTAAAGCCCTCTATATAAGCTACTAATTTTTCTAATAATTAAGTATTAAAGCTTGTAGATAGTTAATAGTCAAGTATTAAAGCCCTCTATACAAGCCACTAATTTTTCTAATAATCAAGCGTTAAAGCTTATAGATAGTTAATAGTCAAGCATTAAAGCCCTCTATATAAGCTACTAATTTTTCTAATAATCAAGCATTAAAGCTCGTAGATAGTTAATAATCAAGTATTAAAGCCCTCTATATAAGCCACTAATTTTTCTAATAATCAAGCATTAAAGCTCGTAGATAGTTAATAGTTAAGTATTAAAGCCCTCTATATAAGCTATCCCCTAGATTAAATCTTCACACTTAGCTAGGATTAGGATCCTAAACTCTATAGAATAATTAATATCCTTTTATTAAAGAACATGGCGCCTTCTTATATAGTATACTATACTATCCTCCTCTTTAGGAGCTAATAGTAAATCTAATAGCTCCTAAAGGTCCTTATTAATAATTATATCCTCTTTAGAGCTAGAGGTTATTATTATATAAGCTAGCTCTATCTTAACTAGATATACACTATTAATATTCTTATTAGAAGCCTTAGTAGTAGCCTCTTTTAGTATAATAGAGAAGGAATATTTCTAGGAGATACTTTATATAGGGCTAGTCTCCTACTTAATCTTAGGCTCTAGCTTAATCTTTAATTTTAGCTTAATCTTAGGCTCTAGCTTAATCTTTAATTCTTACTTAATCTTAGGAGCTTAAATAGAGGGGTCTTAGATAAAGGAGGTCTAGATAGCTAGAGCTTATATAGATAATAATTTTTATTTTTTAGCTATTATCTCTACTTCTAGTAAGCTTAGAGGAAGAATTTAAAGAATAACTATATATATTCCCTTCTTTATATTAAAATACTAGAGGATCTTATTTACTAATTATAATATATTATATAAGTCTAGAAGATAGATTAGCCTAGGATATAGCCCCCTAATATCTATAGTAAGATATAAGCTATCTATCTCTTATACTATATATAATCTAAATTCTTTAAGTAAGAAGAGCTTAATAAAGTGCTTATATAATAAGACTAGTACTAGTTAGATATAGGCAAGAGTACTCTCTATATATTATAATTAGTAATAAAAATAAAGTAAAGGTAAGGGTTTTTACTTAAGTTATTTATAGATATAGGCTATAGTATCCTATTATTCTCCTATTACTATATAATCTAGAAGTATATAAGGACCTTATTAAGCCTTCTAAGCTACTACTAGGTTTTAGTATAAAGAATTAAGTCTTAATAATACTACTTAGATACTATAGTATATTAATTAAAGTATTTTAATTAAGATAAAGGTATAGTAAAGATTTAATTAGCCTTTTAAGGGCTTAGTAAAGATAAAAGGAAAGTAAAAATAATAAGATTAAGTACTTTTACCCTATCTAGGATAGGTTCTAGCTTTATATAATATATAATAGGAAGAGGTTTTTATCTATTTATTCTTTTTTACCTAAGGTAGGGCGGATATATATATATTATATATAAAGGAAAGTAGTAGTAAAGAAGTAATTAAAAATATATAAAAGTTTTCTATACTAGTTTTCTAGTTCCTCTAATTAATCCTAATTATACTTTATATTAATCTCTTATATAAGCTTAAGATCCTCCTCCTTATTCTATTATAGAGCCTAATTAAAGGCCCTAGTTAGAGATTAAGATAGTTAGAGAATTAGCTAGGTTCTAGCCTAAATATAAACCTAAATCCTTAAATAAAGCTCTAGATAGATTATATAGAATAGAGTAAGTATATAATCTTTAGTAATAGGTAGTAGTTATTAGGGATTATATAATAGCTATAGTAGCTAGTTTTAAGTCTAAGAATAAGTTTCTAGAGGTAGATATTTATTAATATCTTAGTCCTATATATTATCCTATAGGTGCTTAAATAGGTTTATATTAAACTAAATTCCCTAATTCTTAATACTAGTAGCTAGGAAGTTATAGTTTATATATAGCTTCCTAGGTATAAGATATAGATAATTTAGTTACTTATAAATAGAGTACTAGTTTCATATATATATAAAGGATCTAATCTAAACTTAAAGAACTAGTATATAGATTATATATAGAGTAATCTAATTACTAAGGTTATTAGAAGAGAAGTTCCCCTCTTCTTAAAGGCTATAAAAATATTCCTAAGTCCTTAATTAGTTATTATATATGGTAGAAGAGTATATACTTACCTAATATTAAAATAGTATTCTATATATTAGTTAAAGCTACTATATCTTAATCTACTAATTAGCTATACTTATACCATATAGATAATAGTCTCTAATATAGATTTCTAGATAGAGAGACTATTAGAGCTTATACTATACTTTAATAAGAAGAATTATCTCTATACTATAATTAGATTATATAAAGCAAGGCTGCTACTATATAACCTTAAGTATATTAAGGAACTATTAAAGTATACTAACTACTATATAAGAGCTAATACTAATATATATCTAGATAATATAGTAAGAATAAGTATTAATTACTATATATATCTTAATACTATATAGGGCTAGCTTAAGATAGCTATTAATTAACTAGATAAAATTTAGCCTAGGTATAATATAGGCTCTATTATAATATTAAAGATCCTAAAAGTATTATTATATAGTAGTAGGAGTGAGCTCTTTATATAAAGAGAATAGTTAATCCCTAGTATAGAATATTAGTATTTATTTACTAGTAAACTAGAAAGATTTTACCTAGTTAATAAGAATCCTTAATTCTTAAAATATTAATAAAGTATTCTCTAGTTATAGCCCTTAATTTAATCTATATTAAGGTCTATATAAAGTTAATTTAGTACTTAATTAACCTCTACTTAATCTATAACTATATTTATTATATATTAATAAAGTCCTAGTTAGTATTATATATATTTTAATATATAAGTCTTAATATCCTAGCCTTTATATTATAGAATATAAAGTATTTTAACCTCTAATAGGCTAACCTAGTATATAAGGACCTTAATTTATTTTTTAAGAATTATATCCTTTAATACTATATAATTTACCTTCTAGATACCCTATATTTAAAGATAAAGTTTAATTGTTATATTACTAACCTAGATCCTATATTAATTATAAAGTAATTTAGTAATATCCTAATAGGAAATATTTATATAATAAAGATAAGAGATCTCCTCTCTATAGGACTCAAGGTTAATAGATAGCTAAGGCATTTTTATATAATTATATAAGGAAGAGGAAGAATATAAGCTTAAAGAGGCTTAATAATTACAAGTTAAGTAGTTAGATAGGCGGTGTACAGCATCCTTATGGTTAAAAACCGTTTTTATCCTTTTGTCCAGATCGTCCCCCGTAGCCACGGCCCACCCCACGGGTCGACAGTCTGAAGCATGGGGTAGACCTCTACTTGGCGCGATCCTCGATTTGAGCGTACAGGATATAGCAAGGTAAGGATAGCTGACTGACTTGGCGACACTCGAGCATTCAGACCCAAATAGATTGATTCAAGCAGGCAGAACATCGTTATTCAAGAATCATGTCTTTAAACCAGAGAACACCGAGCATGCTGGACGCCAACCCCACCTACACAATCCGCGAAGAACCCATCGGAACCCGCCGCGCCATCCGCATAGCATGCATGGGTGCCGGATACTCAGGGCTCATGATGGCAATCGTCTTCAACGAGAAGCTAAAGGGCCGCAGCGCGGAGTTTATTATCTACGAGCGCAATGAAGATCTGGGGGGCACGTGGTTGGAGAATCGGTACGCACCTACCCTCTAATCCTCACTATACCTGCTCCTCAGTAAGAGGGTCGGGGTTTGTTTGGTCTGGTGATTGACTGTTCCTTGACAGCTACCCCGGCTGCAAATGCGACATCCCCGCCCACAACTACGCGTATAGTTTCGCGCCGAACCCCGCATGGCCGAATTACTATGCAACGTCGGAACAGATCCATGCGTATATGCACGATGTTGCGGACAAGTACGAGTGCAAGCAGTATATTCGGTTCCGGCATACCATTCGATCGGCTGTTTGGGAGGAGGACAAGGGCAAGTGGGTGCTTGAGGTTGAGAATGGTGAAGGGAGGTTAAGGGATGAAGTGGATGTTTTTGTCAATGCGGGGGGTGTTTTGAAGTGAGTCTTGGTCTTGCCAGTCCCCGCCAGGTCTCTCCAGCTTGGAATCGTTGGGTTTGTAAGTTGTGAGTTGGGACCAACTAATGAGATGCAGCAACTGGAAATGGCCCAACATCCCCGGCGTCAACACTTTCCAGGGCAAACTCATCCACTCCGCCCGCTGGGACCAAGAGAACGACTTTACCGGCAAAAAAGTAGCCGTAATCGGAATTGGATCATCAGGTATCCAGATCGTCCCCGAACTCGCCAAAGTAGCCGGTTCGCTCGATATCTACGCGCGATCAAGCACCTGGATCTCGCCCGCGCCGGGGATCAACGAACCGACCGAAAACGATCCCGAGATGGACGACGAGTACAACTTTACGGAGAAGACGCTGGAGATATTCAGAGACCCGCATGTCCTAAGAGAATATCGTGCCGCGATCATGGATCGGCGCAGCTCGAATTTCAAGCGGGCTATTGCGGATAGTGAGCTGCAGCAACGCGCGCAAGACCTGTTTCGGAAGACCATGACCGAGCGGCTGGGAGATAGTGACAAGGGCCGCGAGATTGCCCAGCGGCTTATCCCGGACTTTCCTGTTGGATGCAGGCGCCTCACACCGGGGCCGGGGTTCCTTGAGGCGCTGACGCAGGACCATGTCACTATCCACTGGGATGCGATCGCGCGTGTGAACGAGAAGGGCATCATCACCAAATCCGGCGACAACATGCCCTTGAATCTCAAGGAATACGACGTGATCGTCTGTGCAACAGGCTTCGACACCTCCTTCCGCCCCTCCTTCCCAGTCATAGGCCGCAACGGAACGAACCTGGCTGAGAAATGGTCCGAACCACACGTCCCCAAAGCCTACTTCAGCTTTTCCGTCCCCAGCATGCCCAACTACTTCACCTTTATCGGCCCCAACGCGGTGATCAGCAACGGATCGCTCGTGCTCGGCATTCAGGCGACGGCCGTATACATCTACCGCTGGTTGCACAAAATGCAGACAGAGAACCTGCACTCGTTCGAAATCCGGCAGGACGTCACGGACGAATACAACGAGCACATGCAGACCTATTTATCTCGGACGGTGTGGACGCGGAATTGCCGGAGCTGGTATAAGCGCAGCACGATCGATGGACCCGTTGTGGCGATTTATGGGGGGACGACGTTTCATTTTATCGAGGCGGTTAAGGAGCCGCGGTGGGAGGATTTTAGGATCAAGTATGCGGACAAGGGGAATCGGTTCAGGTATTTGGGGAATGGGTTCACCAAGAGTGAGGAGCGCGGAGGGAGTATCGGACGCACACAGACGCTGGACTTTGACGAGTTTTGGGGCTTGTTTGTTTTGCCAGAGATTCACGAGTAGTCTTTCTTCTTTCAGTTAGTCTCTGTTGGATGCAAGTAGGCACGAAGCAGTTCTGGTCATCTGTCTTGTGAAAAACGATATATGCAGCTAGTATCTCTATATACTAGAAGATATCTGCTAGATCCAGCAAAACTTCATGAAAGAGACTGTTCTAGTGGGCAAAAAGGGTACCATGACATCCATTTAGATATGACGTGTGTATACACTAGATCAATGTATCAAGCCATCACCTCCCTCTAGAGCAGCCCTCGACCAAACTGTAGGGGCAGCGAGACTGGCACATTCAGCTTCTTGGCCGCTGCAAATACCCAGTTGGGCTCTCGCAGGAACTGGCGTGCGATGAGAACAACATCAGCATCGGGGCCTTGCGTCCCTTTCATCCCACCCTCTCCTTCCTCCCCCACCTCCCCAACAGAGTCAACATCCGCCCCCTGCACGATATCCCTCGCAGCCTCCGCCTCCCTAATCAGCCCCACAGCCCCAACCAACAGCTCCAGTCCCGCGTCCCGAACCGCCCTCCGAATCTTGCCCGCAAGCGAAACCTGATACTTGGAATGCGGCTGGATCTGCTGATCCTTATGATTGCCCCCAGAACTCACATCCAGCAAGTCAACTCCCAGCCCCGGAAGCAGCATCGCAAGCCGCACCGACGACTCGACGTTCCAGCTCCCCGTCTCCGCCGAAACGGGCGCAGTCTCTAACCACTCCGTCGCACTAATCCGCAGGAACAGCGGTGTCTCGGCGGGGATAGCACCCCTTATCGCAGTAAGCACCTCACAAAGCAACCGGATGCGATTCTCAAAAGGACCCCCATAACAATCCGTGCGACGATTCGTCACGGGGCTGAGGAATTGGTGGATGAGGTACCCGTGTGCGCCGTGAACTTCGATCACGTCTACGCCCGCGGAAACGGCGAGGCGGGCGCTGCGAGCAAAGGCCGCGACGATTTCTTGGACTTGGGGGATGCTGAGCTCGTGTGGTGTGCAGAATGCGTCTTCGCCCGGGGCCCATTTCATCGATTCGCCTCCTGTTGGCGCGGCGACTTTGTCGGGCCACCCGTTGCTTGCTGCGTCCGCTTTGAGGCTTCCTCGGGTGCGACGGGGGGGTTGGGCTTGTCCTTGCCCGTGTTGTTGTTTCGTTTCTTGAGTGTTCTCCTCGTCGTTGGTTTCCTCTCTTGGAACCAGCCACGGCGCAACGGTACTCCCCTTCCTCCCCGCATGCGAAAGCTGAACACCAACCGCACACCCCTGACTATGCACAAACTCCACAAGACCACGCAACCCCCTTAGCTGCTCCGACTCCGCATCCGGGCTATCCTGCCAAAGCCCCGAATCCTGCGGCGAGATACGCCCCGCGGGCAAGACGGCTGTCGCTTCAACCATCACCATCCCAACGCCCTTGGTCGCGAGGTGGCCGAGGTGCGCCGTGTGGAAGGGTGTTAGGGCGCCGACGGCGGGGGAGGTCGCATCGGGCTCGCAGGAGAATGTGCACATGGGGGCGACGATGATGCGGTTCTTTAGGGTTAGGGAGCGGATGGTCAGTGGGCGGAAGAGGGTTGGCGTCGTGGGGGCGGTTGGAAAGAGGGCGGCGCCGGGGGAGTTGGCGGGCGTGAAGAAGGGGGTGTCTGGGGCTCTGGTTGCGTTGGGCATGATTGTGTGTATGTTGATGTTGGGGTTGTTTGGGTGTGGGAAAGACGGGTGTCAAGAGAGCGACAGGCATATATTGCGGTTTTATTTGTCCAATGAGGCTGCAGGCAGGTACTAAGAGACATGGACATGAAAGTCCACCAGATCTGTAAGAGTATATAGCGTCCGGGGGTTCATGAGTGGATCCCCTCCCCCTCCCGATTCCAAGTTCGCTTCTCTATTCCCCTCCCCGGGTCAAACCCATGGGGTTCCTGGTAGGTAGGTACATACTCGAAAGCAGCCTGATGCCAAACTACTCCGAAATCACCCTCATCCCGCCAGTAGGGCCCCCAGAAGCGTCTCTACATCTTCCACACTACCTACATTCCCTAGGATATGCTGATCCGGCCGCACCAAGAGTCCCTTTTCTTGCCCTTGGCCATCCCCGGAGAGCCCGACAAGATCCACCCACTCTGCATCCACAACATCAAAGTCGACCCCCAGGCGAAGAACTCGGATGGGTACCCGCAATTTCTCCACGTTCACAGCCGAAAGGCCAGACTCATTCTCCGGCCCAGAAGATACAAAGAGCGTAAAGGAGGTCCCCTCGGCGAGATCAAGCACAGAGACCGCTCCCTTGATCTTCTTGCCCGGGAGCGAGACCCACGTATGCGGTAATCGTGCACCAGGGACGCCACTGGCGACGTAAACATTGCACGACCGGAGCAAGCTTCCACCTCCTTCCCCCTCTTCTCCCTGCCCATCTCCTCCTCGTCCCTTTGCGAGACTAGGATAAACATAGCCAATCTGCAAATTAATCGAATCAAAATGCTCCCGGTTACTCTCCAGCTCAGCATCCAGCCTCCCCTTCCATCGCACATACTCCTCACCCGCCTCAACATCCGGCGGATCCCTGAGCGCCTCCTTGAGCGCATGCAGCTTCACCTGGTTCTTGACGCTCTGCCGCGCGTTCGCAACGGCGATGGGGCGGCGTTCGGTATTGTATGATGACAACAGTCCTCCACCGCCAGCACGAGCACCGCCCTTGGTATGGCCATTGCGGTTGAAAGTGTCCGTGTCCGTATCCGTCCACCCCTTCTCAACAGCCGCAATCTTCCAGACGAGGTTATGCGCGTCTGCGATGCCCGTGTTCACGCCCAGGCCGCCTGTTGGGGGGAATGCGTGCGCGGCGTCGCCGACGACGAATGCGGCAGAGGGGAAGCGGGGCGATGAGTATGTTTCGGCTGTTCGGGGCCACGTTGACCAGACGGTTATGGATTGGATTTCGTAGGGGACTTTTGAGCCGATGGCCTGTAGAGATGATTAGATTCTTCTTCTTCTTCTTGTTTGGGTTTTGGTAGAGGAAGTGAGGTGAATCTCCAGCCTGGAATTGGTGCTCCGGAACAAATGAGGAATCAAGGGCTAAACAACGAGAAAAGTTGCTCCAATCAAGACTCACATCATCCACCATCTCCCGACAGACCTCGTCCGAAAACCTCTCGCGCGGGGTAACGTTGGGGTCATAATACGTCACAAACATCCAATCCGTGCTGCGCCCATAGCAGATGAACGTCCCCTCGACGCGCGGCGACACCGCCCACAACAGCGTCGCGGGCTTGAACTTGCGGAGATCGGCCCGGATGTGCACGGAGACGTGGTGGACCTCGTTCTGGATATATTCGGGTAGCGGCTCAAAGGGGATGGCGAGCTTGGCGCGGGCGCGTGAGTGTGCGCCGCTGCAGTCGAGGATGTAGTTGCTGGTGATTGTGTGGGTGGTGCTTGCGGTGCGATCTGTGAGGGTTGAGGTGAGCGTTGCTCGGGCATCGCCATTTTCGACCTTCTCCGAGGAAGAGTCACAATCCTCCCACTGCACCCCCTGGTAATACGCCACCAACTCACTCCCCTCCACAGCATCCAAAAGCCACTTCTCGAGCACAGGCTGCGGAACATTGAACAACGGCTCCGGCGTAAGTCTCAGCGTCTCCTCACCCTGCCTCTCATACGGCAAACTCCCCAGTTCCCTCCCCGCCATACTAACCGCAAAGCGCACCGTATCGCCATCGGCCGGCGGTATCCCCTCGCTTCGAAGCCGCGCGGTATCGAGGCCCAGTTGCCGGAAGATCTCGAGGGAGCGCGGGTTGATCGCGTGGGCTTTTAGGGAGGATGTTGTGCGTTCGATGTGCCGCTCGACGATGGTGCTGCGGATCCCGTGCGATGCGAGGAGGAGGGCTGTTGTGAGGCCGCTGGGGCCGCCGCCGATGATTAGGGCGGGGGTTGTGGATGTTGTTGGGAGGGTTGTCATTTTGGTTTTGGTCTTCGTTGTTTGGATTGGGATGATGGCGGAGAGAGGGTGTATTGTATCAAGGTGGAGGATATATTGATCCATGTCTATACATTACCAGATGATACACATCGTTGTTGACGCCCAGCGCGGCAGGAAAGCCCTAATTCCCGGGCCCCGGGGAGCCGGATTGCCTTTCCTGGCAGTTTCCGGGGATATGTCGTCGACTCCAGTTTAAGAGACATCCATGTTGATTCCATGACGATTCGAACAACGACGAGAAAGAAGGAAACAAACCAAAATGGCAAGCGAATTCTCAAAGAAATACACCCAAGCCAACATCGCCCCCGATGCAGCCCCCTACGACGAGGCGGTCTTCCTGTCCCTGCACAAAACACTCGCGAGCCACGTCGCGTCAGATACGCTCGCGACTGCTATCCTCGTGAGTCTAGCTATTCTAAAACCCCTCACTCCTCGAGTCTAGCTCACCGACTCCTCCTCCTCCTCTTCTTCTAGGCAACAATCCTCTGCGCACAGGCGCGCGGCGACGCCGTGGTCCAGCTATTCCGCAGCGTGACAAAGCACAGCTCCGAGTGCGAAGCAGAGGTCAAGTCCCGATTCATCGCTGTCCGCGAGGCCGTCACCCTCGCGGTGCCGTTCGTCGGGCTTCCCAATTGCATGCCAGCATGTTTTGGCCTGGTGAATGAGATCAAGGGGCGGGGGTTTGCGGGTGGGGATGGGGGTGGGATTCCGGGGCCGCGACGGTGAGTCTTCCCAGTTGGCAGGGTGGGACTCGGAAATCCGGACGGATTCGGGTCGCGGGGAGTGAATCATGTCCAGTTACGGGGGACTCATTCTTGGAGTCAATAGGACAAACTTTGGAGAGCTCGATTACACCAGTCGCGGCGCGGAAACCGTATCTCGGATTTACCGTGGGGTAGGTAATTCCGAAGTGCGCGAGATGATCCAGCAGTTTTTTCCAGAGATGTGTACGCTCTCTCTCTCTCTCCCTCCCCTTCGGTTTCGAGTCAGTTCTGACTGCTTCTAGCATACTACGGTCGAACAACCGTCTGGGGCTACCTGGTCGGATCCAGCCCCATCTTGGAGTTGAAAGATGCGGAGATGCTCGTCGCTGCTTCCATCATGGGCCTTGGAGCGACACGACAGGCGCGGAGTCACGTCAAGTGCGCGCTTTCAGTGGGGAATAGTCTGGAGCTGGTTACTGCGACGGTGGAGGTGGCGCAGGCGGTTGGTGCGTGGAACGGGAGGACGCTTCTCGGGGGGGTGGACGTGGGGGAACTGGCCGGTGAACTGGAGAAGAACCTGGCTGCTTCGATAACATAGATAGTTTTCCGTAATAGGATCAATGCACAGACATACGTAATCATCTGGAGGCACTCGACTCCAAGTGGGGCGGGCCAGGATCTGGGGTGACCACTCTGCTGGAGTTAGGGCTCCTGTACCCATCCAGGGAAACTTGGCTCCCGGTCCCCGGCAACCGCTCCCTTCCCCCTTCTCCCCCCCGCATTCTCAGCTTAGCCCATCTGCTACATACACAAGAGATTCCCCCCGGAAGCTTCTCCGCATCCGGTTTTCACTGAATCAGACCAGACGTCCAGTTGTCGACATGGATCCCCCCCGACCTCTGAAGCGAGTCTCGCGCGCCTGTGACTATTGTCGGAAGAAGCGGGTGGGTGCTCATTTGCGATCACTATAGAGAGATAAGAGGAGCTGACAAACCAGCTCAAATGCACGGGGCAGCGGCCGTGTATGAACTGCCAACTCTACGGGGCCACCTGCTCGACGTCGGACCCGAGAGCAGGAGAGCATCAGCATCCAGGGCCTTTGGCGGGTGAGAAACGGACCCAGGAAGCAGCTGGGATCGGCCGGATTGACCACCGCGAGGGAAATGCACCGCAGCACCAGCAGACCTCCCATGTCTTTCTTCCGTGGAACCAGCCGAGCGAGCTGGTGCCCCAGACTCAGACTCAGTCACAGCCCCAGCCCCAGCCCCAGCCGGAGCCAGAGCTGGACCCCGAGCTGTCCATTCTTCATTCCAGGACTGAAGTTACCCCGGACTTTGACCAGTACGCTCAAGAACTCGGTCTCGTCTTTGCTCCCTACTGCCCCCCGCACTCCCCGCCATCTCTCGCGCTGAATCATGGCTTCGACACTACTGTGGCTGACGACGGCTTCTCGACGTTGGCCTCCTCCTCGTATCCCACGCAGCTTCCCTCTCCGAGGCTCAGTGACGGGGTCCCTTCTCAATCGGTGTTCCAGGGGCGGCTGGACCTCGGTCGCACTGTAAATGTGAGTGCGCCGGTCGCATCGACATCCCATCCACATACCCTGGACATGGCGCCACCGCCCCCTCGGCCGGCGCATGAGCTCTTCCTCCGCAAGGGCAGCTCGGACACCAAGTTCATCGGGATGGGTTCCGTGGGGTCGACTATATCGGAATGTCTGCGGTATGGGTCCATGGAATCTGCCATCCTCGCTCATTTGGTCAACGGGATTCGACATGTTGATGAGCTCTCTCTACCGACAGCCGTACCTCTGGCCCCTCTACCGGACCGGGACGTGGCCGAGCGAGGCATCCGAGCCTACCATGAGCGCCTACACCTACTCTACCCTATCGTCGAGGTAGAATTTCTCGATGGATGGCGCCAGATCTACGACGAGGGTAGCGGCGGGGCCGCGCCCCTTTCGCCCCTGGCATACTGCCGCCTCTGCCTCGTCGTCCTCGTCGGGAATATCGTCTCCCCGCAGCGCGGTGCAAGCGACCACTGGGAGGCCGCTGAACGGCTGCACCAGCAGACATGGTCACTCCTCGGCCAGGTCATGGCCAGTGCGTTCATGGAGTCGATGCAGGTCATGCTGCTGCACACGCTGTTCCTGCTGTACTGCGGCAAGACGGGGATCGCGTGGATGACCTGTGGGATGGCCGTGCATATTGCACAGTCGCTGGGTCTGCATCAGCACCCGGCGCCGCAGCTCGAGCTGACGGCGCGACAGATCGATATGCGGTCCCGGTTGTGGTCGGTTGCGTACGCGCTCGATGCCTTCCTCTCGCTCTCCGAGGGGCGTCCGTCATCTATCACTGGATCCCCGCCAAGTCTGGCCTCGTCATTCTTCACATCCCTCTCTCAGTCCTCCTCCTCCTCCTCCCGCCCACCATCCGCGCCCACCAAGCCGCCCGCAGCCCAAATCCACGAATGGCTGGTGAGCCTCGCAGCAATAGCTTCAAACGTCGTATCCCTCCTGAAAAGCGGCGACTCGCCCCTGGGCACACTGACGCAGATCGGCGAGATCGACAGCCAACTCCTAGCCTGGAAGGACAGCATCCCCATGGAACTCCGGCCCGACCAACAGATCCTCGCCGACGACCCCATCTACTCGGCCATTGCAATGCTACATCTAAAGTACCATAACCTCATGCGGACGATCCACTGGGTCTCGCTTACCCTCGCCGCAACCGAAGACCCCTCCACCTCAACCTCCCTCTCCTCCTCCTCCTCCTCCTCCGCAACACCCCGCCCCAACCCCCGCATCCTCTCCAGCCCCACAATCTGCCTCGCCAGCTCACGCAGCATAATCGACGTCCTCAACGCCTCTTCATCCCGCCAAACCCTCGGGTGCCCCGGCGGGTCCGCGGGCGGGTTCATAGTGCCCTACTGCATGGCGGCGATCTCGACGTTCTACAGACAGATATTAAAGGAGCCGCGACGGCACGGGGCGCGGACGGATCTTGAGCTCATGCGGAATGGGACGTTGCATGTTGCGGGGTTGTTGGATAGTGTGCGGCCACGCAGTCATTTTCGGGCGCTTTTTAGGGAGATGCTCCGTGTTGCGGAGGAGGTTGTGAGTAAGGTTGGGGAGTGAGTTGAGTTACAGGTACGCTGGTAGCCCTGAGGGGCCCATGGAATGGTACTATGTAGTCATGGCATAATACCCCTAGTCCCGCTTGGATCTGCGTATCAGATCTTGATCACCTGGAGTATAAGCTGAAATTGGCACCACCTTCGTAACGGAGCTTGGTTTGATTACAACCGAAGCATCATGAATCTCTTGGTCATGGGCCGATTTGTTTTCTACTCTTTTGCCACCCTGGCTCAGTACACAGTAGTGTTAGAACTTAGAAGCCCTGCATATCACTCTTTGTCTTCCATGGAAGGTTCTAGCACACGTGTCTTCTTTTATAATATTTAGCTATATCTAGTAATTCCCTAGCTAGATAGCTCCATCATTCCTAGAGATATCTAACACATCTGAATGCATTATTCATCATGGCCGAGTCTGTCACTTGATGCTGTAAACTACAGGTGTATAGTAATTCAAATTCACACTTAGGAGCCTCGAGCTGTTCTAGGAAGACCTCTGTGCATATTCTCCATGAAGAATAGGCTGCACAGAGCATGTGGTATCGAGTGAACATTCAAGTCAACCCAGCTCCAGACCTGCGAAGAGAGAGCCGGCCAACCACTGTAAATAATACCAGACCTAAAGCTCCTGCAGGTACTACCACCCGGGCTATGGGACTGGTGTTTTTCATGGCTCGCTGGGCGATTAACCTCGTTAATGATACCCATGGAACGTTCCGAGGGAAAAGGGGGGGGTGGCGGTGTCCAGGGAACGCCCAATTAGTACCGCCCCATCCACACAACCTTGGACCTGCGAGCAATGGGTAGGCAAATATCGTTCCATACTCGATCTCCAATTCAAATTGATTGATATAAGCTAGACGTAGGTAAGCCTATACCGTAGCTGGAAACTGTACTGTACAGCCCAAGCAGCAAAAAAAAAAAAAAAAAAAAATGCCGTCCTCCTCGAACTTTCGCGACTTTGTTCCTTCCCCTGGTATGTAAGCCTCTGACTATCTACTTTCTATATACTTTTATCCTCGACCGAATTAAAAGCAAAAAAAAAATAACAGATCACCCCCGAATAACCGGCCTTGACAAAACATCCCCAGAAGCCTACTCAGCCGCAACGCTCGCACGGCCCGTCGTCGCAGAGATCGTCGCGGGGTGGAAGGAGAATCTCCAGAAGCCGTTTTACGGGATTACCAGTGATGGGACGCGCAGGGAGGGGGTCCATGAGATTGTGGATGAGGGGGCGCCAGTTGCGGAGATGGTGAGTTGGGCCTTGGTCTGCATGTGGTTGAAGAGGAGAAAGAGGGAACTGACAGATTCGTGTTATGGGCGTGGAGGTTACGCGCGCGGAGGTTATCATCGACCTCCTGACTCCCGCGGAATTCGAACGGCTGTCGCATCCTGTTGATTCGGATGAGTGGTGGGTAGATATCTACTCTACCTCCAGCTTCCTCTCTCGCAATCCACCTCCCTACAGCACACATCCAGCACAATGGCAAGAATAAGAGGGCTGACCATCACAACCAGGCGCAAGTGGTCCAACCCCGAATTCCTCATCTATCGCACGGGCATCCGCCTCGAAGACCTCCCCGAGACCACCGTATCCGCGATCCACGCCCTCCTGCGCGCCAGCACCAGCGAAGCAGGGTACGCCCGACTCCTCGCCGCCATGAAGACGAATCGGTTCTTGGGGGATCTGTGTAAGGCGGTGGGCATTATGAATGAGCGGAGTTATCAGTACGTCACCGCCATTCTTTATCCTTGCATTGTCTTTCTGGTTTGGGGGGCGGGGGAAATGGCGTCTGGACTGGGTTTGCACTGAGTGAGTGAGCGAGTGATTGACCCAAGATGGAAATAGGTTTACACTCTATGGAACGCCCTCGCGCACGGAGCCCTGGGGGTTCTCGCTTTTCGGGCACCATTTGTGCCTAAATGTCTTTGTGTTGGGGCGCCAGATGGTTGCGAGTCCGATGTTTCTCGGGGCGGAGCCGAATGTATGTTTGACCCCCCCAACAAAGGAAAATCCACATACCAACAGAAACGGAACAAAAAAAGATCATTGACACGGGCCCAAACACAAACACATCCGTCCTCGACTCCGCCAACGCCGCCGTCGACCTGCCCCTGAGCATAATGCGCTCCCTCCCACCCCACCTCCAGCGGGCCGCGCGCGTTTATGAGAAGCTACATGATGAGAATATGCCTCCGGGAAGGTGGAATCCCGCGGATCAGGTACAGTTCCTCTTATTTACATTTAGCCCCCCACAGGGCTTGCCCTTTTCTCCCCTCCTCCCTTTCCTGTGAAACCTGGCTTGCTAAAAAGTCTCGGGTAAGCGCCACCTCGCCGGCGCCTTCCAAGACAACCGCATCATCCCGTACGAAGGGATCCTCGCTTCGGCCATGGCCGAGCACCAACAGGGCCATCTCCGTGCCGTCATCGCGTCGTTTTTCGAGATCCTCCCAGCGGGCCCGTTCGCGGCGCGGATGCGGCTGGTGGAGAGGTTTTGGGAGGAGACGTATTTCTGCTGGATTGGAGCCTTCCAAGACACCGATCACGGCAGCGGTGGTGGTGGTGGTGGTGGTGGTGGTGGTGAGGGCTCCGACGCATTCTACTACCGCATCCAGAGCCCCGTCGTTCTCATCGAGTTCGATCACCACTCGGGCGTGTTCCTGCTCAATAAGGAGCCGGCCAGGTATCACGTTCATACTATTGTGCGGACGCCGAATGGTGGGGATTACGGGAGGGGGTTATTGCGGTTGTTCAGAGAGGGTTGTGCAAGTGGGAAATACGGTAGCCGGTAGGCTGTAGGGCAGGGCGTGGTGATTCATTTACTGCTCGTAGCTTGGGCGGCGATTATCCAATGTATCTGCCCATGTCTGATTTATTTGGGTCTGGTGTAAATATGCAATATCAAAGTCGTATGTGGTCTTGAAGTGTGGAAAATACTACTGATAAGGAGTTTGATTGATTCGATTAATGTAGAGCTGAGTACTCCTCAATCTACTATGCACATACATGTAATACTTGTTTATATACCAAAAATGGATCCCCTTTGCAGTAGGCAGACTACCCTTTGCCTGGCCCGGTCGCAGATTTATAAGATGCTTCTTCTCCAATTTCCTACTGTTTTGGACTCGCATGAATAACCTCAACTGTTACTATGCCACGCTCTCAAATGGACCTAGAGCTTTACAGGGAGGAGATTACTCTCCTATCTTCTCAGAATGCACCTATTGGTACTATCCAGACCATCATACAAACCATGGTATTAATATCTCACTTCGCACGCTCAAAACTCGCCTTTCTTCCTGGGGCCTGCGGCGCGAACTACCCAGCCAAAATAAAGCTTTGCACGCTCGCATTCTCACGCTATTTACCAAGGCCGGCTTATCTCTTAAAGAAACACTCAGAGTGCTACAGAAGGAGGGATTCCAGGTCCCTGGGCCTACACTTAAAAGGTTACGAAACAGCTTGGAATTCAGCGTCGTACAGACTGCCCACTTCAGCAGCAGCAGCGGCATGAAATCAAGGCTCTCTTGACCGAGGAGCTTGGAATTGGCGATGCCGAAGGTTATGGGCGTCGGGTTCTCTATCACCACCTTCGCCGTCATGGTTTTCTTTTCCAACAGCACGGAGTATTCGTCAAGATAGATGAACCGGACAACTTCATTTCGCCGAGTTTGCCAGCCCAGAGTGGCCCAGCCCTTGAGACTGGTCGTCAGAATTCAATATATCTTGTCTATAGCCTATGTAGCTCGGTGGGTGATCTGAACCGTGTCACTTTTATCATGGGTTACCACGTGGTACATGGGGCAACCGTTCGGCTGTTTTATGTGTTCCGCTCCTCGGCCCAAACTTCTCCCGTAGGCAAAACCCTGTGTGCTAAGGGGAGTACCCAGCCGGTTCGAGCCATCTTTTCTTGTAATAGGCCAAGTCAGAGGCTCACGCTGTTTGGAATAGACGTCAGGAATGCGGCTAGGTAATGTAGGAGGTCTCTGGACCCAACCCGCATATATTCATGCGATTCGGAATTGCCGGATCTACAAGACAGGACATCCGCAAGGGATATTGCGATATCTGCAAGTTTCATCTGCTGTTTCTCTAGTCAATGACTTGTGAACCGACAGTAGTAGCCCTGTCATATACGCCACAAAGTGGGTGGGTTGCGACCACTTACCATTCCTAGACCATGAGACCCGACAACCCCTCGTGGAAAAGTGCTAATATGCGCGACCACTTTCTGCGCAAGCTGCTCGGGGAAGAATACGCTGAGGCTCTCGGCAGCCATATTAAGTGATAGCTCCACATGGAACATAGCTCGCCTCCATAGAATCAGCCTCATCCACTGTTTCGTGATGAGAAAGTCGACCAGTTGAGAGTCGGGAGAATGGTCCAGTAATTGCGGTATTTGCTGGATTTCCATATCCATGGCTGGGAGGAGATGGCACTCATCATGCAATTCAAAGCTATTTATGGCAGTGCCGAATGTTTGGAAGAGCTGAACCATGCCTAAAAAGGGCAGCAAGTCGAACGGGTTTTCATCTGCGTGCAGTGCTGGCAGGCGTGAATCAAGATGAAGGATACACTGGAGATCGAAGCGCGTTGCATGGCCCCTAAAGTGCCGAATTGGCTCAAAAAATAGTCCTTTGTGAACGGGGGGAAAAGAAAAACTCGGTCAGACCTTTCTGTGATGTGAAGTAGCCAGATGATTCGAAGCCGATCCTGCGCTTCAGTAGCAGATCGGCCAGCATAGTGGCCAGCCTGGTCTAATCCCAGTAGCTGTGCCATCGTAATGGCTTCGCGGAGAAGCAAAGTGGCTTTGAATATCTGGCCTCGATTGGCCGAGTGAATATGCAAGAAGAACGAAGATAATATCATGTCGAGACTGGGGTTTTCTTGGTAGGCGCCTTTCATCCTTGCTGTCTCTGACTCGGACGCTAATCGCTGGCTGTCAAGCTCGGGATATTCGTCGGTGTTATTCGAAGCCTGGAGAAGATGTATGCGGTCCAACACAACCGCACCAAGTGCAGTGCCCACTGCATATGCCGCGACGTCTGAATGATTGCGAACCCGAGTCTGAAGATTCTGAACATCCACCACTGGCCAGAGGCTATACAAGTGTTGCCTGTAGATGCGCAGGAAATGTTGAACTTGTACTAAAACTGCATCCTGGTTGCTTTCATCCTGGGTTGGAGGACCCAGATTCTCCGGCTGGTCACCCTCTGCGAGCCCGACGGGCGAATTCTTCGGTGGAGCATTCTGCACTTTAGCGCTTGCACGTTTCTTCCCAGCCCATGGCCCCTTAGGCCCTGGCTTTGAAAATTTCCGCAAGAGTGTGCAGCATAAGCCCTGCGCGCTGCACCGTCGACAGGGTGATCTCCTATCGCACTTGGCCTTTCGCAACGCGCATGAGTCACAGGCCCGAGTTCGAATCATCGGCTGATCTGCATGGAATTAACACAGCAAGAGGTAGCGCAGGCCGTTTTTCAAAAGGGCTCGATGCAGTCAGGAGAGACAGGACAGGAGACAGGGGCTGTCAGAGATCGTTCATCGTTGTAGGTCTCCGCCGGGCCTGAGCATGCCACTTTGCCGAGGAATCGCGTCACAGCACGGCCCGCTTATGTATCCCTCAGCAACTCAAGTGCCAACCAATCCACAAACACCACGCAACTCGGGGAGGCCAGCACGCCTTTCCCTGACGAGCCATAGGACAAGAATAAGAATCTCTCCGCACAATCCTCCGTTACTGAGCCCCACCAATATGGAATTGGTCCTAAACTCACTCTGCAGTGACCCGCCAGAAACAGAATCTATATAACCGCGAACACGGTACAGCTGGGCAAAATCACGCTCAACCAACCCGTGTTAATAGAACGCCTTCCAAAATGCACATGGCCAAGAAAAATGTCCTTTTAGTCATCGCCGATGACCTGGGACGTATGTTGCCATGCTACGGCGAGAAAGCTATCAAGACTCCGCGTATCGACGCGCTCGCCAACGAAGGCACCGTCTTTGAAAATGCATTCGCGAGCACTGCCTCCTGCAGTGGAAGTCGATCTGTCATATATACAGGCCTGCATACTCATGAAAATGGCCAGTACGGTCTCAATCACTTCACTCACCACTTCATGACGTTCGATCATATCCAAACTGCGCCGGGAATTCTTCAGAATCACGGCTATTTGACCGGCATCATTGGCAAGATCCATGTCGGTCCTCTCTCCGTGTACCCTTGGGAGCATGTGGTGGAGAGCCCTAGTCGAGACGTTGTGTGGGTCGCTGAGCAGGTTGCGTCTTTCTTCCAAGGAGCAAAGAATGGTGACCGGCCCTTCTTTCTCACGGTCGGTTACATGGATCCTCATCGAGATCACACTCGTGGTGGGTTTGGAAACGGCGATCGAGGAGTCTCTGCGCCAGATGCCTGTTACAACCCTGATGCGGTGACCGTTCCAGAATTCTTGAGCGACATTCCTGAGGTCCGCCGTGAACTAGCCGAATACTACCGAGCGATCGGCCGTGTCGATCGAGGGTTTGGTTTGATCATGGACAGCCTAAGGAAGAATGGCTTCGCTGAAAATACCATGGTCATTTTTATGAGCGACAACGGCCCACCATTTCTCAACTCCAAGACAACACTCTATGATGCCGGTATTCGTCTACCTCTCATCATCCGGCAACCAGGCTGTGGTTCCGGCGTGAGAAATCCAAATCTGGTGTCCTACATCGACATCTTGCCAACAATCCTGGACTGGGCTGAGTACAAGGAGGTTCAAAAAGCAGAGCCGCCTCGCCAGGGGCGCTCGTTACTACCTATCATGCTCAATACCACGATCGACGAATCCTGGACCCGAGTGTTTGGATCCCACACATTTCATGAAATCACCAATTACTATCCCACGCGATTTCTTCGGACAACTCGATACAAGTACCACCGCAACGTTGCTTGGAAACTTGATTTTCCCTTTTCTACAGATCTGTACGCCTCCATGTCATGGGAGGGGATTCGAAATGCCCCTGGGCCAGTGATGATTGGAAAACGGCCGCTGGAATCCTATATTGAGCGTCCGGCAGAAGAATTGTATGACATGCTCAACGATCCTACAGAAACTACTAATATCGCCTCTGATCCTGGGTGCCAAGACCTACTGAAGAACCTCCGCGGTGAGTTGGAAGACTGGCAAAGAAGAACCAAGGACCCTTGGCTATTCCGGGATGGAGTCTCCTTGCTGGAAATGGGTGGGCATCTCAAGGCAGGATTGAAAGTTCCTGATCGATTTGATTTTGATGTGTCGGCACCGCAGTCAAGACCATGATGCAACTGCCGCGCAGAGCTAGCCCCTTATTCGAATGGGCCTGTGGTTTGTAACTTGATGAAAATAAACAAAATTATAGATCGAAAATTACGTTGATATGAGATGCAATCAAAACGAACATCCAGAAATCCATAAGATCCGTTCGTGAGGGAGAAATAAAACAAAAGGTTCGGATGCGACGCCAGACCAAATATCACACGTTCGTTTCATCGTTAGTGTCAAACTTCTTTCGACCGTTCCTTGGTTGTCCAACTAGGACCTCAGTGTGGGTGGGGGGTTCCGCTCCATGTTCCACAAAATCTCTCCGACACAACCAAAAACTTTCCGCCGAAGCATTCCCCGCCAAAAATAAGCCTTGAAAGCTCAAACACCCTATCCACATTCAAGAAAAGGCCCTGCTTTTATCGTTCGCGTGATTGATTGTGTGCATTGCGACAACAGACGCTGCTCGAGGCCTCTGGAAATGGCCAGCATATATATACTCTCAAATTCCCAGCGAGCCTTGACGGCCATGCCTCCTATCCAGGATCAAGCAGGTTGGGCCGGAAGATGATTTCTTCAATTTGGAAGAAGAGCCACCTTGGCCAACACTTCACGCTGAGATTAGCCGGGGCAGTGGGGCTCATCAGTCTGTCCACACTCAACTATGGTTTTGACAACCAAGGCATAGCGACCAGCCAGGCGATGGCAGCTTACAAGAAGCAATTCGGAGTCTATGATCCGTCCAAAAAGACCTGGGCTATCCCGACATATTGGACATCCTTGTTGAACAGTTTGAACTTCATCGGGTTTGCAATCGGTAAGTTCGATGAATGCATTTCAAATTGAATTGATCGAACTAATATATGCCCAGGACTATATATTGGGAGTGTCGTTAGTGCTCGATATGGCCGCCGCATCTCGATGTTCACCATGTCAATTTGGGCAATCATGTCTGCTACCGTACTCGTTACCTCCACTCGGATCGAGCAAGTTCTTGCTGGCCGGATCCTGAATTATGCCTATGTGGGCATGGAATTGGCCACCTGTCCACCGTTCCAGGCTGAGATAATCCCAGCTCCAATTCGAGGATTTGCAGTAGGTACATATCAAGCCAGCTTACTGGTAGGGGGCATCATCATCAACAGCATTTGCCTTGGCACGAGCACTTTGACCAGTAATGCTGCATGGAGGATCCCCCAGGGACTATTTTATGCCGTCCCCTCAATCGTGGCATCTTGTATCTGGTTCATTCCTGAGTCTCCTCGGTGGCTGCTCCTGAACGATCGAGCGGACGAGGCATTAGACTCACTACGGAAGCTGCGCAGCGCAAACCCCAACAGTCCCACGCCTGAAGAAGAGCTTGCAATGTTACAGGCCTCCCTTGTTGAGGAACAGAATCAGGGCACATATACGGATCTTTTCCGAGGAAGCAATCGGAAGCGCACCTTGATCGCCATCGGTACGAACTTCTTCATCCAAGCAACGGGCTCGCCCTTTACGGCAGCATATGGAACGCTCTTTGTCCAATCACTGAATTCAATCAATCCATTCGAATTTTCACTCATGAGCTCTTGCATAAATACCTTTGCATGTGTGACCGCCATCTACATCACAGACAAAGTTGGACGGCGGCCGCTACTAATGCTCGGCTCTGCATTGCAGGTGGCTTGGCTGTTTATAATGGGCGGCGTTGGGACAGTATCAGCGCCAACAGTGGCGCAGACCCAGGTTATCGTTGCCGCTACTGCACTGTCATCAGCTAGTCTCTGCTTTAGTTGGGACCCTTTGAACTATATCATCACCACTGAACTTCCAGCAACTCGTTTACGTGATAAGACGCAACGGGTGGCCTCCATTGTCAACATCGCCACTAAGTATGATTTGTTCTTCATAATTAAAATGCCCTTTGACTGACATAAATCTTCGACATATAGTTTTGTGTTTTCTTTCAGCACACCTTATCTACTGGATGCCCCTTACGCCAATCTTCATTCAAAGGTTGGATTTGTCTTTGGTGCTCTTGCATGTTGCTCTTTTATTTTTGCATATCTTTGTGTACCGGAGATGAAGGGCAGATCTCTTGAAGAGATCAACAGAATGTTCCAGGCCAAAGTCCCCGTGCGAGACTTCAAGAGCTATCCTAAGGGGGCCAATGAAGACATAGGTGAGGGGCAAAAAGGGACCGATCTCAGCTGTCAGCCAGTAAGGCACACGTCGTTGCCTTGGGCAGTTGCTGCCTAATTCCTCAGGCAACACGTCTTCCTCTGCATATCAGTCTTCAACAGATTCACCTCCATCAACCGGCGAATCCTCTCACCAACGGAACTTTCCATTACGCTCTATCCGTTGATATTGCGCCTTCCAACAACGTCGGATACAACATCGGCTTCTTCGTTATCTTATATTTGCTTATTGCGGACCCCTTTAGTCCGAACCTCGCGTTATTCCTTATATTTTCATCTTAACTATAAGTATAGCAATCCTTTATATATAGACGGGATAATCAGAGACGAATAAGGCTTACTAGTAGAGAAAGACCTAGATAGCTTTATAGTATAGAGTATAGTTACTTCCTTAGAGAAGGAGTAGGAGTATCGACCCGAAGCCTCGCGATACTACTACGCGCTAGATCATCTTAGTACGCGTCGGATCGAGCGGTATCTCTGGTAAAATGAAAGAAGCAGTACGTTAGGCTGAAAGTCAAGGCGCAATAGTCAGTAGGGGCTAGAATAGAAGAAAAGGGCCGGCGATGAGTGCAGGATAGAGGAGTTGAAGGGAGGGAGAGGGGGGTAAAAAGAGATCAAGAGGGCAGGCCTTGTCTTCCCTGTTGGAGCAACAGAGGGAGAGCTTACGTGACATTGTATTAGGGCACTATGTAACCCGGGAACGGCAACACTAACCGGATGCAGTAGTTCACAGGTCCCAATATTACAGAATATAACTTTGTAAATATATCACAACCAAGACCCATGGCCAGAACCAGATCAGACCATACTCAACAAGGTCTCAACATCCAAATCCCGACAGAGGCCGAAAATATCTCGCAGCACTGGGTCCGACGAGCGAGAATTCGCCATTTGCTGGGTGTCAAAGTCCGAGCATGTAGAAATCTTTCGCTCATGATTGTCAGCAAGGGCCAGAGTTCCGTCACTACGGGGGGGACCGCCGTTCTCGTTCCAGCAGTCCCAGCTCCAGTTCCAGCTCCAGGTACTACTGTCCGTGTCTTTCTTTGAGGGTTCTGGTTCTGTGTCTACGTGCAACGGCTGCGACTGTGGTGGCTCTGGCAGTGGCGGCGGCGGCGTCGATACAACGTTGTTTGGCCCGGGTTGAATGGCGATTGGGGGAGATTTGGCAAATATGTCTACCTCCGTGCCTGGATCCGCGTCTGTTCTTATACCCATGTCTTCTTCCGCACATTGATCTCTGCCGATATCGGTGTTGGCCACCGAGCAGCCAACCGCGGGTAGAGGAGGCACAGGTGTAAGGGCTGGCTCAAAGATAGGCATAGACATGGGTGCAGGTGCAGGTGTAGACATACTTTCAGACCGCCCCGTCGAAAGAACAAGATCCAGCGCACGCAAGACACCGAGGTAATACCGAGGCTGGGAGGCAACGAGATCATTCCAGTTCCAGCAAGCGCGAGGGTGACGCGTGCGCATGGCCATCGATATACCACCACAACTATACACAGATCCATACCCAGACGCAGATAAAGGTGTAGTAGACCCTTCTGCAGATGCAGAATTCGATGTATTTGGCCCATCAAGCAAATCAACCACCTTGTTAATCACCTCTGTGACCGGGTGCACGTTGTTATACCGGGTTTGGAGCGCGAGGGTTGTTTCGTAAAAGGTCTGGATGCGGGCGCGAGCGGCGCTGCTTTTGCTTTGGAGGTGCATTGTAAATGGTTCTGCATTTGGGATTGTGGCTGGAGTAGTGGTGGTTCTTGTACTAGTCGTGGTGGCTTTGAGGTATACGGCGTCGAGGACGACAGAGGGGACTGCGCACATTATACTGTGCGGAGCAAAGTGGGTTAGATTAGAAAGTGCATTGACAAGAGCTAGTGTGATGGGAGGTGGTGAGACGTACATGCTATTCGGTATATACTGCGTCCACCTCCGCGTCGCCAGGATCGAAAGACTAGTAGCGATAGCTTCAATGGCTGCCTCCACGGCGCTGCCAATCCCTGCGAGGGCATCGTGGGCGTGCAGGGCGTGTTTCTGGCGGGTGGCGGCGGCTGTGATCTTCGAGTCGAGGATGTGGAGGTATGCTGAGCTGTAGATCAAGCGGTGTCAGAGTTATAATTACATGAGGGTACCAGATAATCACTGATATATTGAGGTGGGAACCTACTGGTAGTATATCTGCAGCAGATGATCATGCATGGCAATCGAGTCAACCGGTGTACCGGCGCGATAGCACGTCTCGAACCGTGCTTTTGTCTCATCGCGCCATTGTCTCAGGGCCTCTGCGCATGCATCAGCGTGATCGAGCTCAAAACTCGGGTCCAAATCCAGGAATCCATTCCCATGCCCTGCTTCCGGCGTAGAAGCAAGAGCAAGGATCCTCGTCAGCGGAACGCACAGACGAAGAACAGCCACAAAAACAGCAAATAGTCCCTGTCTAACAGGCGCAGAATGCACCTCAGAGCGACACATAGCCTCGCACACCCCCCGCGACGAGAGGAGCTCCAGCTCGGCGTCCCAATTATCCACGGCGATCTGCAGCGGGCGCCGGTGCGCGAGGGCGATGATGCGGTCTCTGACGAGGCATACCCACCACAGCCGTTTTAGCTCGAGCCAGTCCGGGGGTAATGGGGTGCCTTGTGGTGGATTGCTGTGGTGGTGGTGGTGGTGGTGATGATGCACACCGAGAGCGCGCGCGTGCTGCACGGCGATGCTGAGCCAGACGGAGTTGACAGGGCTGGATGTTTGGGCCGAGGAGCAGAGGGAGAGGAGGAGGGTTCCCTGGATAATTTCAATGGGGCGAAGTTCGCTTTCGAGGCGGTAGAGTAGCTACATGTACTAGTTAGCCTTGTTCTTGCGATGTGTATCTGTTTAGATTGAATGAAGTCAGGAAGGTATGGCTGACCTTTGCCCTCCGATAAAACGCCGCCCTCGCCTTTCGACAATTCGCAAACCCACACTCCCTAATCGTCCGCCGACTCGCAAAGGGACACGCAGCGAATAAAATCGCCTGCGCGACAAACAGCGAGAGCGTCGAACCCGAACTCGCCCCATTCTCTCGCACCGTGCGCCAGAAACCCGCCTCATCGAGGACAGGCACAACCGGGTTGATGTGCTCAAAGTACACGTGTAGCAGGCCCTGCCAGGGCGATGCAACGGGGAGACGGAAGCATGACTGCGAGTCGAGATAGTAGATCTCATCTTGGTTTAGTCGCGATAGGAACTCGGACCTGATGAAGGGGTATGCTTGGAAGACGATGTCTGTTGCCGCCGTCGATGATGTGGGTGGTGTAGATGTTGGGATCGGATCGGCGGGTTTTTTCCTTGGTGGACGTCGTGGAGTCTTTGGTTTTGAATCCTTATCCGAGCGAGGTGCTGCTTCAGATGCAGATACCGACACAGACGCAGATGTAGGGCTCGACGAGGAATGATCCGGAGTCCCCAACTCAAGCCGGAGGCGCGACTCTCGGCCTCGCAACTGGACCACGCACTCCTCCTGGTCGAGCTTGCAGTTGACGCAGGGGTGCCCGCGATAGGCGACATCGCACCGCACCTTGCGCAGCCGGCACTTGGTGCAGGCGATGCTTGCCCGCGGGGTTCGTTTAGAGCTCATGGCTACTGCCCGGTGTGTAGCAACGAGGCTGGCAATAGGGTTGGCAACAGGGCTGGAAACAGGGCTGGGTCGGCGGATTGCATTTGTGAGAGGAGCTGATAGACTATCCGTGCCCCGGAAGGGGATGGGGACATGACTCGAGATCGAGGTGCGGCCTGGCCCATGGGTCTGTTCCAACTTTGGCCGGTGGAAGTCTCGCCACCTGGTAATCAGAGGAGAAAATGTGACTACTCGGACCATTGTTGCATTCCAAGCCCTATTTATTCACCGTCCACGTAGCGCCAGAGCAGAATATAGAGCCCCTATCCGTATGAACCATAGCACCGTCCATCCCAAGCATAGCGTTTCCCACCCATAAGACAGCCAAGAATACAGTCAAGCAATCACCGCTCTACATGCTCGACCATCCCCTTCTCCGCCTCACCAGTATCACCCCCCTGCCCAACTTGAACCATCCGAGCAGAAGAAATAACAACGGTATCCTGCGTGTTGCCAAACAGCGCCTCGATCTCCTCGAGCGGCAGGCACCTGGTTTCAGGGATGAAGAGAGCGATCCAGATTGTGCCGCAGAGGCTGAGGACGGCAAAGAGCTAGACATCATTAGAACTGGATTTAAAAGGAGGGTGAGAACTGAAGGCAAACATACCAGGAAAAACTTCCAACCAATCGCCTCAAACGCCGTGCTGGTCACACTCAGGTAAATCGTCGCCGTGACCGTAAGCGAGGACAGTCCGATCGCCACACCCTTGACGCGCAGGTGGTTCGGAAACATCTCGCCGATGTAGACGTACGTGCCCACGTCAATCCCAGACGCATAGAACATGAGGAAGATGTACAGCAGGGCGACCCCGGTGTTCTTCCCCGCCGTATTATCCGAGTCCGCATACAGCGCAACCATGATCGCCTCAAGGAGAACACACACGAAGCAGCCGACAAACGCAACAAGAAGAACAGGTCGCCGACCCGCACGGTCGATAATCCACGTTCCGAGCATGTTACCCAACAGGGCTATGAGATCGCGGTTCCCCTGAAGAATCTGGCGGGCGTCTGGGCCAAAGCCGAGTTTCTGGTAAAAGGTCTGCCCGTAGTTGTTTATCACAAAGACGCCTGTGCTTTGGCCCAGGAAGCCAAGCATGATGGCGATGAAGACGCGTTTGCGGTTGACGGGGTGCGTGAGGAAGGCTTTCCAGGAGGAATCGAGGGAGCGGTCGTGCTCTGCTTGCCGTTTCATTTGGGTGAATTCTTCATCGAGCCCTGATATTTCTGCGGGTGATGAGTTGGGAGTCGCATTGAGGTCGTTGTAGATCCGGCGTGCTTCCTCGGGTCGGTCTTTTAGGAGGAGGTAGCGTGGCGATTCGGGGAGGAAAGGGATCACGCAGAGGAGGACGAGGGGGCAGAATAGGGGGATGCCCATGGGGGCTCGCCACTGCGCCACCACGTTTTCGGAAAAGTAGAAGCCCATACCAATATACGAGGCGAGGCACAGGCCAACACCGATCATGACGCCGTTCATCCCGGCGAAGAAGCCTCTGTAGGCTGGGGGTGCCAGCTCGGGGATGTAGGCGGATGCAGATGTACCGCAGCACCAAGTCCCGAGCCCAGCCAGGAACCGAAAGACGAGAAACTCTGGCAGACCCATGGCTCCCGTCATACCGGCCAGTGCAGGAAGCGAGACAACAGACCCAACCAGCAGGCCAGCCTTGCGGCCCCATCGGTCCATGATGATCGCAGCAATAATGTTGCCAAAGACGGCACCGCACTAAACCGCTGGTCAGTTGAACGCGGAGATTAGGAAGCACCACGCCTTGAATAAACAGTAAGTTGAAGATATGGAAAGAGATGCAAGACGAACCTGGAACAACCCAACAATAGCCCCCTCGCGAGAACTATAATCTGGTGTCTGGTTCCCACCGCTATCCCACAGCGCCATCCGCTGCATGAAATCGGTCTTTTGGAGGGTGGTCCCGATCAGGGCCGACTCGTAGGCGCCGACGACCTGGCCTAACGAGATGGTCACACAGATGAGGAATGTGCGCCAGTTGATGGGGGGGTTGTTGTTGAGGGTCATGTTGATGTGTAGTGGAGTGTGCGAATGTGAGATTGAGGGCAGGGAGCGACAGCGTGAAGGGGGTATAAATAGGGTAAATAGGATTCACCAGGCCCCTGGATCCGGGGCCACTAGTAGCGATGGGGATGGAGGGATGCGGCCCCATGGGGTAGAGACCGAGTCACACCTGGCAGACAAACTAGTTAATGTACCGACTGTCTATCCTAATTCTACTCCAATCTGAATTACTGTCGTAAGAACCCAAACCCATACCCTCCCCAAAACATTGTCTGCTCAATCCCCTCCCTGGAGACCCGCCCCCTAGCAAAGTCAGCCACAAGCGGTCCGGGGCACAAAAAAGGGACGCATGGGACAACCTACTCGAACTGGCTAACACACTCCTCAACAGCACCAGCATAGTCAGCTACGCCCCTCAACCGAATAAACAGTGCAATCGAAACCCCCTCCTCCTCCTCCTCATCATCATTTCTACCCTCAGGAACAAAGGACCAAACCGCAAAGACGCCCTCGTTCCCCTTCAACTCATCAGCAAGCTGGCGCTCCTCCCTCAACACACGAGAGACAGCATCGCCGCCACGGACTATATACTTGACGAGGACAAAATACTCCTCGGAGCCAACTGTCTCTGGGACACCTGGCTTGCTTAGGAACCCGCCGCCGGCCGGGCGGTACGTGGGTACGCCGCCCTTGGGGTAGCTCAATAGACCGGTGGAGGCAACTACCTCGCGCATGTGCTTGTAGGCCTTGCCGTTGCGATGTGTAACTGCGAGGGCCTCTTCGGTGGCGTAGCTGGTGGCTGTTAGGGGGTGTGGAATGACGCTGTGCATGTATACGTACACTTCGAGGCCTTGAACCAGGGCTGGGGAATCCACGGAGCGATCTGATTCTTCTACTGGAGTGGTCCAGCAGTAGGCCAAGCATTGTGGCTCATTTTCCTGCGTTTCGCGTGCTACGTCTCGGATGAGGAAGAGGAACTATGCCTGTGAGTAGATGTAAAGAGGATAGGGACAACGTCACGGCGAGTGCGACTAACCTTGTCGCGATCCGCAGCGGATGCTAGTGGGATGTGAGGGTTGACGACTACAGTCATGGTTCAATGTTGGTCAAACTGGGCATGATTCATGTCTACGAAAGATCTCTCCAGATGACGGCTTTAACTACCCCGCAGATTGTTCACCCCATCTCCATCCCATCTCCACTTTGAGCTCGTGTCTCCAACTCCCCCGATCCGGGGCACGGCTCAGACACAAGTGGACTAGCCCGCTACAAAACGCGCAGAGCAATGATGGAAGACCCTCATGCCAAGTTCCATCATTTTCCGGCACCCCATCCCATCTCATCCCCGTACCCTACCATCCAGCAACCACTATGCCCGCGCTCGACAACGACTTCATCCAACGCCTCGCGGATAGAGGCAGCGCGCATCCACGCTTCAAATGGTACATCACTGCCATTATCGCCCTGGCCGCACTCAACTACCCCGAGGAGATCGGCCCGCTGTACACACGCCTGCTGGAGACATACATCAGCCCCGAGGACCATGTAGAGCAGACAAGGAAGATCAAGGAGGCGCTTGTTAAGGCTGCAGGGCTTCATGGGGCGGCCAAGGTGTGTATACTTTAATATGTGCAGCTTGTGTTGGCTTTTGCTTAATTGAGTAGACTGGGAATGCGATGCGTGCTCTGTATCAGGTTACGCCGGCTCATTTGGTCGATAGCACCTGCTATCGGTACGCTATATCTTCGACAAGGAATACTCTCGAGAAAAGGGGTTAGACACCAACTGACACTATCCAGCGAATCCGACCTCGACCCCGAAGCAGCCTACAAGCGTGGCGACGAGTTTCTTAAAAGCATCTACCGCGATGTCCCCGGTATCAATACGGAAGATGACTACGTGCGCAAATGCTCGCCGGATTACTTCTTTCTCGTCTCGAGTAAGCCTTCATCCACCCGCCTCGCTATACTTATGTACGTGTACCCTTACCCATCCAATCTAACTCTATATTCTTCTCCGTATGCCTAGGACTGTTATACCCCCACATATTTTCCTACACCGGCATCCTCGACAAGCTCGAATCCAGCCAGGCGATCATCTCCAGCCTGATTGCGATTGACTGCACGGCACAGGCGCGCAACCACATGAAGGGGATGTTGTGGAATGGGGCTAGCAGGGGGGAGGTTACTATGGTCAGGGATATTGTAGCCCTCATTGCGGAGCGCCTGGGTGTGAGGTTTAAGGGTGGGAAGGGGGTTATTGATGTACCAGAATTGCCGGATCTCAACTAGGATCTATAGCCAGTATGTAGAATGTAGGTAGGGGTGAGTATTGCGAATGTCACTATCGTGCTGAACATAATGTGGAAGTATTTTTGCTCTTTCATTCATACGTCTAAGCCTCTGTTCCCAAGATCAGTAGACTTCCATACGGACCTCTGCATCGGCTTAACCTGCAACGCCTCGATCCTCGCCGTCAAAGGCGTGCGAATCGCCGCCTTCCAAGCCTCCCCGCCCAATCCGTTCGTCTCGTCCCATTCGTGTATAGCTAGGTACGGTGCAGGCTCAGTCCTACTAGTATCCCCACCTCCCTCCCCTTTTTCATGCCGCTCGGAACTCTCTACAAGCTCCAGCCGAGCTGAGCCCATCCACCCCTGCACCCTCGACAAGGCTGGGATATGTTCGTCGGCATACCAGTGATCTAGGACCTCGCGTGCAGATGCATCTTCGATATGGATCGTCATTCCAACCATCACAACGACGGGTGGGGATTGTGAAGGAGGCTTTGTGTCTGTGACGCTGGTGTATGTCGTCCAGTGTAGAGAGATGATTCGAGTGGTGTCGGTGGAGAGAGTGTGCAGGTAGGCTCTTAGCTGTGGGGAGTGGATTGCCGACGGGGTTGGGAAGCGGTAGATATTTAGGTGGGTGTATTTTGTTGCCTGTGATGGTGTTGGGGCTGGGGCTGTTGGTGGGGTGGTAGCGTCTAGGTAGATGGTATACGTGTGTTCGATGTCAAGGAGGAGATCGGTTGGTAGGAGGCTGCAGCGCCATTGCGCGAACGTGTCGCGATGGTCTGGGTGTGGATGGATGTAGAGGAAGAGGTAGCTAGGCATGATTGCTATCAAGGTGGAGGCGTTGAGTGCTGGAGCAGAGAGCAGAGAGCAAAGTAGGGTGCCGGTGAATATGAGGTCGATAGTTAGGGTTGCTTCAAGGGACCTCGGATGGTCTGGCCGTCCTTCGCAGCCCTCCCTCGGGCCCGGCCCACGGAAGCTGTCCTCCTGCGCTTCTCTTTTAAGAGCCTCGCATGGAAGTAAGCTGGGCTTTTCCTACGCCTCGAACCCTCTCTCCCATATCTAGGTGCAGTTTACATAGCCAGGAAAAATGGGTCTACGCATCCTCATCGTCGGCGGCGGACTCGCCGGACAGGCTACCGCGCTTGCCTTGCGCAGAGCCGAGCATAACATCCAGGTAAATGCCTCTACTCTCAGTGTATCTGTACATATTCTAATAACTGGAACAGGTCTTTGAAAATTCATACCTCACACCCGAAGACACAGCCGGCCCCCTCGTCCACCTCGGCCCCCGCTCCAACGACCTCCTCCGCAGCTGGGGCGTCGACACCGCAGTCGCCAAGGGTGTCCTCATCAAGTCCATCGACAAATTTGACCGCGATGGGAACGCAAAGGACACTGGTGCTGTTTCGCCGCCGGGTTGGATGTATTATGAGCGTAGCAGGCTTCATCGGGCTCTTCTTGGCGCCGCTACGGCGTCGACGGGGTCCGGTGTACCTGTTGAAGTGCGTCTTGGGACAGAGGTTATCTCGGTGGATACACAGGCTGCGAGGGTTGTGTTGGGTGATGGGAGGGTTTTTGAGGGGGATGTTGTTGTTGGGGCTGATGGGTTCTATGTAGGCCCTGCACGCGATGGTAGGGTTTCCCTAATGGACAGGACTGACTTCTTACGTAGTCAACCGTCCGCAAGACGATTGCCCATGTCGACACTATCCCCGTCAATGACCGGAAAATCGCTGTTCAATTCAGCATGCAGTCGTATTCAGGCCCGCTCACACAACGCTTCCCGAATCAGCCGGAGAGATACGAGAAATGGACAGGGTCGGACCTCGAGGTCCGAGTTTACTCCGTTGAGCCGGGGTATCTGCTCTTCGAGTGCACACTACCTGCACAGGCGGGAACCGGTATGACTTGCCATGATATCAATGTGATGGTCACACATATGCTAAATAAATATAGAAACAACCCCCGCCTCAGTTAAAGCGCAGCTCATACAAGCCTTTCCAAACAACCAGACAGAGCTCGCCCAGATCCTGGCTGCACTCGACACCAAGAATCTCCACTTGTGGACACAGGCGGAATACCCACGGGTCCAGACATGGACATCGAACAAGATTGTGCTCATCGGAGACGCAGCGCATCCATTCCTGCCGCGTAAGCGACTTTCTGCAAATCCCCCACCTCGGGTACCCCGCAAAGCTAACCTAACATGTTGGAACCTTAGACGAAGCCCCGGGGACATCCCAATCACTCAACGACGCAGCGGCCCTCGCTGCAGAGCTCTCCTCGGACGTGAAGGCAGAGGATATTCCACGCCACTTGGCTGGCTGGACAGCACTTCGGAAGGAGCGCCTGAAGACTCTACCATGTTTCTATGCCAGCGCCTGCACATAAGACCCACATACTTACCCCGTCCGTGCGTCCGTCCGTTTGTTGAAGTTGGGGTTCCGCGGGAACTAACCCCATTTCAGAGCCCCCGGATCTACCCCGGGCCCGCCGTCGCTTGCATTTTAGTATCAGTCATTTTAGTATCAGTATTAGTACAAGATCGCGCTCATAGGAACCCGTGTATACTAATCGTAACAACTCCCACACCTTCCTACTACTCGAAAGAAAAACCCAAACGAACCATGTCATCCCCCCTCGCCGTCCCCATCCCACCCTTTGACGACCTCCCCCTCCGCCCAGGCGACCCGCACCATTCAGCCTGGGGTCTATGGAAGAACCCGGCGCTGGGTGCACTCAATCATCTAACGGATGAGGTCGTGCTGCGGGCTGCGCGCGAGGAGGTTCGGTCTGGGGAGAGGGTTACGGTTAAGTATGTCCACATCCATTTGACTATACGTTCCCATCCTGAGCATGACTGTGTCTCTGCCTGATTTCTCTTTGTATTTCTTCTTTTTTTTTTTTTCTAATGACCATAATTCTATACATAGTCTCCCGCTAGACAGCATCAAGCCCGCTCTCCTGGGCCGCGTCGATTTCCAGCAGAAGCTTATCAATAAGGCGCCGAGGGTGATTAATGATGATGTGGTGAGTACTACCCTGATAGAATGATGGCCGGCTACGTTCCTACTCTTTTCCTGGAAAAGAAAAAAAAAGGAGAAATTGAGAAAGTATTTCATTGAGAGACTGACTTCTACTGCGGCTGCAATAGATTACCTTCAACACGCAGACAAGCACGCAATGGGACTCGTTCAGGCACTTTGCGTATCAGGAGGAGGGCAAGTTTTATAATGGGTGAGTTGCGACTTGACCTTGCCCATGTAGCTTAATCTAACCCCACGCAGCGTAACCCAAACCGACATCCACGATACACCAAACAGCACAATCAACGGGATAGACGGATGGTCCGAAAAAGCCATTGCTGGCCGCGGCGTCCTCGTCGACTACGCCTCGTGGGCCGCGAAGCAGCAAAAGCATCAAGGACACAGCACCCCCACCAATAACAGCGGCCTCACCGCGCACGCAATCACAGTCGCCGACCTCGAAGCCCTCTTGGCCGAGAGCAAGGTCACGCTGCGCACAGGCGATATCCTCTTCGTGCGCACGGGTTATCTAGCCTCGTACACGGCGCTCGATAAAGTTGGGCGGGAGAAGCTGGTGAGTAGCCCGCATGCGTGGCCGGGGCTTGAGCAGAGTGAGGAAATGGTCCGGTGGCTGTGGGAGAGGCAGTTTGCGGGCATTGCGGGGGATAATCCGGGGTTGGAGGTTGTTCGTGAGTTTTTTTTTTTTTTTTTTTTTTTTTTTCCCTAGCGTATCTTATCCTTTACACCGTTGCTGTAGAGTCCTCAACATCAAGGCAGGGGTACTGTATGGGTACATAGATACGGGGCAGTATAACTGACGTCTATCCATTCTAGCACCGGTAAACCCAACCTGGCAACTCCACCCGATCCTGCTCGCGGGCTGGGGCACACCGATCGGCGAGCTATTCGATCTGGAGGCGCTGGCTGAGACATGCAAGCGAAAGCAGCGGTGGACGTTCTTCGTTACCAGTGTACCGCTGGTTTATCGGGGAGTTGTGGCGTCTCCGCCGAATGGGGTGGCGATTTTTTAGGGTATGCATTCATATAGTTCGACTGTTACTACTTTATTATTATGAAAGGGTGGGAGAGGGCTGTCGGCTTTCGTCTTCTCGATATGGGTCTGTGTGCTAAACACTGCGAGCGTATCCTCTTGATTCGATTTGGTAGCCTGGTAGGAGGGTGCGTTTGAACTCGTACAAGTTGGAGTACTTGGAGTGGGGGCGTTTCCATGGATGCCTTCCCCGGGCCATGTCCACGGGTCCATTTCTACGTGCACCTCGTTGCAAGGCGGGATTGGCTCCCCCAATAACATAGCCTTTTTTTGGTGGATTTCCCTAGCTCTTTGGGAGCGTAGAGGCAGCTCCTGAGGCCAAGCATGGCGTGCATCCGGGGCCCATTTGTGAAAATAACCCACAAGGCACGGACCATATCTAGAGTGCCTTATACCTAGGTAAAACTAGAAGGACAAAATAAAGAAGATCCAAAGGAAACACGCACCCATATCAACCCAACCCAGCCCACTCCCTCCCAAACATCCACAAAAATGACTCCCTCCCTCCCGCGCTGGACACACCTCATCCGCTTCATCGCCATCGAAGACAACCACACCCACCTGGGGCAGTTGATCGACACCTTGCGCGACGTCGGGCGGGACTCGGTCGAGGGCAAGGAAATCGCCGTGTACGAAATCGACGGGACAATCTTCGATGGCCGAGTCACCGATCGCATCTTGCACGTCCGGCAGCTGTTGTCGCCTGTGTCTCGCGAGGAGTGTAACTATATTCGGTGTTTAGGCTTGAATTATGGGGAGCATGCAAAGGTCCGTCACGTCTAACCTTCCCCACCACTGCTGCAGTCACTGCAGATTATATTCCCTCGAGACCGAACCCTGACTTGGTGGGTTATACAGGAATCAAACCTCCCCCTCCCCCTTGCCCCAGTCCTCTTCACGAAACCCCGCAGCGCCCTAGCAAACCCCTACCCAGCACCAATCAACATCCCCTCTTGCGCCCAAGACGGCACAAGCGACTACGAAGCCGAACTCTGCGTCGTAATCGGCAAGACGGGCCGGGATATCCCCGCAGAGCACGCCCTCGAATATGTACTCGGTTACACGGCGGCAAATGATGTATCGGCGCGCAGTCTGCAGAGGGTCACGGCGCAGTGGTCGTTTTCAAAGGGGTTGGATGGGAGTTGTCCCCTAGGCCCCGTCCTCGTTTCTCCAACTGCAATCCCTGACCCGCAGACTCTATCCCTAAAGGCCATATACAACGGCGAAGTAGTCCAGGACGGGCACACGGGGGATATGATCTTTGACGTGCGCGCGCAGATTGCGTATCTCTCGCAGGGGACGACGCTGGAGGCGGGGACGATTATACTGACAGGGACTCCCGCGGGCATTGGGGCAGTAAGGCAGCCGAGGATCGTGTTGAGGGATGGCGATGAGATTTGTGTACAGGTTGAGGGGCTGGGTACGCTTGTTAATCGGGTTAGGTATGAGTGATTTTAGGCATACATGGTTCATGGTTCGTTTTCTTTGCATACAAGAGGTTGCGAGTGTGCGTTGAAGTTTTGCTGTGGTTTTGTAGCAGAGTATATCTATACAAGCTAGAGAGAGTATTTCAAGGTATCTGATTCCAGTTTATAACCCTACATGAAACATCACAACTTCGCCCGAGACCCAAGCTCACCACCCACTAAACCCACCAACATCCTCCTAACCACCTTCCCACTTCCAGTCCGCGGAATCTTCTCTATAAAATACACGCCGCCAGTAAGCCACTTATGCGGCGCAAACCGCTCCTTGACCATTTCCACTAACTCCGTGTCCGTGACGCGTCCGCCTTCTCTGCGGACGACGAAGGCGCGTGGGTACTCGACGCCATTTCTGTATACCAAGGTAAATTTTCCATTGTAAGTCTGTGTGTGGAAGCTCTCATACATGGTTTGGGGAGGAAATGGACTTACATTTGCGCGCCGACGACAGCTGCATCTGTGACGTCGGGGTGTGTCAGGAGGTATTGTTCGATTTCGGCGGGGGCGACTTGAAGGCCTTTGACTTTGATGAGTTCCTGGTATAAAAGTATTAGCTTGTTTTCATGCATGTATAATAGGTTGTACGTGCAGGGGTGCCCTACCTTAAGCCGACCAACAATATAAAGACACCCGCGTCCATCAATATACCCAATATCCCCCGTCCTCAGCCACCGCAGCCCGTCCTTTTCAACAATCGCCTCGGCCGTAGCAGCCGGTTTCTTAAAGTACCCCTTCATGATATTCGGCCCGGCAACCCAAATCTCACCTACAGTCGTCCCAGGCGGAGCACTGCTCGCGCCCTGGAAATCGCGGTCATTAAGCGGCTCAATCTTCGCAGCGCAGTTTGGATTCAGCCACCCAATCGACCGCCCGTCATCCTCGTCGTCTGGCGAAAAGCCGGTAATTGAACATGTTGTCTCCGTCATCCCCCAGCCCTGTTTGACGGAAACGCTGGGGCGGAGGTAGAGTTGCTCGATTGCGCGGCCGAGGTCAGGGCTTAATGGGGCGGAACCGCTAGTTACTGTTTCCACGGCGTAGAGGTTGTAGCGTTTTGCATTAGGTTGCTTGGCTAGGGTGGCCATTATGGCTGGGACGGAGACCATGAAATTGATGCGGTAGATGTCCATGTAGAGGAGGTACTTTTGGATGTCAAAGGACTTCATGATAAAGACTTTTGCGCCGAGGCGCGCGGCGTTCATGCAGTAGTATGTTTGGCCCTGAAAATATCATGTTAGTGAGACATCGTCACGTATGATATTGCACACTTACATAGGCATGATACATGGGAAGAGGCGCCAGCCACCTATCTCCTGACATCTGCATCCTCGCCCTCCGGGCGCGTCCCTTTGGGGTATCAGCGACCTGGTTACGCTTGGCCAGAAGCTGCATGGAATTGGCAACGGCATTGTAATGGGATATCTCGACTCCTTTCGGTAGTCCCGTCGTGCTTGACCAGTCAGCGCGAGATCCATCGCGAAATAAATCCACATACTCACCCGCTAGAGTAATTAATTATCGCCGTCGTCCGCATGGCCTCATCCAGGGTTGTGATTTGCCTCCATGACCAGTTCTGTACTTCTGCGGCTGGTGCCCATAGGTCTGTCCACGGTTGAAGGCTGGTAGCTGGGAGCACTGTACCAGTCTCATCCGTAGGATCCTGGAATAGATATACCTTGTCTCTGTTCAGTCCAACTCGCGCTGCGGCCTCCAGTGCCACGAGGACTTGTGCCTCTCCAGCCAGAACCAGTTTTGCGCCGGAGTCGCGCAGCTGATATTCCAGTTCTATATATATATACCCGATTTAGCGAAAACACACACCCACACGCACACATATATATATATAGGAGATAAAACACGGTCAACGTACCAGAAACACTCGCTACCGGCGCCGCGGCCGTAAACACAAACCCCCCAGCAAGTACACCCCACAGCAGGACCGGGCAAAACAAACAATTGCCCGAAAAGAGCAGTACCTTGTCATCCGGTTCAAGGCCCGCTCTATCCTGGAGGCCCTTCGCAATCTGCTTGGTGAATACCTTGGCCTCTGCGAGACTGTAGCATTTCGACGAGGGCGCCGCGGCGTCAAAGTACTGCAGCGCTGCGCGGGATTCGGGCGTTCCGGAGGCGAAAACAAAGGATGCGACGTCTGTTGGCGGGATGTGGACTGTGAGTGGGGATTTGATCATGTTGATGGTCGTGTTGGTGTTGGTGTTGTTCATCTTGCGGTAGAAGTGGAAGCGCGCAGTGTCGATGGCGGTTCTAGACTACTAGTACGGGTCACCTATACTCCTACTAGTAGTAGTACACCCTGGGCCACGGCTAAATGACCTCGTCGGGCTCGGCTGGCCCTCGGGTCTCGCCCGACGGTGGGTGCTCGCAGGCTGCTTTCCACGGATCCTTCCACGGATGGATGCCAAGGTTGCCTATTCGCTGCTGCAACATTGTAGATTGGGGCTTGCTACTCAAGGATATGGATGTAATGGCTGCTAATGATGCACGACACGCCCGACGAATACAAATACCTGGATATATGTAGGCGCTCCTTGGTTAGGCAGATTATGTTATCTTGATAGGTGTAAACACATGTACATATATATCTGTATATACATCTACATATACATAACACACTCACACATGTTTTTATTCATGTATGTACCTACATCAAAATCAGACCCGTTGCCTTCTCAGCAACAGCATACAGAATTGCCTAGTATTGCGCTGCAATCGACAGGCAAGATACTTGCATCCGCAACTACATATGAATTGGTTTGTGGATATTCTTGAGGGTAAAGAGTTCACGAATCCGTAGCTCTGTTCAACCGGCCTCTTCCTAGATATAGAAAGAATAGAAGCCGGCAGTAATGATATAGCGCGGCGGAATATAATATTGTGTTGGTCCTTGCATAGATTATTGCATAGAGGGAGGTTCCAAACCAGATTATCTGGATAGTCTCCTATTCTACAATACATACACTTTCAATTCGCAAACTTTCTGATTACGAGTCAGACGCGCTACCACCCAGAGCTTCCTTACCTGATCTAAAGAAAGTATCGCCCCTGGTTCAAAGTTGTGCTCAGATTAATGGAAATCGACAGACATGACTCAAAATTGGAAACTATATATACACGTGCTAATGTATCTTTGAGCAAAACTTGATTTAAAGTGTGACAAGATTATCAGGGAAAACCATGCTGACTTATGATCAATCCTACAGGAGGGACGTGTAGGTCCCAGCAACGAGAAGAGCTAGCGGTGCGTAGGCTGGTACTTATAGCAACTCTCGGATCCAAGATGATGTAAGCCCTTATGGCGTAGTGGTAGCGCGTCTCACTCGTAATGAGAAGGTCCATAGTTCAATCCTGTGTGAGGGCATTATTTTTTTTCTTTTCTTTTTCACAAGAACCACACGGCCACTTACCCTTCTCCTTTTCCCACATAGCTAATCAAATCATGTGCTAGTATTGACTGGTTGGCTCCTATCACGGGGAGCGGCGTGCATGCGGATTGCCTGAGGCACTCAATACCCGACAAGTACTTATGCTGATATTTATCTATGTATATAAGCATAGATCCGCTTTAATATCATATAGGGCCTAACATGCTTGGAGGTTTCTAGTTTAAAGACATGATTTCATTGGTGTGCGGGGACCGGGGGAATTTAGTTGAAATGAATGACAATGGTCTGCTTGAGTGTTCAAGCCAGCTATTCTTGCGTTGCTATATAGTACGCTCGAATTGAAGATCATGCCAAGTAGAGCTGTACCCCATAGTACATAGTCAAGATCATCATGGATCAACCCGCGGATAGCATGCCCCAGACGGAACGGCTTGACATCAGATTTGTACCAAAGTGTGATTCTTTTCAACCTTTGGAGCAGAAGATCGGAGAAGAACTCAGAGCGAGAGGTGTCCCCTGTGTACCGAGACTCATCCCACTAGGTGCAGGGGCGGCTGACATATTTGGACAAACAGGTATTCTCCATGATTCCCAGCCCAGCACGGAAGGTGAGTAGCGTACGTAGTTGGTTTGGGCCTGCTGACCCATGCGCTTCGAGTGTCAACAAGGGTATTGCACATAAAGAATACCTGGTTCAAGGGCACTAAATTCAATGCAGAGATAACCAGTCTGCATTGAAGTAGTCTCAATCAACATGGGCTAAGTACATAACTTTGGCAAAAGAACAAAAACACCAAACTCCAAGGTCACGCCTGGCCAGAAGCAGACCTAGCCCAACAATACTCAACAGGGCCAGATCGAAATCCATCAAGCATGCATATGTGTAGCGCAGTACGGTACGCCAGTAAACTGACGGCCAGACGAACCTAGATGCCAAGATTAAGGTATATAAGGAAACACATCGTGAAAACGAGTACTCGTTTACGTCTCCCCTTTCATATAATTCTGACACCGCACCTGCACGGTCTTTTCCTCGCCGCCATCGGATATCACGTAGGCGGTTAACTTGCCGCCCTTTACGCAACCCGAGTCGATGCCCTTGGTGTACTCCTTGAGCGAGAGGCCCGATTTGGCGTCGTGGCCGTAGATCACTGTTGTAACCCCGTTTTTGGATGAGAGGGCGAGGGATTGGTGTTTGTTGAATAGCTTTAGTTCATGTTAATCAGTAAACTCGCGTCTGGTCGATGGGAGGGTGTATACCTTTGTCCACTTCATGCCCTTGTCTCGGACGGGGCTGGGTACGTGCGTTGCGAGGTCGATGGAGAGCATGTTCATGACGCTAAACGGGTCCTGCTTGTCGAGGTCGACTCCCGGCACGAGACCACCGTGAGCGACGACGACTTGGCCCATGTTTGCGACGGGGCCGACGTTCAGGATGACGGGGCAGTCGCCCAGGTAGTCTGCTTGCTCGTCGGTCAGCTCGCGGGCGAGCTTGCGGGACTTGGCGTCTAGCGGGTGGTATGTGTTTAGCTCTTCATCGGTGAGGTTTGACGAGAGCATTTCGTGGCGGAGGACGAGGACTCGGTCGTCGTGGTTGCCGCGGACGCAGGAGGCGTTGTAGTCTCGGGCGAGGTCGACGACGCCGGCGCTGTCGGGGCCCTTTTCGATCAAATCGCCGGTGAATATTAGGTGGTCGTGCTCGGCGTCAAAGGAGACTTTGTCGAGCAGTTGTTCCACTGTAACACTCAAAACATTAGCATTGAGAAACCGAGTCCGGAAATCATCAAGGCATACACTCCGTCTTGCACCCATGCACATCCCCAACGAAAATCAACCTCCGCTCATTCGACTGCCCCTCCTCGGGCGCCATCTTCGCAGGCAAAAACGCCTTATCCAACTCCTTCAACTGAATCACATCCTCCAACTGCGGCAGCGCACTCGTCCCAAACCACCCGCCGGCCTTATTCCTCTGTTTCGGATCGAGCGAATGCAGCAGCGCCGAATTCTCCTTTAATCTCGGAAAGAGGAAATACTGCCACCCGATCCAGCAGGCAAGGACAAGACCGAGATAAACAACGACGTATCTCCGGAAGCGCGGCGCCGTGACGATCGACACGACCATGGCCGCCCATTTTTTCGGCGACTCGGACCGGTCCGAGACGGAGGAGGTGAGGTGCGTGTATTTGGCGCCGGGCTGCCAGTCGGCGTTGCGGACGTAGTCGATTAATGGGCGGGCGAAGCGTGTGAATCGGCCCGGGGGGGAAGGGGATGAGGAGGAGGTTGGGTGGTGGTATAGACCATCTTCTGAGACGTCGTCGGAGAACTCGAGGGCTTCGCGCTCGCGGTCTGTCATCTTTTTTGCGGGTTGTGGAGGAACCACGCGCTGGCACTCGATTCCGTGGTCGGCAATGGAGTCAGCAGGGGTTTCCTTGAATTTGTATCAATGTGTGTCCATGAGATTCAATCTGTGATTGATTCGAATGTGTGAGGATTGCTGGTTGAGGAGTGAGAGGAGTCTCGTGTCTTGAGGGTAATGTGTCGTGTGCCTGGCTGGCCCGATGCAACGATAGGCTGTGATAGGGCTGGCCCGGCACAGCCTTAGACTCTTGGTTCTGCTTTGCGGTCCTCGAATCGCAACAGCTCCTGATTGCTGCGAATCCATGGATTGTCCGGGGATTCACTTTTTGAGGATTTATACTAAAAATATCACTTTGCCAATAATGGGTTATTGCTGCGCTCTTGTTTTGCCAATTGATTGTGAAACGATCGAGATTGACAATTCAGCATCGCAGGCTTTTGAATCCAGTATATTTTATTTTGCTAATGTACATAAATATCTTATCTATATTGTTCATAAAACTCCATCTCCTCTCTGCGCTGCTTGACCTTTTGCAGCACCTCCTCGCTGTAAATCTCCTCAACCTTCTTTCCACCAACAAGAATTTCTTTTTCATGGCGAGTGGCCTCTTCCTTCGTCATAAGTACCAGGTCTTGTGGTTTGAATGGAATAAACACCTGCCCTCGTTCATTCCACTCAGTATTGGGCTTGAATCCTTGTTCCGGGCGATTCCACAGAGTGAGCACGAGCCGGCTGGGAAGCCCACTGACTACACTCTTGCCTCGCCAAATCTCGTCGACCAGGTACATGACGTCGTCCCGGCTGATAGGCAAACGCAATCCGATCGGCTGAGTTCCAATCTCTGCACGTGCGAGTCGCTCAAGGGTTACTAGCAACGCCGAGTGGATGGTATCGTAGAGCTTGTCTTTGCCCTTTCCTCCCATGCTGTAGTCTGTCGGGTATCCCGAGATTTCGCAAATGACATGGTTGGCGAGGACGTACCCGAATACTGCGGGCATGGTTCCAAGGACAGGAAGGATTCGAGAACGGAAGTCTGGTAGCACCGATAGCTCGTCCACCTGACCTTTTGTGAACTCCTCTTCTGCCAAAGGCAATAAAGTGGCCTTGCCCGGTCCAGGCTTTTCTGTCGAGAAAACCACGGGAATGCCAGAGCTAACGCCCTTGAGCTTGAGACGCCGTCTGGTGCTCCGTGACAGCCGGTCATCCGAACTGACCGAGATATCGGCAATCATAACACGAGTGGGATCTGATTTGCATCCCGCACCCATCGACGAAATAACTGGGATTGAATGCGTGTGGCAGTAGTGCAGCAGTTCCACCTTGGACGTGATGTTATCAATACAATCCAGTACATAGGCAGGTTTCTGTCCCTTGTCGGCATCATCCACAGACCACGGCGCCAACAGGTCATCGGCCACCGATCCTCCAAAGAGCTCATTTCGGCAATCGAACTTGGCCCATGGGATGATCTGCTGCAACCGCCTGCGGATACAGTTCACCTTTGGCGTGCCCACGTCGGCCAGCGTAGCCAGAGCGTGCCGGTTCAGGGATGAAAGCGTGACTTGGTCAAAGTCGATCAGGCGGATCTTGGAAACACCAGATCGAGCCAGCGAAGCCACGGCGTGCGAACCGACGCCTCCGCATCCAACCACAATTATGAACGAGGACCGGAGCTTTGCAAGCCCTTCGTCAGTAAGAAAAACGCGGTTACGAGCCAGCTGCTCTAGGATAAGTTCTGTGAGCGCAGGTTATGTCAGCGACCTTGCTCAATGAGACGGGGTATTGAACGGTGTAATCACCCTCATCGTAATCTCCTTGTTGCGCCCTGCGCGCCAGAGCTGCGCCGCGCTCATCTTCCTTGGTCCAACCTGGTCCTGCCGCCGCAACGCCATATTCATTCAGCCTCTCTGCGCGGTGTTTTTCATCGAGTTCGGGGATAGAGTCTTTCAATCGCTTCACGGCTTCTCGTCGTCTGAATTTCTGGAGGCCGAATATCGCACCCGCCACAGCCGCACCGGAGATTACCGCAGTCGCGGCGAGCTGAGCTTGGTGGGAGTTACCCTGTCGCTGGATCCAAAAAGACATGTTGATCGTTCAGGATTGGTTCTAAGAAGGCTCAAATGCGCCGCTGTCGGTCGTTCAGTTCATGCGCCGTACCTGAAAACTGTGGTTAATTAGAGACAAGGATAATCAGATCGTCTCAAGGGAATAGCTAGAGAAGACGCACGGGTGGGTAATTGAGGAAATTCAGCTTACCATTAATCTCTTCAAAGCAAGTCATAAACCCATGCAATCCATGCAATCATAAAACCCGTCAAGCAGGTGCTCCGCTCCGCAAAGCTCATGCAAGCTGATGACATAGTTGGAGTCACGTGAATCGTTCCTACTTTATTTCGCATTCGCAAACAATCTCCCCTTCTTTCCGCAAGTACCAAGAGGTAAGCCCCCGGTCGGCATCTTTGAACTCGCTTTCGCAATTCGTGACCTATAGCTAACGATAGCAATCAAGGTTTTTGGAGACGACCTTTTGCTACGATCCCAATGACGATACACCCTCACTCGAGCTTCTCATGACACCTTGACAAGCGGACAGTGTCCCGACAAATGGAGATCATCCTTCGTGAGCCCCCCGCCGGCAACCGAATGGAAGGTGAAATTTGCCCAAGTGTGGATGATTGAGAATTGAACAGAAATCTAAGGGATTCGCGACTGGTTTCTTCGATCCTCGGGCTGGTCGCGTCGTGCCGTGCCATTTGTTACCTACGGATGTCGGTCCGATGCAAAGTGAGCCAGCGGCGTGGACGAGCACGCGTCGAAGTCTGGAGTCACTGACCCGTTACTGCTGAATGTTATACTGACCCTTTTCCGAGATATTTCCCCCATGCTTATTTTCCCCTGTTCCCTGCCGACGCCGATCTTGTTTATAATTGACTCGAATGAAAGATGTTCCCTTTCCTCATATACTCCTCTCCTGTGTCTACTTAACCTATCGATCAGTGCTGCCCGGTGACGAGGCATGTACCAAAAGCCAAAGTTGCAGGATATCCGGCCTTGGTGTACTTTTAGTACACAAACTCTTGCCTGGAAATCAATGAGAACCTGAGAGCTAATCTGAGGGCAGCCACATGATCATATATGTTAGGTTTAGATAAGAACATATACAGCGAGAGCTTTTCATGCGACGCTCCCTCCGGTGCGTGAATATTTTGACATATCCTCTAGGAAGACACCCTAGCCATAGCACTCCATCTTGACTACGAGCCTAGGCCAGTGCCCAATCTGCCATCATCAACGAAAGATGCGTAGACGTAGTGCCTTGCTGACCCAAACAAGCACTGGCCTGCCAATCTGAGTTACAGTAGCATCCGAGCATCAGCTGTCAACCTTGGTTAAACTAATCTATGACCCGGTTGAGTTGATGATGGGGAGCAAGGTGTGCCTGGCCCTGGACAGGCACAGGAAAGCCACCCCGCCGGGCTGGAGTCATTGCGCAATGTGCACGTTCCCTGGAATCTCGGCGCCTCTCGGCTCTTAAGGCTCATGCATGATTGCCAGAATCCCTCCATCTCCCCTTAGAGCCAAGTCTGATCGACGGCGCCGAACTATGACGCGGCTGCGGCAGATGGTGATGGGCTTATTGTTTCTGCCTTTGCCGGAGAGGAGCTGTCAACCTGGGTCTTAGAAATACTACGGACAGGCAGCTAGAGTAAAGCACATGGTGTTAAAAGTGATGGCGAGACGATAGACTGACGCCAGAAAAGAGTAGTTCGTCATAATCTGGACTCTTGAGATCGGAGTGGGGTCTGTAACGTTGAACGGGGATAGACTCAGGACATGGCCGGAAACGGCGATTTTCAGCAGAGCTGCAGACACGAGATACAACATCGGGACAGTCATCGTGGGGAACGCCCGAGAAGCCCGAGGTGGTGATCTGAGATAATCCAAGAAATTCGCCTGATAAAAGTGTGTTTCATGGAGGGGATCCTAGCCCTTTGCGGTGATGAGTTACACTACACGAGGGGCGCGGATGTCACGAAGAATATAAAACACTTTTCGCCCCTGAATTTCGCATCGCATAAATCTACGACGTTCTCTTGCAAGACCGACAAGGTGGCCAACTTCTATCCTGACAGCCTGACAGCCTCTGGATTCGCTGAGGTGTGCAGCTTCCACGCGGCGCGGCCGCCGCTAATTCTCGAATTTCCCCCCAGCATTACGACAGCTCTCGTCTCTACGCAACACCTTACGTATTCTCAACGCCTCTTTTGTATTCGCCCTGCGCTCTTCAAATATCTTCCTCCTGCTTTCTGCTGCTAGTCGGCAGCATCGTTTCTTCAGTACGACCTTTGTTGCTGGTCAATTGGTCGTTCTTAATCCGCGAACCTGACATCATCGAATCGCGCGCTAGCACCGGGATCTTGTTGCATGGTTCGGATTTATCGCACTCGGTCCAACTGCGCTCGCCCCCCTGACCATTCTGAACGAAGCAGACATGTTTGGCCCTCGGACTGCCATCCAGTGAACAGCTTGGAAGGATTTACAAACGAGCTGCTTGGAGCTCCAGGCGAATCAACCTGCTCGGAAGCTTGAGGCTCCCCGAAAAAAAAAAGTCAATTGGCCGTTGACCTGGCGCTGCCAGTTTGATTCACCAGGAATACCGTCGCAACTTTGCATTGCAGCCATGCTCACATTCCGAAAGGCGCTTATCATAGCAGCCGTCTTCATCTCCCTCATCCTCTTCTTCCGATCCTCCTCCAGCCCCTCCGCGACATCTCCGTCCCCGCTAGCCTCGCCGCAAGAAAAGACCGCATACGAAATCAGTGAATCAACGAAAGAGAAGCCATCTGTAGACAATGCAGAGCCCCAACAGCAACAGACTATAAAACCGCCGCTTCCGCCGCCTACCGCACCCTTGCGCGAGCGCCTGCGATATCATTTCTCATACCATCTGGAGGACAAATTCCCGGCATACATCTGGCAGACATGGAAGTATACGCCGGCGTCTCTATGGTTCCGCCAGGAGCTGCGGCGACCAGAGGCAAGCTGGACGGAAATGAATCCTACATTCATCCACCAGGTCATTCCAGATGATACCCTGCACCACCTGATCAAATACCTCTACGGCTCGATCCCCGAGGTCTTCGAGGCCTTCGACTCCATGCCCATCCCCGTGCTCAAGGCCGACTTTTTCAGATACCTGATCCTCCTCGCGCGCGGTGGGATCTACAGCGACATCGACACCACGGCCTTAAAACCAGTCGTGGACTGGCTACCCAGTAACCTCGACCTGTCAACCGTCGGCTTCGTCGTCGGCATCGAGGCCGACCCAGATCGACCAGACTGGCAAGATTGGTACTCGCGCCGGATCCAATTTTGCCAGTGGACCATCCAGTCGAAACCGGGCCACCCGATCCTAATCGATATCGTAAGCTACATCACCGAGGAAGCCCTGCGGATGAAGAAAGCGGGCATCCTAAAGAAGGGGAAGATGGACAAGACGATTGTTGAATTCACGGGGCCCGCAGCCTGGACGGATGCCGTGTTCCGGTACTTCAATGACCCGGAGTACTTTGCCATCGAACCGGGGTCCACGAAGAATATTACCTACGAAGACTTTACCAACCAAGTCGAGTATCAGAAAGTTGGCGATGTCGTGGTTTTACCAATCACCAGCTTCAGTCCTGGTGTTCAGCAGATGGGGGCTCAGGATGTGGATGATCCCATGGCGTTCGTTAAGCATGATTTCGAAGGTTGGTTCTCGCGTGCCCTTTTACCCTTGAGCAAGCAGGTCGGTAGAGCTAACATTTCGATAGGAACTTGGAAAACGGACCCCTCGCTGTGAAAGCAGAAGAACGACCCCATATAAAAACACCAAAATTGTTCTGTTCCTCATAAGGAACTGAGATTGACCGAGTACCTAACACTTTTGAGTCCTCGAGACCACCCATACAAGGACGGACTCTCACTAATCAGGGGCATTACCCTACTTCCGCCCCATCGCCGCTCCATCGCCTCGGACACGACGAGGGGCGGAAGTACTCTCACGTCCGGCAGGCTTTGGGCACGCAACAGGAGTGCATGCAGAAAGAATATCTGTATCCGCTCGGTCCCTGCTTTTACCGTGGACTTGCACTTGTTGATAGAAGGCAACACTGTGCAAGAGGCAATGCTTTCATTGGTACTATCGACACAGTGGTCGCCTAGGGCACGCTCTGCCCGATGTACCAGTACATGCATGTATATGTATTCTCTTCTATTCTTCTGTGTCTTTTTACAGCCACTCATATATAGACCTAATATTACGCTCACGCATGACGTATCAGTACTACAAAAGGTATCCGCACTAGTGATTGTAGATACTAGAGTTCGAATTGCCCAGGTGGAGGGAACAACCTTCCATTCCTGATCCGGGCAACCTTGCTGTCTTGGCAACAAGGCATTCAAGGATATATTTGATTTGGGTTTCAATGAAACGTACACGAAGAAAGAGTCGTTATTAGATAGTATGGACAAGATCTAGTGGCCCGAATGAGGCGTACAGGAAGGCAACAGCATACGGGCCAGTCGAAACAAGTAAGCAACCTAGATAGATTGCGTGCGCCGTATATGTTTAGGTATGTCGAGCGTAGATGAGGCAGATGCGTGTGTCTGCACATGATATGTAAGAAGGGCAAAAGCCAAATGCCAGCACTTGAGATCAAGAATTAAGATGCGATTGAGGATTAGATGAAAGCCGCCAAGCTTTCCTTGTGATATCGACGCCCGGATAGTGCCGGTGTTCTCGACGGAGAATGGAGAACATACATATCGGCGATGTTCAGAGACTCGGTAGAAAGAGCAGGTATAGGCGACTTAAGGACAGAGGCTGCACAAGTCAAAACTTTCTCAGTAGAGTACGTATAGAATATGCCCAGTGCATGGGATTATGAGGTCGTAGAAAGTCATATCGAGGTGGATCGGCAGCCATTGCCGGTCCATATATGGCGCGTCGAGCCATGCGCTCGCGGGTAGGTGTAATCGCCGCCATATGCTCCGGGCTTCGAGAGTTGGAGAAATTTACATCTCCGGCGGGAAAGCATCGTCGCCTGGCGGGATGCTTGCGAGCGCAGAGTTCCCAGATAATGCTCCCACCAACTGTCATCCGCCATCCTAGAAATCACTAAACAGTGCCTCGTACTTTGACCGCATATCATCAGAATATATGCTTTGGTTCTTCGGATCAGGGTCGGGATATTCTTCAAAATTCCCGGTATCTGCGGGATGGTCGACACGAGGGATGATAGGACCTTTGACGCGGCGGTAATACAGATCGTCCCAGTTGATATCCGCAAAGAATGGATGGTTCCTGACCCTCGCTGACCCGCCTGATATGTGCCCGAGACGCTCAGCCGGATTCGTCTTACATAGTAACGAGATTATGTTCTGTGCCGCGGGTGACATATTTTGAGGAAAGCGTATGCGACCTTCGACAATCTGTTCGTAGATTCGCATGGGATTCTGGTCCCAAAAAGGGGGCTGTCCAACGAGAAACTCGTATATCAAGATTCCCAAAGCCCACCAATCCACGGCAAGGCCATGTCCACTGTTATGTATCACCTCCGGCGCCAGATACTCCGGAGTACCACAGAGAGTATAAGTTTCGCGATCGCCGATCTGCTTTGCGAAACCAAAATCAACGAGCTTGATGTGCCCGTCCGCATCGAGGAGGATATTCTCTGGCTTCATATCTCGATAAACCACGCCCTCGGCATCGTGGAGGAATTCAATCGTCATTGTAATTTCGGCTGCATAGAATCTCGAGGTGGTTTCGCTGAACCGTCGCGCGCGGCGCAGGTAACTGAAGATCTCGCCTCCGGGACAGTAGTCCAGCTGGAGGAGGGTCAGTCAACTAGCAGAAGATAGCGCCCACGATGGATAAGTGCGTACCAGCATATACAGACTTTGACTGTCAGAGAAGGAAGTTATCAGGGTTGTTATAAAAGGATGGCCGGACACATCCGAAAGGGTTCTCCGTTCATTGCGAACATGCTCGACTTGCTTGAGTTTGATCACTGACGACAAATATGTCAGCCGGCATTCGATAGAATAGAGAATATGGTTATTCGTACCATCTGCCTTTCTCAAAATCTTCAGCGCATAAACCTTGTCCGGTTTGGCTCTTTCATCCCGCAATTTCGCCAGCCATACTCGGGCAAAAGTACCTGTAGGAAAACGAGCCCGCCATTAAAAGCCGTTCGGCAGGACTGACAGCGGACCTGTACTAACCGGTACCGAGGGTCTTCAACAGTACGAAGTCTCGAACACTCAGCTGGCGGGCCGAGAATCCTAGCTGCTTCTCCTCCGGTCGCTCGGTGATGACGAACGGATTGAGCTGTCGCTGTGTCGGCGGTCGGACTGACGATACCGTCTGCTTTTCGCGTTCGTGGATTTCTTCTGGACTGCGGCTACTCATATTCGTAGAGGCCGATGATCCCTGCATACCACTATGTGTCGAGAGGTCGGCGGTTCCTGAAGCCATTGAGATGGCTAGAGATCATCTCTCGGTAAGATGGCGGGGGAGAAGCGACTCGAAAAAAAGTAGAGCACAAGGTAGCAATTGAGCGAGTGGCAAGTTCACCAAGTTAGCGAACGATCGCGACAGATGCATTTACCATATAGAAAGAAAAAAAATGGTCAAGATCAATAGGAACGGGGGGCAAACAAAGAGAGATCACTGCGAGTGCAGGATGAAAGAGCTTTTTTGATGTCGGCGCTACGGAGGCTCTGACGTTACCGGCTGGCGGGGCTGGTCATCTAAAGCCGCTCCTGTCAAAACAAAGGATCCAATCCAGTCACAATGCCTAGAAGAAGCATTCTTGTCGCATAATCGTGTAGTACAGGAAGAGGTAGCAGGTTCAACCTGATGCTATTTGTGGTCCGAAACACATGTAGACATGTACTAGTACAGGATTTCCTCCAAAAAGAGGATATAAGTCATAAATGGACTTGCGCGGACAAACCCAGTGCGCGATCTCGCTAGACTAGGACAGAGTCGGTTCTTGCAAGTCCGTCAGTTCGTCATCCTCGCCAAAAAGTCTATACAAGCAGAGGCGTGGTATGGCATCAATGGAGCACGAAAGGTCAAGCCGCCGGGGGGAACCCGGAGCCGACGCCAAATAGTACTCAGCCCGAACTCTTCGAGTTAAGAATCAGGCCAACGATTAATCTGTCGCAGTTAGCAAGGTAAAGTTTATTGGCGTGAAGCATCACACGTACCCATATAGCCCAAGAACTTCGCCGAAAATCAAGATAAGGATCATGCCAACGTAGACCCTCGATTGCTGCATGTAAGCACGGACGCCCTATAACTGACGTTAGAAACCCCCGTTGACTTGTATAGCCAGCTGGTATCGGCTTACAGCGTCTCCAACAATTCCAATAGTGTACCCAGCAGCGACTCCTGCAAGACCGACCGAAAGTCCCGACGAGAGATGCATACATCCCCTTCACTCATTATTAGCATATATCCCTTGTTTGGGTATATCGACGGGTTGGACGAACGTGTATAAACTCAGGGTCTGGGCCGGGGGCGGGCTGAGGTCACCCGCAATGAGAACAGCGATAACCAGACCGTAGACAGCGATAATACCGGACATGACGACAGGGATTAATGACTATCACAATAAACGGTTAGCGGATAGATAGTCGCGTACTGACCTGTATACAGGTCTCAAAAGTGCGTTGTCCTACCTTCATGATCAAGTCAGGCCTGAACGTACCAACACCGGCAATACCAATTCCGGCCTTCGCTGTTCCATACGCCGCTCCTACAGCTGCAATAATAAGCTCCAATTATTCGCCATATAGTCCGAGATTGGGCAACGTACATCCGAAGATCATCTTTCGCGAAAGTGTTAGCTACCTAGCTGCGGAGGTCGGGGTTGGAGTACACTCACTGCTGAGGCAATTCCCGCCTGGCTCCGCGTTAGCAATTAGAGTCTCAAGCACTCCAAGGACCCAGCCAAAAGCTCGATGACTTACAAATGACAGGAAAGGAGCGAACTTGGGTGCGAAGTCGTTGTCCGCCATGGTGAGCTGATCTGAGGACGGAGAAGGGAAAGGAGAAAGCGGAGAGAAAGAGAGCTCTAGCGCAGAACTCCGAGATCAAAACTGTCAAGAGATTAGAAGTAATATATAGAAGATTTGCAAAGAAAGAGCTTGAGATGTCGAGCGACGGAGTCCGCGTAGAGAGGGAGAAGAGGTGACCGAAGTTGCTTGCGTGGGCCACCGTATAGCCACCTTGGCCCGTCTGGGTTAAGCCTGACATGTGCCTGTTCGACCCAACAACTGAACTGACCTTGACTTCAACCCCCGTGCTCTCTTTTCTTCACGCACGCCAGTCACAACCACGATATTTCTCGACAATCCCCTCCCCGCATTCACGCTCACATCCTGCGTCATCCCGTCTGGCTTGTCGCTCCAGACTCGATCTGCCGGCCGATCGATCCGCGCTGAGGGAAGGATGCTGAGGTTATGAACTGCATCGGCACTGGTCTGCCATTGCGCTCAAGGCTCCTAGTTCACTTCGATTGCCGGCCTTTTACACCACGCGGTGTCGCCATATAGCATATCCAAGGCATGAGATTCTACTGAAGGACAATCTGCATCTCGCTTTTCCCTTCTTTCTCAATTCCTTGTTGTTGTTTGTCTCATTTCTTTTGCCTTGTTTCCCTTTACGTTGTTTCTCGATCGACTATCAATTACTTGCTGTGGAGTACCGTCAATCCACCCCCCTCTTCCCTTTCCGCCATCTCCACGAATCGAACGAAACCCCCGAAACGTCTCTGTACGCTTTTAACGACTGGACTCGATACCCCTCCTCTTTTCTAAAACTCGACTCACGATCTTATAACAACCCACACCTCCTTTCGTCAATATCCCGTTCCATCCGGGGATCAAAATAGAGGGCCCAGCTGCAGAGAGAGTCCACGGGGATATCACACAACATGGCCGACATAGGGGGCCAGCAAGGCCGGAATCACCGGCCTTACGGCCATGCCTCGACTGTTCAGCGTGATGCTGCTTTCTCAGAGATTTTCGGCGGTGCTCGGCAGCCAGGACGCTCGCAGACCATGACATCTCAGACTCCTCACTTTTCCCAGGACCGAGCCCAGACCATGTCCGCGCAAGTACAGCACCCGCAGATGCAGAGAGGTCCACCACCACCAATGCGCCAAATGCCCAACGGATACGCACCAAACCCACCCCCGAATGGACACTATCAAGCCTACCAGGGACCGTCGGCGATGGGTCCCCCGCAACCTCCTCAGGGGGCTCCTCGACCTTATCCCGGACGTTATGCTTACCCTCAACCTCAGCGCTTGGATTCTAGACCAGGTCCTGGACCTCAATATCAGGATCCGAAGGGATATAACCGGGCGCCACCTGTACCGCACCCCGCTCTGAACTCAGACGCTTTCAGGTCAAGGTCCATGGCAAAACTCGGAGGACCGCCAATGTATCAACCGTCACCACCAAATAGTTACAACCATACATCCGCTCTTGCATCCCGAAACCAGGTGTATAACGCCCCTAACGTCCCGGTCCCGATTACCGCCCAGGGCCGCCCTGTACCGGAGAGACACGGAGATGGACGCACCATGTCTTTGACCTCATACTCAGTAGATCGCGAGGCAACCCGTACGATGACAGGACGCCCGATTCCGAATCGACGACCGCCGTCAGGCCCTGCGCAACCGCCGCTCAGCCAAGGTGAGGTGGATCCAGCTCATACTCAATTCATCAACGGAAGGCCTCGCCCGCCGAGCGACGGTTCAGTAGCTTCGCGGTCCTTCTCCATGGCATCTACTGTTACTCCCGATCGCACGATGAGCATGCAGAGCACTATGACTCACCGGCCAAGTACCACGACGACCACAGCGACCCTTGTCTCGAACAATAGCGTCTCACGCGGAAGTACAGTGCCAGTAGTTTATCCGGCCCTTCTTTCACGAGTCGCCGACGCCTTTCGAGAACAGATTGGGCTCAGCGAGAAGCAAAAGAACGGGCTGTCGTATCAGAACGCTTTTTCGGGTGCAGATGCAGTGGATTTGATTGCCTTGATTATTAAGACAACTGATCGGAACCTTGCTCTTCTTCTTGGCAGGGCTTTGGATGCGCAAAAGTTCTTCCATGATGTCACATACGACCATCGACTCCGAGATGCTCCCGGTGAAATCTACCAATTCAAAGAGACAATGGGTGAAGAGGCGCCCAGCTCTGAAGTCAATGGTGTTTTTACTCTCTTGACGGAGTGCTACTCCCCCACCTGTAATCGCGACAGCCTTTGCTATTCAATAGCTTGTCCTCGACGGCTGGAGCAGCAGGCGAGGTTGAACATGAAGCCGCTTCCCGGGCTGCACACGTCCCCATCTAAAAGCAACCTTCATGTTGACGACGATGCCGATGATAATCAGAAACTATGGATCAACATGGTTCCGAAGGAGGTTTCGGACAGTGTCGATGATCGGGAAAAGAAACGACAGGAAATCATCTTTGAGATCCTGTACACCGAGCGCGATTTTGTAAAAGACTTGGAATATTTGCGCGACTTCTGGATGAGACCTTTACGTTCCGCCAATAACTCACCTATTCCCGAACACAGGCGTGAAAAGTTTATTCGGACTGTTTTCGGCAACTGCTTGGATGTCCTCAAGGTTAACGGTGCGCTTTCTGAGGCTCTCAACGCGAGGCAAAAGGAAAGCCATGTGGTGAGATCCGTGGGTGACATCTTTTGCCAACACGTACCTCGGTTCGATCCTTTCATCAAGTATGGTGCGAATCAGTTGTATGGCCGATATGAGTTTGAGAAGGAAAAGTCATCGAACCCGGCGTTTGCGAAGTTTGTCGAGGACACTGAGCGTTTGAAGGAGTCTCGAAAACTGGAGCTGAACGGATACTTGACCAAACCGACAACTCGTCTTGCGCGATATCCACTTCTACTAGAGCAGGTTTCCAAGTACACTGCCGAGGGTGATCCGGATAAGGAGGACATTCCTAACGCGATCAAGATTATCAAGGACTTTTTGTCTCGTGTCAATGCTGAGAGTGGAAGGGCCGAGAATCACTTCAATCTAGTGCAACTCAACGCAGCGTTGAAATTCACTCCAGGCGACTATGTTGACCTCAAGCTCACGGAAGAGAATCGACAAATGTTGACCAAGATGGCGTTCAAGAAGACACCTACCGACACGTCCGAAGTTACGGCATATCTGTTCGACCATGCTGTTCTCCTGGTGCGTATCAAGGTTATCAACAAGCGCGAAGAATTCCGAGTGTATAGGAAGCCTATTCCTCTGGAACTTTTGGTGATACCGCAAATGGACGAGATTATCCCCCAACCCGGCATCGCGAAACGCCCATCGTCGGGCTTGCTTGCAGCTAGGGCCGCCGCAAACCCACCAGCCGCTAAAGATACATTTCCCATCACTTTCAGACATCTTGGTAAGGGTGGATACGAACAGACGCTGTACGCCACAACGCCAACGCAGCGGAAGAAGTTCCTAGAACTGGTGGATGAGCAGCAGACGAGACTCCGAGAACGGAATAGTAACTTTTATTCCAAGACTATTATCTGCGGGAAATTCTTCAACGCCATCAACCGGGTTAACTGCTTGGTTCCAATTGGTAAGTGGTTCAAACCATCTACTCCTGCAAGACTAACCATTTTCTAGATGGCGGCAGAAAGCTGGTATATGGCACAGATAGCGGAATCTACGTTTCGGATCGCATGCCCAAGGACAAGTCTGCGAAGCCACGAAAAGTGCTGGACGTCAGCCAAGTCACCCAGATTGATACGCTAGAAGAGTACCAGCTTGTTCTGGTCCTTGCGAACAAGACCCTGTCCTCCTACCCCTTGGAAGCCCTTGACGTCAGTGAAGGCCAAAACTCAATAGCCAAGAGACCCAAGAAGATCCAAGGTCATGCCAATTTCTTCAAGTGTGGTATCGGTCTTGGCCGCCATTTGGTGTGCTCTGTCAAGACATCGGCGCTGTCAACCACGATCAAGGTGTACGAACCTATGGACAACCTAGCAAAGGGCAAGAAGAAATCCGCCGTGAGCAAGATGTTCCAGAGTGGCCAAGACACTTTGAAGCCATTCAAGGTATGTGCATCCTTCCCCCCCAGTCGTCAATACTCGAGACTAAACAAGTATAATAGGAATACTATATCCCCGCAGAATCCTCATCAATCCACTACCTACGCTCCACACTTTGCGTCGGCTGCTCTCGCGGCTTCGAAGTCGTTAGTCTCGAAACAACTGAAACCCAGTCCCTCCTCGACCAAGCCGACACGTCATTAGACTTCGTCGCCCGCAAAGAAAACGTCAAGCCAATCCACATCGAGCGCATGAACGGCGAGTTCCTCTTGAACTACAGCGACTTCTCCTTCTTCGTCAACCGCAACGGCTGGCGGGCGCGTCCGGACTGGAAGATCTCCTGGGAGGGTAACCCGAACTCGTTTGCGCTCTCGTATCCTTATATTCTGGCGTTTGAGCCGAACTTTATCGAGTTCCGGCATATTGAGACGAGCGAGTTGATTCATATCATGACCGGGAAGAATATTCGCATGCTGCATGCTTCTATGCGAGAGGTACGCCGCTTATCTTGTACTATGTAGTATGGACAGTGTCTGACAATATCTAGATTCTCTATGCCTACGAGGACGACACAGGCGAAGACGTTGTGGTTAGCTTGGATTTCTGGAAGAACAACAAGCAGCATCATTAGGCCTGCCTGCATGTCCATGTTTGTGGATGCAACAGCAACAGCACTGCTTTTGACTACTTTAGAAGGGGGGCGTGTTTGAATTCTGCTCATTTGAAGAAGCCATATCTTTCTTCAGTTCTCATTTCTTTCGCCTCTTCTATTTTTCTCTTTCTTTTCTCTTTCTTTTTGAGCTGTCCCAAAGATTTTTTTTTCTAATACCTCCATGTCGTTGTTGATTTGGTCTGTGTCAGGTCGACCTTTGACCTCCCATATCTCCAGTTGGCCATTTATCTCCTGCTGTGTACAATGAAGCGCAAATACCATATGCTTTTTTCTTCTCCTTTTCTCCCTCTCATTTACATTTTTGCTAGTGTCATTGTCATTGTCAGTGTTGTTTCCCTCCCGCCCTGACCTTATCATTATATCTGTCATTTCTGTCTCCCTTCCCATTTTTGCATTCCGCCTTTTCCCCAACATCAATATCTTTCCCTTTTCTTTCGAGTTTGTTCGACGATGCGGCGAAAATGCGGGGAAAATGCGGAAATCTGTGTGTATTGTGGTTGCGCTGCTCTGTCTCTTGTCTTGTATTCCAGGGCGCAACCTCTCTCCGCTGATTGGGATTTACACACCTTTATAGTTGAGCTGCACGGGGGGTTCTTGAACGGCGTCAGTGCATTCTTCAGAATTGAGTGAGTTAATATCTGCTGTGAAAAGGAGGCTTCTTGATTCAATCCTCAATCTGTAGGCTTTAAAGAGTAGATGTAGTGGGTTTGATATAAATGTCCGGAGCTCAGGGAAGGTTCTTTACCACTATCTGGCTCAGAAGGAATCCCAGGCATCGCATCATTCTCTTAGATCGAGTGATGTTCGAATCTGTTTGCAGGAAGCTGTCTGTAAAGCAATCGTCCTTGGATCTGCATGTTTGACCATGGACATCGGCACCGGGCGCCGACGAAATTGCCCAATGACCTCGAGTCTCCCAAAACGGGCAAAACGGGCAACTCGGCCAACCCGGCCCGTTGATTCTCGAGACTCAAGATTGTAAATCTGCGCGCTATCTTGTTCAGGTCTCAGGTGCGCGCAACTCCGTTGCTGTATTGACAACCACCTCTCCTGCGATTCACACCATGTTTAGATGGTCAAATAGAACAAGGCTCGGCCGACGTAGATGGTCGACTTAATCGACGAGCAGGATCAATAACCATGTCAAGAAAACGCCATATCAATCGCAAATCGGCACCGATATCCCAGAGGGCTTGATAAGATAAATTGATATTAGAGATAGCATAGATCCATCTTTCGACAGGCAAGCAAATCGCCGCGCCGGCGGCAAGTGTTTATCGCACTCGCTATCAAAGTATCGAACGATCGCAGTGATCAATCAGTCAGTCAACCACTTATCGATCGGGCGTTAGCTGTCGGCACCGACAATGGGTCCCTGCGGGCGAAAGACGGTCACTGATAAGGAAAGGCGAAGGAAGCTGCCAAGTCCCAGCGAGTAACGCTTGAGGAAGGTCGCTGGAGACACCATCCCACCTCCGGAAAAGCAAGGCAGTTGGCAATCAACCACGTGGGAAAGGTTAGCTCATTCAAACCCCGCTCGCGAAACGCGAGTTTCAAATCCCGGGTTTTGATTTCTGTTACGAAACGAGGGCCAGTCACGACAGCGATGTCGGTAGGTCCGACGAAGATGAGGTTCGGCATTCCTAATCTGGCAAATATTAGCCGATGCAACCCTGGGAAGGGTCCGATAGAGTCAAGTCGGCGACTTGGTGCTTTTCCAAGGTTCATCGCTTCTGGATGGGGATCCAGCTTCCAGAAAAGATATCATCCAGGCTGCATGTTTGTTCAAGATATCCTCCGTAAGCAAAGCAACGCGCGGAAAGCGACAGCGAGCAGTCACAAAGAGCGAACGCCAAGTCGGAAATCGGCTCGCAGAAGATTAGAAATGTATATCTCGGCCGAGTTTATCTTCTCGTCGAGCAATCAAAGCTGCATCTTGTCTTCCTAGCACCTGCAATTCACAATTCGCAATTGCATCTTGATTGATCGTGATAACTGTGATGTTAGTGCGGAGCTTGGGAACAGAGGAAGGTCGAGCCTAGCCTGCCAGCCTCGCGAGTCCACGACTGCCAGGGACAGGCTGACAGTTGCGCCTTCTGATGACACCGATCCACAGTGGGGAACCACGGACTGTTGGCCGATCAGTCACTTATCAAGTTAACCGATCCCAGTGGTCGCTGGCCACTGCAATCCTGATAAATAATGGCTAAACGGTAGAACGGACGCCCGGAGTATACTCCCCGCCCGCGGCGAAGCGCGCTGAGCTCCGGATTTCTCGTTCACGGTTCGAGAATGATCATCGAGAGGGGGAAAGGGGAATCTGCGTTTGACGTTGCCACCTCGCCCCTAATCACATTATCAATCATGATTGTCTGGTTGAATGTGGCGGAATCCAAAGTTTGCAAGATTGTGGGCGAGTTGTTTGCGGAAGAACGGCGGCGAGTTGTTGATTCGGACCCCATCCGACGCCTCATGGTTGGGCCTTTGGTACGAGTCATGCCGCATCCAGCAATATTAGCGGTGGTCGGCCGACGAGACGGCGATTGCGTTTAATCGATGCAGAAGCATGTCAGACACGGGGAAGCTTGTATGCGAGCTCGACGCCAATCACTGTATAGCAGGCTGAGTGTTGCTGCACGAGCAGAGTCCCTGCTGACCAGCTGCAACAGCTTTCGAGTTGAAGGTTCGTATATTTCCGGGCAGTTGCGGCGGATGGCCGGCGAAAAGTCCGCAGGGAGAGTTTTCCGGGTCTGGGACTCGAGAGTCTGGGGAAGAGCGGGTCGGCTGGGCTGAGACTGACTGGGACTGGGACTGGACGGGGATTGGAAAGGAATCTGGATCTGGGACTGGGACTGGATCAGCAGTCGCTCTTGCTCTGTTCGAAGGGGAACCTCAGGCGCAGCAGCTCAGCAGTCACAAGAGCTCAATTCTTACCTTTTATCTGAGCGAGACCGGAATGTAGTATATAAGCCCCGGCGGATGAATCCGACAGGTCGTGCCCGGCCCACGTCTAGTCTATAAAGCCCGGCGATTTGGAGAAATCAGATCGCTGCAGCTGTGTTATCATCTGCTAGTGATGTGGGGTTCGTCGGCGACTTCTCCTCCCTCGCGCGCCGTCACTGTCGCCTTTGCCTGCTTCTTATTTTATAACTTTAGTACGAGTCGCTGAGTTGGAGTCTTGCATCTCCCCCAATCCTGTCTCCGTCTTCACCTCGACTCCAAGTGGAGCGATCTTCACCTCCAACACCTCCAACGCGAACATACATAACACAAATATGCACTCGCAATCCCCCTCGACCACAAACAGCCCGCCGGCCACGAACTCCCGTCGCCTGAGCGTGGGCACAAAATCTCGAACATGCGTGCATTGCGGTCGTAGCTTTCGACGAACCGAACACCTCGAGCGCCATGTTCGAACTCGTGAGTGTTCCTCAATCCGGTCCCAACTCATAGCCCTACTGACACAACCCAGACACAAAGGAAAAGCCATACACCTGCTACTGCGGGGCGGCCTTTTCACGCCGCGATCTCCTCAAGAGACACATGACCATCGCCGGCCATGAAGAGACCAACCCTCCCACCAAGTCCTCTCCCAAGTCCCAAGCCCAGATCGACCGCGAGAACACAAAGCAACGGGTTCGTCGAGCGTCCAAGTCACAACGTGCCTCTGCAGTTTCAGGGCCCCCGCCAGTACAAAAGATTGCCATTCCTCCATCGCCAGAAGAGGGCACCGAAATAGTCCAGTGGACAATGCAGCAACCATTCGATAATGTCCTCGAGTCACCTTCTACAGACGGCGCACACGACCCGGAGATTCTCGAAGCAGCCCAGCTCCTGCTTCCAGGGAGCCTACCTCAAAACTACCCACCCGCACACCCATCACCACGTATGTCTCACTTTCATTTCCTCCACTCGGGAAAACCCCCCAATTACTGGAACTAACACTACACTAGCCCCAACACTAACCTACCTCCCCGAAGAGTTCAACCACTTCGAAGACGTAACGGTAACCAACTTCCTCGACTCCCTCGGCGTCCCTCTCGAATGGTCCAACGGCGCCCACCACGGAAACGACGCTCACGCCCACAACAACAACTCATACCCAGCCGAAGTCCCCGAAACAGCCCTCCACCCATTCTTCAGAGAACGCGACAGGTCGCGCGCAGAGTCGTCATGGCACCTACCCCCAGACCAGAGCGCGTACGCTGGGATCGGAATGGTTTCAGATTACGCCAGTCACATTTATCATTACCACCCACCAGAGGATCTCGCTGGACGCTGTGCGTGAGGCAACCAATGTCGGCGACTGGTAGAACGAGCCCGTAGCCCAAACTCGGGTTTATAGGGTGGGATTGTTGATCTTTCTACGCTTAAAAAGCAGATAATATGGAGTTATCTATTTTGTGTTTCGGTCGGTAGGATTGGACTTTTGGGTTTGGGTTGGAATTTTGCTTGATGTGTTTAATGAATGAGAGAATGGACATAAACACCTATATATAGTCACTTACCTGTGTTGCAGGTCAACAAAAATGCCATTAGAAGATACACCAGTCACACTACATACGTCCTCCATTCCATAACGAAGTTATCGATTGCGTCTTCCCTATGCACCACAGTTAGCAGTACATAAGCCTGGATTCGCCGAAGATCTTATGCAACTAATTATGTACTGATATAGATATACATAGCACCTCTGGGGAATCACGCCCAGACCATCCGACTTCCAGCCAACAAACAAGCTCTGAACTAGTGACTCTCCCCAAGCCCCCATGGGAAACTAGTCCGACCGTCGTGTCTCCCTAGTGGGACGTATATACTTACTCCAACAGTAAGCCCAAGCTGCAGCGTCTCCAATTCTCACCCTACGAAGGAAGCCCTCGGTCAACCATCTATCAGCCACTCTCGTTTCTAGCTAGGGTGCGGATTGTACTGAGTACCCCCAGTCCAGACTTGTCTGGGCTTTGTACGTATATTTCTTTTTAGTTTTGTTCTGTGCGGGTCAGGGAGGGTCAGTGGTGGACCGTGGGGGAGTGGAGTATCCGAACCCCGAACTACAGTAGTATAGGAACTATGACCATTTTTTAACCCACGGTTTTGAAGGGGGATAATTGAAGACCATTCCATGATGTGGCATCACGGCAAGTCAACTTCAAGTGCAGGCCCTACAAGCTTGTTGCTAAAGGTCTCTAGTTTGGGAGGGCATGCTGCCTCATGAAGAGCAACGACAGCACCACTCACTTCATGACCTTTTGTCTCTTGTCTCTAGGCTGTTAACATGTAATAGAAACCAATCTTGATGGATGATAATGTTGGTTATTGTAGTGGCATTCTTCTTTCCCCGTGACTGATGAGAAAGGATGGTATATATCCATGTTGATTATATATGTAATGCTTATATATATCCTCCAAGAGTCAAAATTTGTGCCAATATAGAATGGATCACTATAGTATATTCCCAAGATACCCTTGCAATAATAGTAACCCTCTAGCTATTCGATCCTCTCCATATCAAGAACCCCCTTCTATATGGTACCTTGCCACTTGAAATACTCAAGGTTCCTGGTGTTACAACCCTAGGTTGTTGTACAGACCACATGGAGAGGAAAATAGAAAAAGCAGAGGCGCCAAATTTCTTCAATTCTTTTCCAAGAAGTGTTTCAACAACATCTGTCCCAAATCCAAATCTCCCGCGCCGCAAACTGTTTAATATCTGCCATCCTCCGTATCTCTTCTTCGCACCAAGCGAAACCAGGTTTCTCACTATAGCTATGTTTCGGCACCCGAGAGGGACTAAGCCTAAAACCCTCTCAGCAAGGCTCAGCGAAACACTTTAACCTCTCACTGTGATTTCTACAAGGACCGGTAGCGATGAGGTATCGAAGTCCCCGTCGACATCGAGATGAGTTATACCCTAAGGGGAGTAGGAAAACTAACCCACCAGGCTTGTTCCTGCTAACGAGATCTTTCCATCACCACTGTAGACCACCATGATTGTGGTGGAAGACGACGACAACACAGCCGCGATTGCAAAACTAGAACAGGCAGGATTCATCCAAACTGTTCCTAATCGCGCCACCCAGACCATCAGCAGATGATAGAAGATGTAAATGCCGGCTATGAACGCTAAGACCAGTCTTGTGCCGTCTTTGGTTATCCACAGGGTAATCCGACAGGGAAAGGGTTGCAGCTGCACTATATGATGCCGGACTCATCTGCGCAGGTTTTTCAAGATGATATGGTGCCCCGCCCCCGACTGGAATACGAGGAGGTGGAGCTCCCGAGCAGGGAACGCGATTTGATAGTTATGGCAACCTGCACTATCCACAGGAAGAGGCTCTAGTGGTATGCTTCGTGAAGGCTGCGATTGATGAAGGAACAGAGGATGATGGTATCTCTGCGTGGGTCGAAACATCGAGGGGCCAGGTAGCTATGGTGAGTGGATGCCTAGAGGTCAACAACGATGCGCTTAATAAGTGTCAGATCCACAGGCAGTACTCGGAGTACTCCGGAGTAGACTGGTATAGTCGCAACCTTGGTCGGATTCGCGAGTCCAATTTTGGGCCCATTGATCGACACATTTCGAAATGTATCGGCTCAGGAAAAGAGTTGCCCATACTCTGTAGGTATGAGGGGTAACCTCTTTGAAAACGGTCGGCATCAGCGTTAGCCTCGTGGAATGGTTGGTATTGCTGTATCCTGGTGCATTGAAGGCGTCAACCTTGAAGCATAAAAACAATGTATTATTTTTGTCAGGGTTCGCGGGGAGCTTAACCAGATGGGCAATAGTGGTAATGGTAACAGGTCTCATCAAACAGTTGGACACCGCCTGCTGTTAACCCTGCAGTAGTCAGTCATACTGCCATTTACGGTCTAACGTTCCAAGCGGCCTGCTCGCTGCCTTTACACTCTTTGCCTAGTACTATATCCTGTGGGAATTGTTAGGTCGTCGCAGTATACAAACTCCCTTCATTACGTAAAGTATGACGCTGTCCAAGCTCCTGATTTGGGTTAACCCATGCAATACATACGTAGTGGAAGGCTGGAGGTGCAAACGTGTAGACATAGTAGTTATTGATGTAACGGCCAAGACGACTCGAGTATTGAGCATCTCAGTCCGCGAAGAATTTGAAGAGGCAGATGCATAATATACAATTTCTACTATCTAACCGGGTATACATAACGCAGCGTAGCAAAGACAACAGACAGGTCTCTCGAAGTATATAAGCATAACATACTCCGCAGCAGTCTAACCCCAAGTTCCACCACCACCACCACGCCCCTGCCTCCTCTGAGCCGACAAGCGCCAATCATCTTCACCGGCGAACCGATTATGCAGCGGCTGGATGCGCTCGGCCTTCTTCCGCTTCGAGAGCCGATCCGTCGGCGCAACCTTGAAGAACGTGGGCGCCGCCTCAACAAGCCACTTTGGCTCGATCGCCGTCGTGCAGTGCATGTACTCCTTGGTCGTGAGTACGAGCGTATGGTAGATGACGTGTTCGGCTGGCTTGCCGAAGAGCGCAGAGCTAGGATGCATGTACACGGGTGTGCCCTCGACGAGGGTCTTGTAGCCCTCCTGCGGATCCTTGCGCGCGGCGTTGCGGAAAAAGCCCGTGCAGAGCGCTTGGCGGACCTTGGTGGAGTTGCGGCCGCACGAGACGATCTTGTGGTGGTAGCGCTGCATGATCCCGAGTAGCTGCTGGCGGACGTCCTGCGCGCGCCGGATCTGGCGGGCCTGGATGAAGTTCTCGAAGCACCAGGCGTTGTTGAAGTTGGATTTCTTCCAGGCGTTGTAGACGTTGAGTAAGGTGAGATGGTCGCCGTGTGGGTCGTGGAATTTGGCCTTTTTCTGGTCCGCTTGTTGCTGTTTTTCTTTCGGGCGGTAGAAGACGGATTGGATGGAGAGCATGGCGACGATGCTGAGCATTTCTTCGGAGCAGCCAAGGTCGACTGAGGCGATGAGCACTTTGGCTAGGGCCGGTTCCATGGGGAAGTCGGCCATCTTGCGGCCGAGTCGGGTTAGTAGACCTTCGTCGTCTAGGGCGGATAAGGCGTAGAGTTCTTCAAGAGCTGTAAGCATAGTGTTGGTTGGGGGCGGGTCCATAAAATCGAAATGGAGCAGGTCATTGATGCCCATTGCTTTGAGCATGAGAATAGTATGTGACAGGTTTTGCCGTTGGATTTCGGGGATGGTAGTGGGCAACATCTCAGATTGGTAGGCTGCTTCAGTGTACAAACGGAAGCACTTGCCAGGACCAGTTCGTCCAGCTCGTCCAGCTCGTTGCTTGGCTTGCGCCTGAGAAATGGGTGTGACTACCAGTGAATCCATTCCAAGTTTGGGATCGTAAGCATTCTGCTTCACGAAACCTGGATCAATGACATAGTAGATGTTGTCAATTGTGATCGAGGTTTCTGCGATATTCGTAGCGATAACAACCTTTCGACCACCTGGCGGAGCAGGGTCGAAGATCTTACTCTGCATCTCACTCGGTAGGGCAGAGTAGACTGGAAGAATCACCAATTCCGGCACACTTGGCCCCAATGCCTTCATTCGCTCATAGAGAATCTCGCACGCAGTGTCGATTTCCTCTTGTCCCGTTAAGAACAGAAGCATATCTCCCGGTGGCTCAGTCAGGTGAATCTGCATGACTGTGATAAGCGCTGCATCAAGATAATCCGACTCGGGTTCCTTGGAGTACATAATCTCCACAGGGTAAGTTCGACCAGGAATGGAGAAGATAGGGCAGCCATAGAAGTATTCAGAGAACTTGTCCGCATCTAGAGTTGCAGATGTGACGATAAGTCGTAGATCCGGTCTCCGCTTGAGCGTCTTTTTCAGCAGTCCAAAGAGGACATCTGTGGCGATGGTTCGCTCGTGGGCTTCATCAAGCATAATCACTGAATACTTTCTCAGATCTGGATCTAGAAGCACCTCTCTTTGAAGCATTCCGTCCGTCATGTACTTGATCTTTGTCTCTGGGCTAGTGCAATCCTCGAAACGAATCGTGTAGCCGACCTCTGCACCAAGTTTGCAACCAACCTCCTCGGCCACACGCTTAGCAACCGACATTGCGGCGACACGACGAGGTTGCGTGCAGCCGACTATGCCTCTGTTGGCGTACCCACCCTCAGCCAGGTACTGTGTCAGTTGCGTTGTCTTTCCTGAACCAGTATCGCCAACAACAATGAGCAACTGGTTGTTTTCCACGGCTTCAAGTAGCTGATCGCGGAACTTATACACCGGCAGACTCTCCCGTTGCTGCTTGATCGACATGTTCGTCCGTTTTCCAAAGGACTGATTCTTGCCTAAAGTAACTCGCTTCCACTCAGGAACAGCCTCATCCGACTTTGTCTGCTGAGCAGTACGAAGATCGGCCGCGAATTGTCGCTCGCTGGCCATGGGATCTTGCCATTGGGCATTAAGGTCCACCTCTGCTGCTCGCTCCGCCGCTTTGTCCTGGGCCTCCTGCTGTCTGAGATCGCGTCGTTCCTTTGCCAGACCCGTGCCCGCCATCGCTGCGCGGTTCATCGATCCATCCGGAGCCTTGACCACTCGGATTGGAGACAGTTCCAGCGACATCTTGGTCTGGCCAGCCAGGAAAGGAGGTTCTTCGTCTCGAACCTCGATGTCGACATCCTCCTCCTCTTCAAACGTGCCTTCTCCAGTCAATGTGGCATGGTATTCCTCGTCGATATCGGGATAGTCGAGTGCTGAGACAGCACCGGATGCTATTAACTGCTTGATTTCCCATCGCTCGGGCGACGTTAAGCGCTTCCGGTTTTTCATCGGCCTGCCATTTGACTCCTCGATAATCGGGACATCTGAGCTTAGGTTGCCGTATCTATCGTTCGATGAAACTCCATCCAGTCGTTCCATATTAGCTCCGGAAGCCAGCCGCCGCTGAGGGATGAGGTCTCGTCCAGTTTCCTGATCCACTTCCTTCATGGACAAACCAATGCGCGAGCCTTGTATGCTAATCACCTTGACCTTGACAGGTTGACCGCGTGAAACGAGATCCGACGGATGGTTGACTCGAGCCCCTTCTTGCATTGCAGAAACATGTACCAGCCCGTCAACCTTGCCCTTGACTCCCTGCAAATTTACAAAGGCGCCAAAGTCCTTCACACCAGTAACTTGTCCATCGTAGACCTTGTATATAACCGGCTGATCGTCCAACTCGACAGGCGGAGGTTTCCGGAAGTAATCATCGTCATCGTCGCGTCGCCCTCTCCGTCGTTCGCTTCGACCATTCCGGTGCCTTTCATTCTTCGAGCTGCTGTACTTCCCCGTCGACCGTCCAAACTCATCCACCTCCTCGTCCCTTATGCGGTAGTCCGGACTCCGCTCTCTCGACCGCGAGTGATATTTATCCTTCCGCCTGTTCCGACTATAGTCATCGTACTCGGGACTCCGACTCCGCTTCCTCTTCTCGCTCTCGGTATTCGAATATGACCGCGCCGGTGCCTCTGCCTTCCTCGCCTTTCCCGCCAACCCCTCCAACATCGCAAACGTATCATCCATCGCCGAAGCCTTCGCATCCTCCTCCTCAGCCACATGCTTGGGTATCGCCTCATCCTCCCACCTCTGCTCGCGATCCGGCACAGCCAAGCCCTTGAAAACCCTCGCCTTCTTCTCCAACGCGTTCAGCGCATCCATATCATCGCCACCCCCCTGCGATTCATTTTCCTGTTGTTTCTGGTTCCGGCTCTTGTACTTGGGGTGCATAGTCAGGACAAGCCGATCGACGCTCTCAAGTAAGCTGTTTGGGAACTCGGCGCCGTTCTCCTCGAGCTGCTTCTTGAACTCGCCGAATGATGCGCATTTCAGGTGCATGTCAACGACAAACTCGGCGACGACTTTGTCGTTTATCCCCAAATGGTTTTGGAGCTCGTTTGTTATGCGCGAGATCAGGGAGAGGTGTTCGAGGGATTGAAGGTCGTCCATGGTGACGGTGGAATCACCGCGAGGTGAGGTGGACTACTTTCGGGATACTGTAGCGTGCGATGTGAGAGCTAGCGATTTGAATGACTGCGAAAGAGTGTGCGACACTCCTCGGTGCAGAGGAGGAGTTGGTTTGGATGGAGGTGGAAATTTGAAGCTGTTCCAAGTCGTCGGCGGAAATCGTGGCGTGGTTGATTGGTCACCGCCACCGATAAGATAAGCAACTTAACCCTCATTCACGCTTGTTGCTACACAGGGTTGATCCTTGTACTCTGTTACTTTTTATTTTATTCCTACTGCATCTTGCGTAAATGAACATTTGATGGATATTTAATATCCTAAGGAGATAGAGTCAATGAGATTCGAGGGAAGACACCCCGCACTAAAGACTAACTAAGAAATATATCGGGCTATATGAATTAATAGTAGACATTAAGGAAACCCTAGCAGCGTCTACCATATCATTTTCCCACATGCAAAAGAAACCATTAATGATTACTTAGAGAGCGAGGACGATGGCACCAAGAGCCATCACACCGGCCAAGGTAGATCCGAAGCGGCTCACGCTAGCAGCACCAGTGAACTCGGGGGCCTCAGGGCTGGTGCTGGGGGGAGTTTCGGGAGATGTTCCAGTAGGGACCTCAGGCTCCGGGGGAACAGAGGTGGTCGTTGTAAAGGTAGGAACTGGGGGAACGGGGACCGTGGTCTCCGGAGGAGGAGTCTCAGTCTCCTCTGGGGGAGGGTGAGGGGGCTTAGTAGTGGTGGAAGTGGTGGTGGGCTCGGGAGGAGGCAAGGTCGTGGAGTCAGTCTCGCAGGGAGTCGTGGTTGGCTCCGGAGGGGGCTTGGTCGTGGTAGAGTCTGTCTCACAAGGAGTCGTGGTTGGCTCTGGAGGCGTGGTAGTATCATCATCACATGGAGTGGTGGTGGTAGTTGGCTCTGGAGGAGGAGTGGTGGTATCATCATCACAAGGCGTTGTGGTGGTGGTAGTTGGCTCTGGAGGAGGAGTGGTGGTATCATCATCACAAGGCGTTGTGGTGGTGGTAGTTGGCTCCGGAGGAGTAGTGGTATCATCATCACATGGAGTAGTGGTGGTAGTTGGCTCCGGAGGAGGAGTAGTGGTATCATCATCACAGGGTGTGGTGGTGGTAGTTGGCTCCGGAGGAGGAGTAGTGGTAGTGGTTTCATCATCATCACAGGGTGTGGTGGTGGGAGGAGGAATGGTTGTGGTCTCGTCGTCGCAGTCCTCATCATCGTCGTCATGTCCAGGACCTCCAGGACCATGACCACCGCCAGGACCGTGACCACCTCCTGGGCCATGGCCACCACCGTGACCAGGCCATCCCCAGTGGAGTTCCTTGTCGACGCCGACGGATCCGCCGAATTCGATTCCACGCTCAACCCGGGCAGGGGCCGGTGCAGCAAGGACACCGGTGACCGCACCCAAGGTGGTGGCCAAGAGGAGGGTCGAGTTGACCTTCATGGTTGAGCTTGTATGAACGAGAGGACGTCAAGAGCTTGCAATAGATATTATTCGAGGGGGGTATATTAATGAGATGAAGAACAATTATTAATGTAGCAACAAAACACAAGAGAAACGACCGTGGGTTGCGAAGCAGCTCTTGCAAGAAAAGGCTTACACAATGAGGAAACCAGAAGTTAAGGCACACGAGAGGCCCTTTATCATGTTGGCTGGGAGGAGGATGCCAATGCGTCATTTCCGTCGGCTGCAACCATGCCGTCGCACCCCAGTCGGTCAACGTTCAATTCGCTATAACCAAGAGGATGACTTTCCCTCACAGGGTCGACTTGGCAGGCAACTTGTGAGCAGAGTGGACCTTGACTGGGCAGTCGAGTGGATGAATCTCAGCCCTAGTGTGAAGCTAGAGTCGGCGGTGCATTGGCGGCTGGGCCTGATAGATCAAGTTCCAGCCAGTGGCCTGGTTAGGGTTCAGTACGTGGCGAGGAATCGATAAAGAACCATGGAGAGAAAAAGGAGCGGAGAAGACTCAGGTGAGGCACGTGGGCTCGAATGGTACGACTGCGATTCATGAGCATGGGTTTCTTTCAGGAACTGGAAAAGCAGTGGAATTCTAACATATTGTGTGCCCGACCAGGACATCCGCTCGGTTGTATGCGAGCTGCAGCAAGCCATTGTAAACTCGACGAAGATCGGTTGTCGATCAATCATGGGGATGTATCTATGGTCCGTATGGGTCGCGAAGCCATCGTGGGCATGCAGGCTGGCGGGCATGCCACACAGTCACATTGGGCTCTCATCTGTTGTAACTTGTGCCACCGACTCAGGCAATAATGGAACGGTGTCTTGGAAAGGAGTTATCAAAATAGATTAATAGATTAAAGAGAGACATGGCGCCGTCAATGTGAGTGGCCTCCGGGCATATGGAAAGCATGGAAACTGGATGGCGAAGGCCAGCAGCCGGAGCCAAACCGTGGACCGAGAAATTAAACGACGGCAGAATGAATACTCGAAAGGCGCGCTATGCCCGGAGCGGCTAGAGGCAAACAGCGGGGTTTTGAGACATCTCATCTCCCGCCGCCAAATCAAGAACCTGGGGCGACCGATAAGACGCCTGTTATGCTGTCAGGATGAGATCACTCGAGCGAGCCATATGATTAGTCTCACCTATTATTATCCTCGCTCGTACCGGTTGTGGAGATAGCGCTCCCCAGCCTGCATTAGGGCACTAAACGACTCCAACCTCGCGAAGGACTGTCCCCCAGACTGGCAAAAAAGGTATCGGAGTACAGCTCTGACGTGCCAGTGACTTGTCAACACGGCGATCTTCGAGTCTCGCCAGTCCAGGAACGGTGCGCCGCTCCAATTCTGGATGCTTATCCTTGATTTTTTGCCTTGTTCTCGACTGGACCCTTGTCCGCTGGTCGTCGGCCAATTTCGGCCTTAACAGCAATGCTGCAAATGATAGGGCGCTTTACAGTCCAAGGGCTGAGATCACTATTACTCGTGAGAGAATCTCGAATCCCCACCTCTGAGGGAGGAAGACGGCTGAACCGGAGTCTGGAATGATTCGAAACACCAGACAAAGCTTGGATCCGAGGTGTGCTTCCGGAAGACTTCGTCCTGACCCGTACTGTTACAACCTGCAGGCTAAGGTGGCGGCGGTCTTCCAACCCCAGAAAAAGAAAAGCCACACGACAGAAAGAGGAGAAGGTTTGGACAAAGGAAAAGTATACTTGCCCGAAGGTACCCATCACAATCGAGAGACAACCGAAGAAAGATCCCTCCCCACCCCATTGGACGCAAGGAACCCTGGTGATGTGGCAGGTAACACAAAAGTCAGGATCAGAAGTCCCGTTGGGTTTAGAATGAATTGTGGACTGCCATCGGGAAGAGGCACGACTACTTAGTACGATTGACGGATCAGGCGTCGTTTTCGGGGTCTGAGTTGGTATTGCATGTTGCTTAGGAGACTGTGATATAACTGTCTCACTGGTAAGAATTTTCCGGGGATATCCGATCTTCGGGACAGCAATCATCTCAATATTGAGGACAAGACTCAGGAGAGGCAACTTCCATGATTGGGGCCTTTTGCGAGACAATCAGTGGAGGCATTGCTTCCTTGGATGCTCTTCAATGGTTGAAGAGTTCCATCACGGCAGGTTTACTTGTCTCAAAAATGATGACGATGATGACGGGGAAAAGTGCCTTGGAAAACTGATGGGCGATCCCAGAATGAAGAATGTCCTTGTTCCCCAACTCCTAAAACCATATCTAATGAGATAATGTACATGTCTATAGCCCAATGCAAGTAGTGATACATGAAGTCGAATGATGTAAATGTACAGTACACACAAGCCTCTCTGCTAGACATCAAAGGGTTTATTGGCGTGCCTCTGGACCGGCGGTGGCTCGTGTGTCTCGCCGGCTGGTAGGTCTAAATCAATTTGAGCGCGCTCTTCGCTGTCGGACGGCTTATTGGCAGTACTATGAGCCTTCGGTACTGGTGGCGGCTCGTATGTCTCGCCGGTCAGGAGATCTAAATCGAGTTCAGCGGAATTTTCGTTGTCGGAGGGCTTATTGGTGGTGTGAGCGTTCGGTACCGGCGGGGCCTCGAATATCTCGCCAGCTGGTACTAAATCCAAATCGAGCTCAGCGGATTCTTCGCTGTCAGAGGACTTATTATTGGTGGTGGAGGCCTTCGGTGCTGGCGGGGCCTCGAATATCTCGCCGGTTGGTAGATCTAAATCGAGTTCAGGGGACTCTTCGCTGTCGGACATGTCCAGCTCGTCAAATTCCTCTGAGACAGAAGGCTGCTCCTCCGGATTCTCAGAGTCGCTGGACTCCTCTGCTTCACCCAACAGTTGCTGCTGCTCACGAAGCTGCTTCTGCAGAGCAATCTGGCGAAGCAAGGAGGCATTCTTTTGTAGTTTCTTGTTGGCAGAGAATTCGGTTAACGCCCTGACCATCCTCTCCTCCACAAGCTGCTTCACATGGAAGGCCAGAGTTCGATCCGTAAAGATTCCACCAAATCGGAAGCTGAGCCATGAGTACAAAATCACAGATTTGTGCAAAGATTCAAGCTGATGCAAATAATCCTTGTTTCCTGACACGGGTTCTTCCAGAATCTCAAGATTAAGGCCTGGGATATCAAGCAGTCGGCCATTCGAGTGCTCAGCGACGCACTGCGCGAAGGCGACAGCAACTTCCCGGCCCTCTGACTCTCGCCCGTGTATTGGTGCCGCCATGAACGTTATCTGGTCTGCTATTTGCATGCCACTCACCGCATCGATGACCTCGGCGTTCTCGACTAGGGTTCGATAGTCACACATGAAAAACAACGGGTGAACCTGAGATACCTCCCATAGGCGTTTGATGGTGTATTCAAGGGAGACGTTTGGTGGAAAGTAGGCTGCAAATTTCTCAAAGTGAGAATCGGAGGGATTCAGGCCCGCGGCAGTTATAGGTGGCGGTTCCACAGTCATTGCTTCGCGAATGTATGGAAGATCAACTTCCTCTATCGATGTGACATAGCCGACATTATCGCCCGTGCCTTGGTTTCCGTCGCTATTTTGTTGCGCCGCTGATCGATAGCGGCCAGCTCGTCCTCCGATCTGTTTGATTTCGGGAACAGAAAGCCTGACAAGTCCTCCGGGAATTCTTTTCACAATAGTTTCAAATATGATCCGTTTGCAGCTCCTTTGAATTGTTAGAGACAAGGCGGGCGGAGGGAAAGCAACTGAACGACGGGTAACTCACAGATTTAAGCCCATGCCGATGGCATCACTGGCAACCAAGAAATCATAGTCGTTGTCTGGATCATTGAAAAGGCTAGCCTGCTGAGTGCGTATCTCAGCTGGCAGGCCACCGTAAACTATGGCGACTCGTCGACCCGTGAACTTTTCGATTTCAGCTTTCAAAGCGTGAATTGCAACCCGAGAGAAAGCAACTACACAGTCGCCCTTTTCGAGTTTCGACCAGTCTCTTTTGAGACTTTCATTCATGACTTTTAAAGGGTTTAACCGTTGATACCGATGGATCTCGAGTTTGTCCCCTGTGAGACCTGCAAGCTCTCTAATCAGGGGTACCGACCTAGTCTCTCCGCATAGATGAAGTTCCTTCGCACGGGAGCCCAGTACAGCGCGAGTCCACGCCCAACCACGGTTCGGATCGGCTATCATTTGAATCTCATCAATGACACCTACTTCACAAGCCCGCCCTAGGCTGACCATCTCAACGGTATTGCTCACAATTTGTGGCTTTTGGCCTTCAGGAATTTTCACCTCATCACCTGTGACAAGACTGCACGCAATACCGCTGCTCTGAAAGCGATGATACACTTCCTGAGCAAGGAGCCGCAAGGGTCCGGCATAGAAGCCGTTCTTTGACGCCTCCAATCGCTTTAGAGCATGGTATGTCTTTCCCGAGTTTGTGGGCCCAACGTGTAGATGAATAGTCCGCTGTGTAGCGCGTGCCTGAGGATACCATTCGGCCGGAAATCGCAGGTCCGCAATCTGCTTTTGTTGGTCCAGATTGGGTTCCGAGAATTTGACATTGAGTTCATGCGCATACCGAATGAACTCCAGCTCGCGTTTCAGACCAAGATTCCCGCGGTTGACGAAGGCCTGTTGGAGCGTGCGCTTGATCTCGCGCAAAGAACTGGCCTTGTTCTTTAAAGACGACTCGTCCAGCATACACGCATTGAGGACGCGGCGCTCGAATTTCTTCCATGCTTCGAGATCTTCAGCGGACTGATTTGGCGGTTCGTCATCTTTGAGACTTCTTAGTTGGGTTGTGACAATTCCGGCGAAATCGCGGGCGAGAAGTTTCTGTTTGCGAGGTTCAGCCTATAGATAGGGATTGTCAGCGCATTGAGTGGATTGTATTGCGGGTGGATAAAACAATCGTACTGTTTCCTTCAATTGTTTCTTCTCGAGTTCCATTTTTTTTGCTCGTCTTGACGTTCGTTGAAGTGCTGGGGTTGTCGCAAAGTTGCGCACGAGAGGACGCCATGAGGATTGGTAAGGGCAAACCAGGCGCTGACTGCCTAAACTGATCCATAACTGCATCACTCCTGAAAAGGTCTTTAAGAAGACACAGGTAAGACAATAGCAAATTCGCAAAGCTGTGCTTGCTGCGCGCAGCGAGCTGGAGCTATCAGAGGAGCTCTGTGCACCTTAGGAAAAGTCATGTGTTAAAAGACGAGGGAAGAGAGCGCATTAGGTCGCCTCGCGGCTATTACTGACAGCGCAATCAGACGCAAAACCTCATGTACTTCGGGTTGGGAGTCGATAAAAACGATGCCAGAGGGAAAAACTCATGAGTTTCGTGAAAAAAAGTCGCCTCTTCACCGCGTTGCCAATAGATTACATTATTGGAGCCGCCGCCAACCGCCGGAGAGCTGGTGGGGATACACGGCTCTCCCGAAGCAACTGATACGTTTCATAAACACCACTCTCTTTCAACGACCCCTGCTGACACCCAGGCTCCTGTTGTCTGGCTTTTATGCGTACTTCACGTCGCTAGATCCTCTTATCCGCTCTTTTCAACGACCGCGTGCGAACCTAGGAGCTGCAACTCTGTTGCGGGCTGCCGGCCAGCTACGATGAGCTCACTACTCAACATCCAGCGTGAGAGTATGTCGCCCGCTTTCCTGCTTGAATCATGCTGCGAAATTCTTCGTCACTTTTTCTGTTGCTGACCTCATACTGCCGCTAGTCATTCTGAATACGATCCGTTCTACTGCAGGCGACGAGGTGCGATCTATAACCCCCGCCTTCCCCCTCTTGATCTATGACGGCCTGACGCCGGGGGTTGCTTGTAGTGGAAAGTCCTGGTGGTGGACGAAGCTAGTCGAAAATTGATCGACAATGCAGTCAAGGAAGATGATATCCTCAATCTCAATGTCACCAGTAAGTCCGGTTCGCTACTCCTTACCCGCAGCTCGCATGATCTGATCTGCTCTACCGCCAGACATCGAACAGATCGAGAACCGCCGGCAGTCCAACCAACCGATAGCTGCCCTCTATATTCTCTCCGCCCTTCCACATATTGTTGACTGTGTCCTAGCAGACTTCGAGCGACGGAGATACAAGAAGTCTTATTTGGTGTGGACGTCATGTTGGTCAACCCTCGTTACGCAAAGGTGTTCCATGCTCACAGCGCTTTGTAGTTCTCGACCCAGCTTTGCGATCTCGCATTGATCGACTGCCGATGGCGAGGGAGCAAATTGCAGGCTTCCAGACCATTAGCATTGACTACTATCCAAGGGAATCGCGCGTTGTTACATTCAGGGATCCATGGAGTTTCCCGATCCTGTTTCACCCCGGCTGCAACCATCTGATTCGCGAGCACCTGGCTACACTGGCGCATAAGGTGGGACAGCTGCCCAATCTATACCCCTACGACATTTAATAACAATAGCAGGCCGTGTCTCTCTGCGCGACATTGGGAGAATATCCCATCATCAGGTACTATAGGCCTAGAACCCCTTCTCATGAGGCCAGTGTCTTGTGTTCGCATCTCGCCCGCTTTATCCAAGACGAGTTGGATCAGTTTGCGCAATTCAATCGAGATTTTCCGCCTCCGTCTCCGAGGCCGCGTGGTGTGCTGCTGATTGTAGACCGATCTATGGACCTGTTTGCGCCATTGATCCACGAATTTACGTACCAGTCCATGGTCCACGATTTGCTGCCCATTAAGGAAGGGGACAAAGTCACATATAAAACCATTATCAACAAGGGCGCTTTCAACGAGGAAACCAAAGAAATGGAGATCAACGACCAAGATAGAGTCTGGGTTGAGTACAGACATATGCATATGAAAGACGTGTTGGAGAAACTCGGTGAAGACTTTGCCAAATTCCGAGCTGCTAATCCTCAGTTTGCGGAAGGGTTTGTTCTCCCCTCTTTCTCTCGTCGCTTCTCTGCTAACTTGTGACAGTAACAAGGCTTCTCTGGGCGTGATCAAGGATATGCTGGCTGGTCTCCGGGAATTTCAGGAAGGTCGCGACGCATATACCCTTCATCTCAACATGGCGGAAGAGTGCATGAAGGTCTTCCAAGACCATAAACTCATCGAAGTCAGCTCGGTGGAGCAAAGTCTTGCGACCGGCTTAGACGAGAACTACAAGAAGGCAAAGGGGCTGGCCGCTCAGATCGTGCAGCTACTCGATGATGACGCTATAACCTCTACAGACAGACTGAGGCTCCTGCTTCTCTACATTATATATAGGCACGGATTACTCCCAGGGGATATCCGAAAACTCATGGCCCATGGACAGCTGCCTCCTCAGGATGGGCAAGTTATTTCGAACCTGGACCTGCTCGGCACCAGAGTCGACAAGCCATTAAAGGATGATAAACCACCCGTCCAACCACTGTTTACCAGAAAACCTCCTGTGCTGTCCGATTCAGATGAAGTGAGTCTGTCTCGGTACGAACTCAACGTCAAGTTGATGCTCGAGGATCTCATTCGCGGAACGCTGGACGCCAACACATTTCCGCTCACGCGCCCACAGACTGACGCAGGTGGTGCGGCTTCACAACAGGACGCAATGGCGCAGGCTTCACTCCGAAGTGCCAAACCCACCTGGGCTCGAACACGCACAACAGGAGAGCAACCACGACAGCGGATAATCGTGTTCATGTGTGGAGGTGCTACCTACGGCGAAGCAAGGGCTTGCTATGAGATTTCTGAAGCACACCGAAAAGACGTCTTCCTCGCGACATCCCACATGATCACTCCCAGCCTATTCTTGCGGCAAGTCAGCGATTTGAGCGCAGATAAGCGCCAGCTCGATATCCCCGCTGAAAGACCCAAGCCCACCGCACCGGCGCACTTATTCGAGCGAGATCCCCCACCGCAGCCTGCCCCCCAAAAGGCTCCAGCTCCTACACCCTCTCCCGCCCCGCCTACAGCTGCTATGGGAGCAATGTCCCTCGGATCGAACGCCCAGAAGCCATCGAGCTCCGGTTCGAAACCCCCTAAAGAAGGAAAGGAAAAGAAGCGCCGCCATTTCTTCCGATAGCGTTTATTTAGGAATCGTTGGGCATCTTGTGTACTCTCTGTTTTAGCCGCGCCCTTGTGATACCATTTAGGTTTGTTGTTAGCAATAAGGCGTTGCGGTACTGAATCGATGTTTCTTCTTTCATGAGCTTCCGTTCAGTTGCCACAGTACACGTACATAACTACTAGAATCAATCAATCAATCAATCGACCAAGCTCTATGACTAAATATACAAATGTATCCGATGATAGGGTATCTTGAAAATCAAACTCCGCAACGTAAAAGTCAAAGAGATACGGCCAGCCACAAAAGGAGCCCTCACCCGCCCCCGAGATACTTCAACACCTCCTCATCCCGATAAAACATCTCTCTCAAATGCTCCCCCCTCTTCCTCGCCTCCACATGCCCCTTCCTCACCTGCTTCGCATTCAGCTTTTGGACCTTCTCCTTCTTCTTCTTCTCCACAGCCGGCGAAGGCAAAACAGCTCCCAACCCCACAGTATCAGCCTTCAACTTCCCTTTTATAGGTTCTCGAATTCCTTCCCCCGTAGCTCCAAGACCTAGCCGGCTATCAGGATCCCAGCCGTATGACTCGAGGTAGCGCAGTCCGTGCCGCGTGCGGTCGAGGTGCGATGGTGGGTGCGAGTGTGTGAGGCAGACTTGGTGCGCAAGTGAAGATTCATGTTTCTTGTAGGACTGGAGTTCGGTTTCAGAGGTTGGAAGGGGGAGATTGCAGATTTCGCAGGTTGTTGTACTTGTTGTCGTTGGCGATGGAGGGGCGGAGTGGCTGCGGTCGGTGGTGTTAGTAGGGTGGGTGGGTAGTGTTGAAGATGGAGGTATTGAATCTGATGCTGTAGTTGAAGGCGCTGGGGTGGAGGCGCCTGAGGACTTGGGCATAACAATCGAAAGGTATTTATTCGCTATACTGTCCCCCGTGCCGGACGGTGTGCTTGGTGCGGAGGAAGTGAGGGTCGAGAGCTCATGGTCCGAAGAGCGCACAAATGGGACGCGTTTCTTGGAAATCCCCGCGCCAAAGACTCGCTGGTCTTCCAGCGGGAGGAAGTAATCCTCATCTTCGTAGTTGGACATCATGGATTGTAGTCATGGAGTTTCCCAGTTCTGGGCTCGGAGTTGATGTCAGACTATTTCTGGAGGCGGCGGGAGATCGGCCGCGATCCGATCGTTACTGGCCGTTTATTTTTCCAAAGCTGCAACTTGGTCTCCTCTCACTCACTCTCCCACATCATCTCTCGACGTAATTTACAGCTTCATAGGTCGAGATGCCCATTCCCTTGATTACCAAGGGGATTACAGAGGGCCTATCGTCCATCCCTCACATCTACACGGTCCTGAAGTTCGCACCATGGCTGCTCCTCATCGTAGCCCTGAAGTACTACTTCGGCGGTGCTCGAAACGAGTCGGAACGTCTGATGCATTCTAAAGTTGTGATGGTGACTGTATGCTAATCCAATCTCTCTGCTTCTATAATGTTTTGCTAATAACTTACCTAGGGAGGAACATCCGGCATAGGAGCCAGCGTCGTCCACGAACTCGCAACGCGCGGCGCCCAAATCATCCTCCTCACGCAACACTCACAATCGGACATCTTCCTGGTCGAATACATCGAAGACCTGCGCAAGTCTACAAACAATCAGCTCATCTACGCCGAGCAGGTTAACCTCTCCTCCCTCCATTCCATCCGAACGTTCGCGACGAAATGGATCGATAACGTCCCACCGCGCCGCCTGGACATGCTCATACTCTGCGGGAACACAGCGTCCCCATCCCCAGCTAAGAGAAAGATCACAGTTGATGGGATAGACGAGGAATGGCAGGTCAATTACCTCGCGAACTTCCACCTCCTGAGCATCCTCAGCCCCGCGCTGCGAGTCCAGCCGCCGCACCGTGACGTCCGTATCATAATGACAACGTGTTCAAGCTACATCAGAGCTCCGAAGCTCGACTTTGCACAGCTAGACAGCCAGGCAGTTCCCACTCCCACCTTCACCCAAAATCCGACAAAGACCAAAACCTCCAAACCATCAAAGAAATCCACCACTGCCGCTGCCAAACCCAAACCGAAACCGAAGCCAAAATCTCTCTTCGCTGCCAGCAAACTCTCCCTCATGGTCTTCGCCACCTCCTTCCAGAAACATCTGAGCTCTTTCAAACGCCCGGACGGCCAACCAACCTCTACACGTGTCATCCTTGTCGACCCGGGCTACAGCCGCACCCCGGGAACCCGCCGCTGGCTCACCGGCGGCTCTCTGTGGGGCCTCCTCGTCTACCTGATCACCTGGCCATTCTGGTGGCTTGTCCTCAAGTCGCCGCAGCAGGGTGCGCAGAGTATCCTGTACGCGGCCATGGAGGCGCGGTTTGGACGCGGTGAGGGTGGGTGGATGATCAAGGAGTGTCGGGAGGTGGATTTTGCGCGCAAGGAGGTTACCGATGAAGCGGTCGGGAAGCAGTTGTGGGAAATGAGTGAGAAGCAGATTGAGGCGAAGGAGACGGAGGGGGCTGTAAGGCGGGCGCTAGAAAAGAAGGAGGCCGAGTTGAAGGAGAATACCAAGGGACAGGCACAGAGTACGGATGCTAAGTCCGCTCCTGCATCTGCTTCTGCGCCTGGAGGCGTAAAAGAGCAGACAGCTGGATCGAGACGGAGCAGGAGGGGGAATATCACTAAGTAGTGATATGATTATCGCTAGAGTATATTTTATAGAACGAGAAGCATAAGCGCTAAATATATACCTTCAAAGGGGAAAAAAAGAAATTCGTCTCATTCAATCTAAATCTCAATGTCGCTATCCATGCGATGCCTATCCTATCTATCTTCCCACTTTTAACAAAAGTATGCAAGTAGATCAATCAATCGTAGTTCAAATTCCTCTAAATATCAAAAATGGTTCGTCGCTTATTTCTTCAGCTGATCCAGCAGCTCAGCAGGCGGCTGTTGCCTGTATCCCTGCGGGTTGTTCTTGGTCCACAGCCACAGATCCTCGCAGGCCTGCTCGAGGGTGCGCTGGGCCTTCCAGCCGAGCTCCTCGTTGGCGCGGGTCGGGTTGGAGGTCAGGTTCAGGACGTCACCGGCGCGACGAGGAGCGACCTCGTAAGGAAGATCGCGGCCGACGGCCTTGGAGAAGGCGCGGATCATTTCGTAAACGGTGCTGCCGCGGCCTGTGCCGAGGTTCCAGGCGCGCACGCCAGGGTTGTTGGAGCGGAGGTAGTTGAGGGCCTTGAGGTGGCCGTCTGCAAGATCGAGGATGTGGATGTAGTCGCGAATGGCGGTGCCGTCGTGGGAGGCGTAGTCTAGTGATCATGTCAGCTTGGGCGGGGCCAGATGGGCTTCTGCGGAGAAAGAACTTACCGTCACCGAAGACGAGGAGCTTCTCACGCTTGCCAGTGGCGACCTGAGCGAGCAGAGGGAGCAGGTTATAGGGCACGCCCTGAGGGTCCTCACCCATGATACCGCTGGGGTGAGCACCGGCGGGGTTGAAGTAGCGCAGGAGAGCGGCGTTCCACTTGCTAGCCTCGGCCTCGTTTCCGGCCTTGATAGCGTTGTTGCGCTGGGCGTTGATGACGTCGGTGATAGCGGTCTCGACGGCGAACTTGGTGTTGCCGTAGGGGTTGGTAGGGCCCAGAGGGCAGTCCTCGGGGATGGGGATCATGTTGGGGAAACGGGTGGCATCTCCGTAGACGGTGGCGGAGCTGGAGAAGACGATGTTGTAGACGTTGTGGCGGACCATAGACCGGAGAAGGTTGATGGTGCCGTAGACGTTGACATAGTAGTAGTCCAGAGGCTTTTCGCCGGACTCCCCGACAGCCTATATGCAAGAGTTGAAATGGTGAGCAATTAAAGCGTAATGAGCTTGATTGCAGGAAGGAGAGACACATACCTTCAAAGCAGCAAAGTGAATAACGCTGTCGATGTCGGGGTGGGCTTCGAAGACCTTGTCAAACGCAGACTCGTCGGTGATGTCGACCTGCGCGAACTCGGCCTTCTTGCCAGAGATCAGGGCAACGCGCTCAAGAGCCTCTGGTGAGGAATTGTAGAGGTTATCGGCAACGACGACCTTGTAACCAGCCTCGAGTAGAGCGAGGGTGGTGAAAGAGCCAATGTAGCCAGTTCCACTGCGCGTGAGATGTATAGATTAGCGGGCCGGCCGGTCTGGGAGAGCTATAGCGGGGATTCTTCACATACCCTGTGACGAGAACGGATCCAGAAGGCATGATGACGGTGCGATTGAGGGACAATTGACCGGGAGAGGGTAAAGAGATGCAGCAACAAAAAAATGGAGAAAGACGGTGAGGGACAGCGGGATGACGGGATATTTAAGGGGAATTGGGTTGATGGTGGGGGAGCAGAGCCGTGGAGGGGCACCACACTGCAGGTACTACTCTCTCTAATCCAACCAATTGACACATCCCAACTCTACACAAGCCACCGAGACAACTCGTGCGTCCTTTCCTCAGCCGCTCGTATCGCTGCTACTTTAGTGTTTCCCAGCAATTCCCTTGAATTCTACCAACAACTCGTGCATTGCGAAAAAGCTCACTCGCTGATCGGCGCCACAGACATCGGCAGCATACGTACTCCTCTGCCATGCGCGACGATCTCCATATTGAGTAATCTCCCAGTGTTGTGGAGTACAAATCTGCCCTGAGACGAAGAGACCGGAGACAGTTGCCCCGAAGCTCAGCCCATGTTTTTTCCTGACCCGGCTGAAGCCTGAAAGTACTACATACGGGGCTGCCGGTGCCGCTAGGAATTGCAGAGCATGACATGGCGAAACCGTCTCAACTGATCGGGCAATCGGGCCAGGCCAGACGCATGGTCCAAGGATGCGAAGGGCACGAGCAGCTCGGTGTGGGTCGAGTCTCCACTCTCTGTGTGGACCTGTTTTCCCGAGGAGCACGATCCGAAGGCCTCATGATTGAGCTAAATGGTAGTAAAGCCAGTCACATCTAGGTCAAATGTGAGATTGCAAGGTTATCACCTCCAAGAGGTGCTGTCGGTTCCTCTTGCGTGTTTTTATCTGGCGCTTGATCCACTCGTGGCTGGAACATGCATTGCTACTATATATAGCTTGTATGCCGCAGGGTAGAAAAGCCGGTTGGCTTTCAATTGCCGCACTCGAGGATGATTACTGTGTACTTGGAACTTAGGAGCTCTGGCATAAGATAGAGACACTGTGATGCAAAAGTAGATAATAACGCTAGCTACGGCTGTACTTTGAGCACGCTATCAAGGACAAGACGGCTCCTGCAAAGCATTTGTTACAGAAAGTATTCTGCTAGACGGCCAATTCGCGATTCGTTCGTCAGTACTGCTTATTCTCCCCAACATGTAGGACGGGCTTCAGCTACCTAGTTGATTCAGGCTTTCTTAATCCCCATCAGCGCCCTCCCCGACGCTGGAGTCAATCGAAAGCTCTGCGGCTCGGATCCCGCTAGGCAAACATGCACAGAGAACATCACCAAACTTCTTCGTCCGGTAAGCGCTCAGAGCACTCTCACTGATATGCCTCGAGCTTGCACGACTATGCCGCACAGGCACGACGGCATATGCGCTGAGCCTCGTTTGGTGAAGAGCCAGTCCCATGGAATTTGGATTTCCGCCTTTTCTTCAGCTCTTAACCGAGAAGCTCAACATCCAGGCCAATAGCGCGCATGAAAAGGTTGACATTTCCAAGTCGCTGGCTGGCCATGTCAGCAGGAAGCGTCTTGCTGTGTGTTACGGTCTCCATTACGCGATCCCTATCGAGCAAGAATTAGACACGTGCGTTTCAAAAGACAAAGCACATTGCGCAGGACACTTACTTGACGGCGATGACCAAACGTTGCTGTTGCTCTGGGCTTGCTCCAATCCCCGTAGCTGCCAAGAATTGCCAGACATACATATCGTCACCGGTGTTGATGGATCCAGGGAAAATATCGCTAAAGATAGGCTCAAGGGTGTCGAAGAGAACATTAAACTTCTCAACCCATTGTTGCCAGTCGCGTTCGCTTGCTTGCCCAGCTTCCTTGACGATTTCTGCGCGACTGAGAAGCATCGTCAAAATTCCCAGACCAATCTTAGTCTTGGCAACAAATTGCACATGTGTCTGAGCAATGACCAGTCCGAGAAGACCAATAATGATGTTGAAAGGAGCTTCGCTGACATAGCCCAAAAGGCTTGGCAGGACAGCTTGTGAAAAGAGATCAATAGCTTCTCTCACGGGTAGAGCGGGCTGGGTCTCTCCGGGTACGGGATGGGCTCGGCGAACAACGTCCAAAGTGTCCAAATGAACAACAATCATGGTAAGGATAGTAACCCGCTGTTCTTGATCAATATGACGGAATATGCGTGGAATTGCTTTCTTGCCCTTTGGGTAGGAGAGGAAAGCGATGAACGGATGGGGTGTAGTGGAATTGGGTACGATGGGCTCCATGACTTTTAGTCCCTGCCATAACTTCTGGTTGAGTGAGCGAACTTTTTGGCGCCACTCCAAGTGTTTCTGAATGGCCTCAGAGTCATCCTCATTAGGCGGGGGAGGCATCGTGCGCTCCATATCCTCTAGCTCCATGAGGGTATTATATACACCCTCAATGTTCGTCAAGATAGATTTGTGGTCGCTCAAGCTGAGATCGGCATGTGGCTTTTTAGTAGCCTTGCCGCCTTCTGAGCTTTCGGGACGTTTGATGTTGAGCGAAGGCTTCGGCGCCTTGGCATTTCCGAACGAGATCTTTCCTAAACTGCCCTCAATAATAAGCTGCTTATTCTTCGGCTTCGCTTTGGCAGCCTCCACCGCACGCTGAACCTGCTGCTGCATTCGCTGCATATGGTTATCAGCGCTCTGATTGTGCTTCCGAGACCCATGGCCTCCGAGGCGATTGCCCGTCTGGAGTAGATAAGTTTGCGCAAAGTGGCCGAGGGGCTGATGGGGGTGCTGCCGGGGAGCACCTCGAATCTGGCTGTACACCTGATAATAGAAATCTTCTGCCAAAACGGCTTCAGAATCATTATCTGCAACATTTCCAGCAGCTGCCACTAACTGTTGTAATTGGATACGGGTAATGAAATTCTTGTCTTGAGGGGTCATCAATCCGTTACCCTTGGATAGAAGGAAGATCTTGTGGTTTCGCTTTGCACGCTTTGCATCTTCGAGGAGGTACGCCATACGCTGCTCTTCTGTGAGATTCATCAACTGCTGCGGATTCGTGATCAACGGAAGCTGCGCGCTAGGTCCACGGCTATGCTGCTGGGCATGCTGCTGGGGTTGTTGTGGAGGATGCTGTTGAGCATGCGGAGCACGTGGCGGGATTGCTTGAGGTTGGGGAGGAGGCACCATATGCGGCGGGGGAGGCGCATTGGGAGTCTGGAGAGGGTGGAGCGGAAGGTTAGGCGCATGAGCGGGATGAGGAAACTGCTCTGGGGCCATTGTCTGAGGATGCAACATCTGTGGTGGCACGCCTCTGGCGAACTGCGCTTGCAAGAACTCGGGTGGCAATTGCTGGAAGCCCTCCGGAATGCCGTGAACGTGCGGGGGCCTCTGGAGATGAGGTGGCTCAGAGACATGCGGCGGCAAGGGCATCTGAAGCCCGCTCGGTATCGGCGCAACACCATGGCCGCGAAGCTGCGCTTCCACCTCCTCGAGGCTCATCATCTTCGGCGGCTGCGATACGGCCTGAAGGGCGGGTTCCGACTTCTTGGGCAAGCCCCAAACGCTAGACTTCGCCTGAAGGTCCGGAATGTAACCCGGGTCATTGTACTTCTCGTATCCAGTTCGTTTTGGCTGCTGTAACAAAGTGGTACTAGCGACAGCCGTCGTCTTGGTTTCGGTGACAGGAGCTGCGACGGGGGCTCGGGGAGCGTTGAGGTTGTAACGGACTTGCTCCTCTCCGATGGCATCTGCAACTTGCGCAGTCTTACCAAAAAAGTCAAAGTCCTTACCGACGGGCCCGGTTTCGACGTCGCCAAAGGTATCTTCGTTGAAGGCATCTTGATCATCGTCAAGGCGGTCTCCTAAGCCATCGTAGGTATCCTCAAAATCAAGGCTGGAGGCGTAGGATATCAAGCGTTAGCAAAGCGCGAACTCGACTTGCTCGTTGACGGCCAACACCCGGTCAATGGGTGTGGGGGTTGCTTACACGTCGTCGTCTTCGGCAAGCTGCGCCTGTGCTTTGGCGCGGGCAACCTCAGCGAAAGGGTCAGGAGTGTCGAAAATGCCCCGATTTCCACCCTGAGAAGCTCTATCCCTGGGGAGGGTCGTGTCGAAGCCGAAAAACGACATGTTCGACGCGGAGGTGGATGCGAGGGGTGTGGTGGGAGGAGATTTAGCTGGTTAATAATTGTGGTGCGGGATGAAGTCAAGTCACCATCTTAGCTTGGTTCAGGTTGGCGCCTGAGGCAGATATTCTCCAAAGATCCAATATGGACCATGTACGCTCCATCTGCAAATATTAATAGTTTGGGTTTGCCGTCCTGAAAGCGTAGAGTGTGCATAAACAGTCGGATCCTTCGAAGTGAAGCCAATCCTACCTAGGTAGGAGTAGGAATATGATCAACTCATATGGATACACTCTGGACGCTTTATGCCTCAGGCAACATTGTAATAGCAAGAGTTCGTCGACGAGCCTAGGAAAAGCGTAATTGCTTGTATAGACCTTACGTTTAAAGATTTGAGTACTACCATGTCTAATGAGATGGTTTTCGGACCCTCTGTCAGAACCTGTATCGACGCTGCAAATAATTCTATCTACCTACCCAGCCAAAGCATTGCAATCGCGCCCCGCCAATCAACGTTAATTGTTCAGTTCCCAGCACCGTTGAAAGAGGTCAATTCGCTGCATTTGCTCAGTGTCCAAAATACCGCGGTAATCGCTGGATGCGTGGTAACAAGGCAAACTACCGGCGGTCTATAGCTCTATAGAACCTCGCTTTCGGAGTCTGACCGCGGCTTGTAGCAATTGATCCGACGTCCAGAAGCTTATCGACCACGCCCTCCGCCATCGCAACCGCACTTGTCGCGCTCGTCCGCCATAAGATCGCGCTAATCGGCAGCTTTTCGATCTCCAATAGGTCTAAACCAGATTCCAAAACGTCGCTGCAAACATTGACCCCCAGCCAGAACGTTCACCCAGGTCCGCGCAATCCGCACTGGCCGTATACCTGCAGAGGTGATTCCCGTGCTCCGAGAGCACGCCCATACAGAATGCCGCCAACGCAGGGGAAGTATGTGCGGTATCTTATTCTCGCTGTTGTGGTCAGTTTCTTCTGGGACTGAAATATGCAGCCTCGCTGACCCCTGGATCGAACACAGGGATTAGCCTTTTTCTTCCTCACGAGGAGGCCTCTCCATCTCCCAACGCCAACGCCATTTCCGCCCTCCGATGGTCACTCAGCAGACACCTCAGGACAAACACGTCATGCGCAGTCGAGCAGTGAGGTCATGCGTTTCGCGGCCGCTCACCCCGGTGGTCGAGCAAATGCGACATTCGTGACTTTGGCCCGAAATACAGACATTTGGGAAATCTCTCAAGCAATCCGGCAGGTGGAGGACCGATTCAACAATAAATTTCACTATGATTGGGTCTTCTTGAACGATAAACCATTCGATGACGAGTTCAAGCGCATCACGAGCTCCCTGGTGTCCGGGACTACGCACTATGGCGAGATACCCCCGGAGCATTGGTCGTATCCCGAGTGGATCGATCAGGATAGAGCACGGCAGGTGCGGGAAGAAATGAAAGAGCAGAAGATCATCTACGGTCACTCTGAGAGCTACCGACACATGTGCCGATATGAGTCCGGGTTCTTCTTCCGCCATTCTCTGATGCAGAACTATGAGTACTACTGGCGCGTGGAGCCTGGAGTGGAGCTCTTTTGCGATATACCCTATGACCCCTTCCTGTTCATGAAGGAAAACGACAAGAAGTATAGCTTTGTGATCAGTATGTATGAGTACCCAGGGACGATCCCGACCCTCTGGGACGGCGTGAAGCAGTTCATGAATGATTACCCGCAACACATCAGCGAGCAAAACTTGATGCGCTTTTTGAGCGACGACAAGGGCAAGACCTACAACAGTTGCCACTTTGTAAGTGTCAACCCGGGCAGCTTTGTTACCGAAGCTAACACTCCTACTAATCTGGCAGTGGTCAAATTTCGAGATTGGGAGCCTGGATTGGCTACGGTCCAAAGCATACATGGACTACTTTGAAGCCCTAGACCGGCAAGGCGGCTTCTTTTACGAGAGATGGGGCGATGCTCCTGTCCACTCGATCGCCGCTGGACTTCTCCTCAACAAGGAGCAAATTCATTTTTGGGATGAAATCGCTTACTACCACATGCCGTTCACCCATTGCCCTCCAGACGAGCAATTGAGAAAGGACCTCCGATGTAGCTGTGACCCATACGGCAATTTTGACTGGAAGCCCCATTCATGTAAGCCTTTTCGGAATATCAACAACCATTGCTAAAGTCGACTAACCTTGTACCTTGTCCAGGTCTTTCGCGCTACTTCAAGGCGAACGAAATCCCCTTGCCAGCAGGGGTGGATGAGTACAGTTGGCTAGCAATCTTTGGATTCGTGTTGCTATTTGCAAACATTGCTTGTATCATTGCTGTTGCCATCAACCCGCGAGCACGAGCACAGGCACTTATCACGGTTCGGGGTATATACCTGCAAGGCCAAACCCTCTGGGAGCGGTATAAGGAGGAGAAAAGAGAATGGGAGAGAGAAAGGTTACGGATGTCACGGTAAACCTTACCACATCTTTCCACGACATACCTGAAAGGTTCTCTCGCTCGCCTGGGACGTCGACTCTATCCTACGGCTTGGGCTCTACTTGATTATATCTCTCACGGTGCATGGTTTTTGGCGTCATCAGGTTACTTAGCTGTCTCTCGCACATATCGATGGCGTACATGCGAATCTCGGTTTTTACGGGCATTTGGGTTATAAATAGGCTCTCCGGATTAATCTATATACAGAGAGGCTTCGGCTGGGGGGTTTGGCTTTAGCTGTTCTATAGATATACATTCCTATACTTTGTAAAATACAATATCTAAGGAGAATAGAATTCAAACAAAATTCTAAAAGTAATACTTGTACAGATATAGAAAACGAGATCCCGTTTAGATAATACAACAGCGCCATTAAAGAAGACAGGTCATGTCGATACCACGATCAGATGTCTAGTCCCGCTTGGGCTTCTTAGTACCATACTTGGATCGGCTAGTCAACCGAGCCGAGACACCTCCCTACAAAGTCATGGTTAGAACCAATTGGAAACTGAAAAGCGAGGAGAAATAGGGGAGAATCATACCAGATCCATCGCTCCACGGATGAGATGGTACTTAACACCGGGACAATCCGGCGCTCTGCCTCCGCGGACAAGAACGACACTGTGCTGCTGGACATTGTGGCCTGACTCTGTTAGCATAGTTCTCATCTACCAGCCCACAGGCAGCTTGGGGCCGAGCGCCATAGGCACGAAGGCAGAGCAGGGCAAGACAAACCTTCACCAGGGATAATACACGAAACCACCTTCCCACTGCTCAACCTAATTCTTGCCGTCTTTCTCTCACCGGAGTTCGGCTTCTTCGGCTTCGTGATACCCGTCTTCAAGCAGACACCCTTCATCTGCGCGCGGCCAACGAGCGCCGGCGACCGAGAGCGCCGGGCAGCTTGTGTGGTTCGGCAGCCCTTGCGGACTTGGTTGTATGTGGCTTGGCGAAAGGGAGATGTTGTGAAGTGTCTGATGAGGGAGGAGGGCTTGGTGAGTACTTGCGCGGCGGCGGGTGTGCGGAAGACGGGCTGGAATCGGGGGGTGGGTTTGGTGATTGTTGCGGGGAGGGTCGGGCGTGTGATGAGTGTCCGCAGGGTGCGGAGGGCCAGCGGCGAGAATAAGGACGGCATTGTTGTGTATGGAGGCGGGATCGGTGTGGGCAATTCGACTGGAGAGTGAAGTTGTTGGTTGAGTGTGTTGATGATTATTTCCTCCGCGATAAATGTCACGTGATATGGCTCTTGCGGGGCTGGTCTGTCTGGGTCCGCCCGAGGAGCTGGGAGTGCCGCGCCATTCTGGAGCTGCCTTCGCTGACTGGCCGATAGAGCTAACTATTACGACTTCAACTGACTCTCTCTCCGACATATGTCCTTCAACTTTCTCGCAACATAAAACATTGCATCCAACCTTCTACGCCAGCATAATCACTACATCTCAATAGACCGAGAATCATTCACAATGGTCAGTCCTTTACAACCAGCACGAATCCCGGCCCAACCTCATCCAACATCCAACCTTACCTTTCAACCCAAGAACAATCCATAGCTAATACTCTTAATCAGTCCCTCCGAATCGCCCCTCCCGCCTCCCACCCAACCTCAACAACAAATACCACCTCCCGCGTCCCATCATCCCAAGTCTCAAAAGGCGCCCCCTCAGCCCCCGGTCTTCCCGACACCCTCCGCAACAACATAACCCTCCAAGCACCCCGGGGCCCGCCCTCCTCAACAACCGGCCCAACCACGTCCACACACCCTCTCGAAGCCCGCCTCCTCGCCTGGCGCCAAACGCAGGATGCGCTGAAGATGGAGTCGCTGCGTCGTGCGTATGGAATCGCGGAACCCGTCCGCCGCGGAATGGAGCTGAAGATTGTGCGTGATGGCACGTTTAGGCCTGCTGTGCTAGGTGGAAACAAGGCGGGGAATGTCCATGAGGATATCCTTGTGCTTGGGGGGAGGGATGCGGAGGTTGCGTGGGAGGATGTGTTTTTGGGTTTGTTCACCTTTTATAATTTGAAAGAGAGAGTGGATTGCTAACTTTACTCTCACTTGCAGGAGACGAGTTCAGGGAGCCACCTTCTTTCCACGACGAGATGGAGAAGCGGCTGCGGATGGATTAAGGGCGTGGTTCGGCGTTGTCTTGTCTGACAGGAATGTGGACTCTTACGAATCGATTGATCATTTGAGTCATCCGCGCATGTTCTCCACGATACATTGGTGAATAAATCACAACTAGATCGAAATCCGCTCCAAGCCCGCTCTGTAATGTGTATCATGGCACCTATAGGGTCCTACGTCAGGACTGGATAGCCGTTCATACTTTGACTATGGTAAATATGGGCCGTGTTCCAATAGACTACCCTATTAAGTACGTGATGTATACAGTGAGCTGCTGTCCGGGTAGTCTTTGAGTTGATTGTGCAAATTTCTAGCACGAAATCCTTGTCCCACCGGAATGGATTGAAAGAGCTATCCTCATAAGACCGGTGCAATAGCCGCAAGAACAGGCAACATGACCTTAGTCCAAGTAGAGCTAGGTACGTCCCAGTCGAGGTGTCGCGGATTTGCAAATGTCCCAAAAAAAACCCCAACGTACATTGGCCAGCGAGGCCAGTGGTAAACCATATAGAAGCACAGCACAGGAGATGTAGATGACACAGAAACAAAGAAATGAGAGCCCAACGAGATGAAGAACATGCTGAAGAATTGCCTTAATGGATCAACGAAACGAGACAGGATATATGATTGGGAGCAAAGAAAACCTCGAGAAACCAGGAGATATGTGTGAAAGAAAAGCAGAAACACGGGAGGGAAAGGGGTATATAAGGTATCAATGACAAGTATTCGAGTCGAGTCGAGTCGATCATGGAAGTGCATAAGGACAGATGCTTGACAGTTTCGATTGTTGATGACGCACGGCAGGTGCTGCAAGGAAGGTTAATCCGCCAGAAATTTAATGAGATATGGCGTCTCATGTCGGCGTACCACGGTGATAGTAGTGTTGGATTGATAGATGAGAGACGACTTCCAGCATCAAAGGCGATCGGTTGGTATATAGGTACCGCGGTTGAGCAAGCTGATACCTCAGGCTTTCACGTAGAGGTCGTTAAGTGAACAGTGTCCTAGGACTCGGGCCACGTCCAGGTTGGCGAAAAGCAAATCAAGTCTATGGATGGGCACGCAAAGTTCCCTCCTTCATTGAATGACGCAGCGACATCTCGGGCTCCGCTCGCTAGCCTCTCGGTCACGAGAGTACTGAGCTTTGGTGCCCTTTGCATCCTCTTCGTCCACAATTTCTTGTGGTTTTACCGTCATGTGCACTACATTTGGAGCGTCTTGGCTGAACTTGGAGTCTAGAATATATTTAGCGACATGTCTAGTGTAACCGTGATAGAGTAGAACACCACATACCTGAAAGCGGAGATTTATCGTCAAGCAATTTCCCGAATGAGATTAATCGGATAGAGCTAGGAGATGAAGGCCGGGGTTCCCAATCTACGGCAAATCAGTCAGTGGAATGCATTTCATTGGACCATGAAGCTCGTCTCATACCTTCCTGCCATGCCCTCCAGATCAACTCTTTGAGGGTATACACGCTCATGGCAAAGGGATCATTGTTTTCCACACTGACTTCTCGTTTCCGCAAATAGTTCGCATCGATCTTGAAAGGATGTCGCGTGCCGGTAATCAATAGGAGAACAATTGTCAACGATGGACCAGACTCTTCCGGCTCCTTGGCTGACGCCTCGGACGATAACTCTGGAGCCGTTGGTGTTGCTCCCTTCTGCTCATCTGTTTCTGAGGGAAGAACTATCGTGGGAACAGCTTCTGTATTGGTTGGTTGCGGGGGAGCGGGTGCGGTACTATCGGTTTGACCCGTGGTCCTCGTATCTGGGAGATCCGTCGCTGGAGTGTCCTGCGGGGAGGTTGCGGGCGAAGTGGTGATCGCACTATTGCTGACTTCCAGGGTTGAGGCGGGAATGGGTTGCGAGGAGCTGGGAGCACCAGATATCGAGTCAGCGGTAGCGGTGGTGGCAGGGCCTGGACCCTCCGGCTGCGCGTGATCCGGCGAAGCCATGGTCTCACTCCGAGCGGGGAGGTCGTGCTGCGAATCCAGACAGCGACGGGAGTGCGAAGGCAGAATGGTGTCGAGAGTTGAGAACAAAACGACCTTCGACTAGATTTTAAAGGGGAATTGTCTGAGCTGACGGAAGAGGTGAGGGCTGATGAAACGGCGACCTCAGCCTGAGGCAGGGAAGGACACCGACCAGATGGGGGCGAGATGATCCGAATCCGGAGCTGAAGGCTGTGAGGACTTATCGGAGGACGATGATGAGGGCCATGCGATCAGAGAATCTTTGAATAGAAGAAGACTCACTCAGAAGGAGAGAAGGAGATAAAGAGGAAGAGATGGAGGCGAAGATGTGTCTAAGAGACTGAGACAGCCTGGTGGCCGAGAGTCAAAAGGGAGAAGAAGGAGACGCAGAAGGTCGCCCGGGGAGTGCGAGTGGAGCTGGCCTCCGATCCGGTTGGCTGGCGGGCGCTCAATTTCAATCCTCTGTCTGGAACTTGATTTGCTTTAATTCTCCTCTTGTCAATTAGGCCTATACATTATTGATGGCATTGATGATGAGCTTTGAATTTCTTATAGTCTTGTGCTCCAATTACTCCGAGACCATGATCGTGATGCTTCCATCCTGCGACTGGCCACCTCCCGCATGCAGCCTGCCTTTATTTGCTGAGAAGGCACGCCCACACCTTAATAATAGCTAAAACTACACATCTCTTGCTGAGCATATGTGGATTAGGCTTATTAAATGTCAGTCATACAACATGTATGCTAGTGAATCGTTAGGAATGAGCATCAGGCCAGGTTGGGTAGAGAGATATTCAACAAGACCCGGCCAAGCCAATTGTTTGTTCTCTTCAGATCGTTGAATTGTAGAACAAGTACTTCATATCTTCTAAGACCGCTTAAATGGTTGTTTGGGCAAGATGCAGATAAGAAGACACTTATCTACGAAGTCAATGGAGCCATTTAATGGTGAGCTGCGCAGCTGCAGGATCTATGTTCTAGAAGGTGAGAACATCCTTTGTCTGGTGCTAGGACAGTAGGACTCGACACGGCCACATGGTTGTTGAACTTACCAATAAGTGTCCGAGTCGGTGTGGAATGCAACGCCATGCCCATTGCCCTCTATAGCGGGTTACCTATAGGACATCCTCCAACGATAGAGACGGTTTGATTAGCCGACGCGACAATCGAATCTCTAGCCGCATCAAGCCCGTTCGCATGGTTTCTCCCTCTATAGCAACTCGATTCACTCAAGCCATGGTCCAGTGGCCAGCTCGGCATCAAGCTTTGGTAAGCATCGGAAATCCCCAGTCACTGAAAAAGCAAGGATACTGGAAGTGGGGGTGTTTCGATGCCTACATAAGCCCAAGCTACACCGTATATTGTACAGCGTGCGCCTTACGGACACGTCAAGGGTCCTCTCTGAAAGATGCATAGCGAGACGCACAGTCTCAGCTGCGCCGAGCCTCAGCTACAGAACCAACATGTTGGCGCCTCAGCCTGCAGGAGACATTGCAGGAGCTCTCCTCCGAACCTAATGTGATAGATACAAAGGTAGACGCTTCCTCCATGGCCTATCGGATTTGCGCCGACTTCCAATCGAAGTACCAAGTCACGATGCCGTCCGAACAACCAAAGAAATATAGGTACTCTGAATGCTCACGCGGACACGCCAAGCATAGCTTGCATGTTCTGCATGGGTAGTGGTGTGCTACCACGTTTGGGCTTGACTGCACATACTCCATAAGTGCCTGGGCACGGTCCTGAGACACTGTCAGCCAATAATCATGGTGTAGATAGCTCAGCTGAAAAACGTGCAGACATTATAATTACCTGTGTCCTCATCGTGGGATACGTAGGTCGAGTTGCAGTAACAGACGCAGCGATAGATACATACTCTAACACGGAGTTATGTCGGATTCCGCCCTGTCAGGCAGGATCTGTGGTTATCATTTGTTGATCAGATACAGCAATTCCCCGATTCTGTCTTCCTGACTCTTCCGTGGGCCATCGCAGGTAAGGGGTCAGCTGTAGGAGAATTCCATGCAATCCAGTTGCTTGGAGCCCTGGAGTCGACTCACTTCACGCTGACGTCAGTGCTTCTTTTCCGACGCCTGGGGCAATAATAATGACCGCATGGATGATAGGCGAAACCAAAATGTTTGTCTCAAAGAGGCAAATTCTGGGGCGAATCTTGTGGTGTAACCAATATGGGAGAATTTCTCCGGCTAAGCCAGTGTGGCCCAGTGGCAGAGAAATTCGACGTGCTTGCCCAGGTGCAATCGCAGCAACGGTGTCCCCCACGTGCGTGGGCTCTCCCAGGGCGAATGATGACGAACGCGAGCCGAACCTGCCAAGCAACCCAAGCCCACGCCCAGAAAGTCGCGACTCTGTGCAGGTCGCCTGGCCTATCGGTAGAATCCTGTCATCTGGAAGTATTCGATTTAACTTTTCGATGAATCTTGTTCGATTTCTTGAGGTTTTTGACTCTTTGCGAAAATTGGCAAGTCTTCTTTTAGCTCGTCAGCAGGATACTGCAAGCTGCAGTTGCAACAACCCCACCACTGGCGCATGTCTTCCGCATTGACCGCAAAGCAAGCCGTCCGGCGTGTTGAGATACAGATCCAGACCCCGGTTATGTCGAGATAGCGCTAGATCCATTGCCAATTTTTTAACCACACCCACTTTCTTTGGCGCCCACGCGACCTTTGTTCGAGATCGGAAGTTTGCAAGATCAATTTAAAACCTACCGGGCTCCCCTCGTTTGCTCCCTCGAAGCTACAGTATCATGCTAAGCCCCGGCCCCTCTCCCGCAGGATGAAATTTGCCAAGTAAGTAAACCCCTGATTATCTCCCTCCCTGCATTGACACTTGACGCACGTTTGGCTGATCTCTCGGCGTTACAGAGAATTGGAACATGAGCTGGTTCCAGAGTGGCGGGCCAAATATTTAGACTACAAGGTTCGATTTTGCTATGAAACGGAGCCCTCATCCTTCTTGAGCTTTGCATCGTTCTTGACACTAATCTCTTTGCTATCTCAGGTCGGAAAAAAGAAAGTCAAGGCAATAGCGCGCGCCATCCAAAAAGCAAACCGAACGCCCAATCACCCCTCTCTTCAGCAGCGTCCCCTCCCTGACCAAGGCGAGAACTCAGCGACACCCGCTAGCGGCTCCCAGCGTTCTGCTTCATTTCGCCGGGCCGAGAAACGATTTGAAGGGGCGGATACAGACCACCTTGCTGTAAAGAGTCCCAGCCTTACTTCGCGATCTACACCCGGTCAGCGGCACGAGCGTCAGCCCCTGCGAGTGCCAGGATCTCGGTTTTCTGCCGTGGTTGGAAGCTATGGGAGTATCGTCGCATCACCTCCTCAGCAAGGTGGAACATCAGACGTAGCTTCGCTAGAGCTACCTGATCCCGCATTAGATTACGGTGAGGATGTCCGCTGGTCGGAACGGAATCTCGACGGTCAAAATGCTCCAAAAACGCCATCGCCCGTTATTTCCCCACAAGTGAGCAATAGGTCCGCTCTTAGGGACAACCCGCATCGCAATTCTTCGATAAACCAACCAGTCACCTCCGGGGACGCAAAGAACAGAAATGCCGTCTCAGGAACATCAGGTCGAAGAAAGTCTCGCCTTATCAAGCGCGTTTTGTCTTCTGGCGAATCACCGGAGAAGCTCGCACAGAGTGACCAACGCACAGAGTTCGAACGTAAGCAGGACGAGTTCTTTGCCTTTCTTGATGGCGAGCTGGCCAAGATCGAGTCATTTTACCAGATGAAGGAGCGCGAGGCAACTGAACGCTTGAGGATAATTCGAGAACAGCTGCACACTATGAGGGATCAGCGTACCCAGGAAGTTCGTCATGTCAGGAGATATCGTGACCGCGATGCTGAGCACCCATCTTCTAAGCCTTCCAGCACGCTAAGCAGCCGCCGACTTAGAGACGCTTTTGCTGGGAGACGGATTGGCAAGAACTCAAAGGCACTCGTCGCGCTGGCTACGCCTGCGGGCGCGCAACCACAGGATCCTGAGGTTATCATCAGGCGTAGGGATTTTGCGCGTCAGCCAGAAGAGGAACAGCTTCCCAAATCAGAGGTCCCGTATCGGTCCGCAAAGAGAAAGCTCAAGTATGCTCTGCAAGAGTTCTACCGTGGCGTAGAGCTCCTGAAGTCATATGCCTATCTTAACAGAACTGCTTTTCGCAAAATCAACAAGAAATATGACAAGGTCGTCGACACACGACCGTCAATGCGATATATGTCGGAGAGAGTCAACAAAGCGTGGTTCGTACAGAGCGAAGTGACAGAAAGTCTGCTGGCTACAGCGGAAGACTTATACGCTCGTTACTTTGAGGGCGGCAAGCGAAAGATAGCGGCCTCCAAACTGCGCCTTACTCTAAGGAAATCTGGCGATTACTCGCCAAATACCTTCCGCTGCGGACTCTTATCGATGGCTGGGCTCCTATTCGCCATCCAAGGCCTGATCTATGCGAGTCAACGTCTTGAGGACGAGGACTCTGCCCTAGGAGTACATACCAGCTATTTACTGCAGGTTTGTCACCACACCAAGATTTTTTGTGCCGTTGTCTAACGTGTTCAGATTTACGGAGGCTATTTCCTCGTTGTTTTCCATTTCTTGCTATTTTGTGTAGATTGCATGGTCTGGAACAAGACCAAGATAAACTATGTTTTCGTCTTCGAATACGACACTAGACATGCCTTGGACTGGCGCCAGCTGACAGAGGTATGTAATCCTCCTTGACATCATAGCTAGTACTAATTGTGTTACAGCTTCCTTGCTTTTTCTTGTTTATATTAGGTCTCATCATGTGGCTTAACTTCTTGTCAGTCAATGACATGTATGTTTACTGGCCAGTCGTGTTAATAGGTTTGACTGTCATTGTGCTGTTTTTGCCCGTGCGGATCTTATATCACCGCAGTCGCAAGTGGTGGGCGTATTCAAATGTGAGTACACCAATGCTACATCGATTATCCCTACTAAACGAAGCAGTGGCGTCTCCTGCTGGCAGGTCTATACCCAGTTGAGTTCCGTGATTTCTTCCTGGGTGATATGTATTGTTCCCAGACATATGCAATGGGCGTGAGTACACATCTACAAGCTCATTCAAAGCCTAAGCACTGACATTCGATAGAACATTGCGTTATTTTTCTGTCTATATGCGAAACATTGGGGCGAGCCCCCACAATGTAACTCGTCTCATTCACGGCTACTCGGTTTTTTCACTACTCTCCCATCGATATGGCGCGCCTTTCAATGCATTCGCCGATACGTCGACACGAAGAACGTCTTCCCACACTTGCTGAACTTTGGCAAATACATGTTTGGAGTCCTGTACTACGCCACACTGAGCATGTACCGCATCGACAAAGTAACCCGCTTCCAGGCCCCCTTCATCACCTTCGCCCTCCTGAATGCTGTCTACTGCTCTGTCTGGGACCTTGTAATGGACTGGAGCTTGGGCAACGTCTACGCCAAACATCCGCTCCTCCGCGAGACACTCGCCTTCCGCCGCGTCTGGGTCTACTACCTCGCCATGGCCCTTGACGTAATCATCCGCTTCAACTGGATCTTCTACGCCATCTTCGCCCACGACATTCAACATTCCGCCGTCCTCTCCTTCGTCGTCGCCTTCTCCGAGATCTGCCGCAGAGGCATGTGGACCATTTTCCGTGTCGAAAACGAACACTGCACAAACGTCATCCTCTTCCGCGCCTCGCGCGACGTGCCCCTCCCCTACGCCCTCTCCACCCCAGACGGCCCCGCAGACCAACCCCCACCACCCGAACCACTCCACGCCCAAGACCCACGCACCTCCCTCCCCATCTCCCCGCCGACACTGGGCGTCGTCGTTCCCCCAGACGTCGAGCACGGGACGCCGTCTACGCCTGGCGCGTCACTTCGGCCGCGGGCGCTCTCGCGAGTTGGGACGATGCTCGCCTCTGCGCACGCGCAGGACTTCCAGCGCAAGAAGCGGCCCGGCGAGATGTCCGGTGCTACCGTTGCGCATGGCGCACCGGAGTCGCCGGAGGACACGAGTGATGAAGAGGACTCGGGAGACACGAGGCCATATAAGGATGAGGATGCGATTGAAGAGGAGATTCCGTCGGATGATACCCAATAAGACCACAAAGCTGGATCTGGCGTGGCCAGCATTGCTGGGTTAGACACTGCATTCTAACCATTCATGGGAAACGGTCGTGTTCGAGTCACGAGTGGCTTAATTGTGCTGCCACGTTTATTTCATGCATATGATTTATGATCTACATATAATTTACCGTTCAAAATGGATACGGATCTAGAATTATCCTCCCACAGACAGCTAGATAGCTTCCTTTGCCTGAGAGTGTTCTGTTGAAGACCTTCCATGCTCTATGAGAGTCTGATCTATTGAATTGAGACCAAAGAAGGGGAGAATAGAAAGATAGACGCAAATAAGATAGATTATCACATCCAACAACTTTGTTCAAATCTACGACAACACTTCTGCACCCCAACGTATCGTATAGTCCTCGGCATATCGTTGGTAAGGAATAGAACGGAATAGCATAGCATAGCATGGCGTAGGATAATAAAATGATGGAACCCACAACGCCAACGCCCTGGCAATGATATACCAAAATCACAAGGCCGGCTCTATATACTCAGGAAAAGCCAAAATAATGAGAAGAGGAGCAAGAACGCCAGAACGTTAAGAGGAGTAGAGAGAAAAAGAGAGACAAATAACCTGAAAAGGGAAAAAGAAAGAAAGGACTGGGAGACAAAGAAGACGTTCTAGATGTGACCACGACCCAAGATCTAGCTGGTAGCAAGGAAAACAGAATTCGTAATCAGGCAAGTAACCATGACAACGACACCGTAGATAACGAGCCCAAGACTCAGCTTTCGCAACAAATCTCGGCGCCAGGAGCGGGTGTGCCGGCGGAGAATACCACTCTCAGTAAGAGGCCGAGCCTGGGCGCTGCTATCATCCGCATCACTGGCGCCCGAAACATAGCCATCCTCGGCCTCGTCGTCCTCTTTCATCAGGCGCTGGTGCGTTGGTGAATCGGGGGCGGAGATCTTGTAGTAGAATATACCCGGAAGGATGAAGCTGATGCTGGTACTCCCTGTGCTGCCGACATATGCCAAAACGGCCTCGAGGGAGGAGACAGTCATGGCAACGATGTAGCTCAGGATGAGGATTGAGGTTGTGATTATGGAGAAGCGGAGGTCGCTCATGGCTTCTTGGGTCCGGGCCCGTCGTGGGACGCCAGGAAGGAGCGGGTGACGATGGGGAGAGCCCTCGTTAGTACTTGCAGAGGGTCGCGGTCTCCAGCGAAGCACGGCGTCGACTGAGGCCCTGCATGGGTGGCATTGAAGGGGGTAGGAAAACATGACGAGGATAACAATAGCGGCTCGACCAATGGTGGCCCATAACCCTGGCGGGTACATGCCCACAATATTTCCACCAACGCTATTTCCAAAGGAGAGGTACCCGGTAATAGCAACAAGAATGTAGGTCGTAGCGGAGCTTCCGATACTGGCGAAGACAACAGCAGTCGTTCTAAAGTGACTGTTATTCTGGATTTCGTTCAATATTGAGAACATCTGCATCGCGTTAGCATCTGGAACAATCGCTGCTGCTCACAGGGAAGGCAACTACATTCTGATGGCATGTAAAAGCAAACACAATCACCGGGAAGCTGCTAAGAGTCGGAACAGCCCCTGCCCAGTGAATCACACGAATCGGCCCTCGGTCCGCCTTCGTGTCTCCAATGATAAAGTGATACACGACCAAAACCACCAAATAGGCCATCGAAACCAAGGCCGCAACGCTAGTGTACTTCAACGAGTCTAGCCGCCGTAGATATGAAAGGGGAATGATAATCAACCTGCGTCTAGTCAGTACAGCCTACCACATTCCGATATATGAGAGAACGCGTACATAAAGGCCGTCACCCAAAAATGGCGGTCTACCAAGAAATCAAAAGCCGGTTCTCCTCCAACAAATCCTTGGACGACCCCGGGCATTAAGTCTCCGATAATGATGAGATAGCTAACGCCGACACCGAAACATTTGATCGCAATCGCGGCATCGAAGATGACAGCGGCATTTGGGTAGGTCATTTGCGAGAGGGCGAAGAACGAGGCGTTTCCACGGTCGAGATACTGTGCGCATCGTGACTGAAGGTACAGTCCGAACCCAGCCGCTACACCGGACCATACTATGACGAACGTACCGAGGGCGATACCCATGTGCGAGATGGCGAGAGGCATGGCGAGGACACCGGCTCCAACAACTACACAGATTCTAATTAGAACGGGTTTCAAGCAAGCAAAGAAACCATTGAGCAGATACTCACTTGTGTTCACCAGATTGATCACACAGCTCAGCCAACTGGCCTGGCCCTGCATCCCCGGATTTTGCTTGCCTCTACCTCCGCGCCTAGGCCTTATCAGCAACCACGCGACAGAAGAGAAACGAATCGTTCGGGTTCATATACCTTCTCGAACCAGATCTGATACCATCGGCGGGGCCAACCCCGACTGCAGATTCATCGTCCAGCATGGTGGAATGAAGGTGAAGGTGAGTGTGGTGGTGAAATGCGACCGGAGGGGGCAATTGATAAAGATGGATGAACGAAGCGAGCGATAAAGCAACTCAAGTCAAGCATCGGCGAGGGTGACCCGACATACTAGCCACCTCACGCAGACTCGCAGAAAGCGCCCCGGAAGAGTGGTCTGTCGAAAGTTATTGTGGCAGAAGAAGACAGAAAGGCGAACAAACGCATGACTGAGACAAAGTTGCATCGCCCAGAAGTCTCCAGTCCCAAAATTAGTCAACCCGACAGGCAGGCTCCAGCTGTCACCCTCGGAACTCCGCCTCTTAAACTCATCTTGCACCCTTCATTTCCATGGACTCCCATTAACTCTTGATTCTCATTATTATCATTACGTACGACCCTCTGAAGGCTAAAACTTCACTTCCGATTCGAACTCAGTTCTTCAGCCCAGAGTTTCGGAAACAGTCTGACGATTCTCATAGCTTCGCTCCCCATCCTTTCTCTCCCAGCAGTTCCCAAACCTCGTCTTCGACAGACTGCGCCGTCGAAACTGTATTGCCGGCTACAAAGCCTGGGCCCGGATCGTTATACGGGCTCACAGACCTCACTGTTTTAGAAACCTCCAACACAGTCCCACCACTAACCGGATAAACCGTCTCGCCCTCCTTTCCCTCCACATCTCCAATGATCCGACTAACCCGCTCCTGCTGCACGAGCGCCAACATGACTGTCGCAACCTCATCCGGCGTCACCCACACATCTTTACTATCATCCACCATCTTCAACTTCTCCGGATGATCCGTCCAGAGCGGCGTCTTGATAACACCGGGTGCTACGGCTGTGACCCGGATCCCGCACTTGGTATCGAGCTGCGCGAGCGAGCGCACTAGTCCGTTGATTGCGTGTTTTGTAGCGACGTAGATTGGTGCTGCCAGTGCGGGATTCTGTCCGGCGATACTGGATATGTGGACGATCGCTTTACGACGGGTAGCGTTGTCGCCTGTGCGGAGGAAGTGGGAGATTGCGAGCTGCGTCGTGCGGATTGGGTGCGTAAGGTTGATGTCTATCAAGGCATAGCGGTCGCTGTCCGGGGCGTCGCGGCTTGCGGAAGATCCGGGAGGACGCCAGAAGTTGCTCCAGTGCTTTTTACAAGTAAGTAAGGGCGTACTCTCCACCTGAAAAGAAACGTACAGGCTCGTAGACACCAGCTCCAGGACAGACGATATCGACCTCGCCAAACTCTTTTTCTGCAACAACGAACATCTGTTCGAGCTGCTTCCACACGGTGACGTCTGTGCGTAGGAACACAGCTCGCGGGTTGCCGCTGGAAAACTTGTCGACAAGCTCCTGGGCCTCGGGGCGGAGACCCAAGTCTGCAATGAGGACATTGCATCCGCTCTCGAGAAGCTGCTTTGCGAAGCTCAGGTTGATTCCTACACCATCATTAGCACCTAGTATATGCTCGAGAGTATGGCAAACGTACCTGATCCTGCTCCACTCACGATTGCTGTTTTGCCTTGCACTGAGAAAGCCATCTTGATAGCATGCGAAGTTCCCAGAAGTATTGAAGAAAGTGTTTCAGAGGTTGACCGAGGCCTCCTGGGTCGCTTTATACCTGCCGTGGCGCTTGCAATATCCCTATGGGTCAGAGAACCACCCGCCCGTGACCAGAACAGTGCTTCCAATGTCCTCAATCGTCACTGAGGCAAGCGAGCAGACACGCGGGGTAGGTCACTCGAGGTGGGACTCGGATTACAGCCGATCCAGACAAGACCACGGCGTGACATATCGGCGAGTACTACGTACTCCTCCTCTCCAAGAGTCTCTTAATGGGGCTTCGAGTATGCATACATTTCCCAGGCGACAATGCCGACCTTTGCACATATAGAGTGATAATGTCGCAAAGTGAACGTGTGTACTACGATGTATTACGAGTAGTCCAATTGACGCCCGGGCATCAACTGACTGCGCTGGATCCGGGTCGATGGGGCTGGACCCAGTCAGATCAACTCCACCGGGGAGAAATCGCATAAATTTCCTTTTTCAACTTGCAGCGTGTGGGGTAATCCGCATACATACTCCATCTACGTCTCTGCGCTGGCATCTTTAGATTTGTTCTGATCTCCATGCTTAGGCAGAGCAAAAGCAAATCTGTATCGTGCTGCACACTCAAACAGGATAACGTTCTCGGCAATAATATCGCCGAAGCATTTTCAAAAAGCAGGGTCTTCCTTCTGCCGCCATTCGGCTCTATGGATAGTTAACTGGAGCTCTGGCCCGAACTCTTCCAGTGGAATAGCACGAGCGTCAATAGTTTGCAAGAGAGGTCTGGTCAGTTTTAGACTCGGAAATTCTCGCTCTGCGACAGCTGTTAAGGGACTCTGGTGACTTTTAATGTTCTTGCAGGGGTGTGCCCCGCGTTCGGGGAGGGCAGAAGCTCCATCTTCATGGCCTTTGTGCGCATCCCTAATGACCTGAACTAACGCGGAAGTAAAACATGCACTGCTATATTCCTTTCCAAGCAGCAAACCAGCTTATTGTACCGCAGCTTTGTGGTCCGAAGCCGATACCGCATAACAGAGGATATCAGGCCGAGGGTCTTTCCAGGTGATATTGCCCTCAAACTCACAGTCTATCAGCCGCCGAAGCAATGCAGTATTGCCTGAATATGCCGCTGTACTCATATAGGCTTCACTATTTCCTTTCCCTTCGTTCGGTTGTGGTCGGGGGTCCTGGCCATTCTCAAACAACATGTTGATGACGGTCTCATTATGTGGAACAAAATCGTGATCGTGAACGGACGACGTTTGCAGCGTCCAGCTGGATAAGAGTGGCGTCTGTGATATCAAGGCCTCTGTCAAGAAGCACTTGTATCTGTGTTGGGTTTCCGTCCCTGATTATAGCCAGCATAGATGGCCGGCCAAAGGTTCCAGACACATCCTTGAACCGCACTGCTTCAATCTTTGCCTTTTCAGAGCGCATGGAGACGGAATTACCGCGTGTTGATGTCCTAGTGGTGAATGCGGACATTAATACGCCTAGGTTTAGGCTTGTTGAAGGCTACGAGCAGGCTGTCCAAGTCAATGTACTAAACACATCCCTTCTGGCGCTCTTGCTGTTGTCAAAGCCTCAGGAGATAAAGGCCCTCCTTCCAGACTCACTGCCGCATCTCGTGGTTGTAGGTTCCGAAGCATATCGATCTTACCAAGTTTCCCGAACTAAACGGGACGTTTACCTCAAGTTAAACGAGAAGGAGTCATTCAGCCAGCAACGACGGTGATTATAAACCACTCCCCTTCGCAAAGAGGAACATGTGCTAAATAGGAAACAGGTGTCAAACCACGAAGCTAATCGAAATCTCTTCACACGCGAACTTGTCGCGCGCCTGAAACAGAATCAGAAGACGCCTGTCCTCCCCCGGTAATCAACATTGTAAACCCTGGTCTCTGTACAACCGATGTGGAGCGCAACTTGGCCAAGCCACCTCTTATTATGCGCGTTCTACGCCGCCTCAAGGATCGGACTGCAGAAGTTGGGACGACCCTTGTCCTTGCTGCCTCTGCTTCTCCCAGCTCACACAGCGAGTTCCAGAGTGGCGGGGTGGACCAAGCGTTGACCGTGAGTTCACAGAGAGGTAGGGCAGCGGGCGCAGAGAAATACGTTTGAGAAGACGCTCGAGGCTCTAAAATAGAGGTGCCCGGACACTACACACAAAGTAGGGCTTGCATAATGGTTGGTGCACACAGAAGGTGGCTGTTATGCATGGAACACGGATAGGTGATTAATGGGCTTACTGCAATGGCCACGCCTGATGTAGTCCAATTATTCAAATTTAAAATCCTCAAGAGGGCGACATTTCGGACTCTGATGTTATTGGAGCATAGAAATCGTTTTGCGCCACCCCATATGCATCACGCCGTTGTTGGATCTCTTGACCAGGAACATAAAGGCACTTCACCTCTCACATCTGGACTACCGGAAGAGAAACCAATAACCTTCTCCTTTTACATCGCTTAGCTCTGCATAGAACGTTCTAAAGCTAAGCGAAGCTGTCGAGGACATCGCTTATACAAGAGGATCCACATGTGCTGCACACGTGCGCCCAGAACGGGAGATCTATGGACCCTTGATACTAAACGGCCGAGACATTTTCCCACCATCTCAAGCGTAGTTTGGAAGTATATGCTTACGATCAGGAGATTACATGCTCAGATGATCCTCGAGGGAAGCATAAGAATGCCTTCGTGGGCACCTAAGCCTGGATGATCGGGTGTGAACACTGCTCCTTCCAGTCTATTCGGGGTCTACAGTTCGATAATGCACTGGTGGAGTCTACTCCTGGCTACTGTAGCCTCAGGCGCTGCTGCTGCCGCCATCGAAGGGCCAACAGCTACAGATCTCCCTCTGGCCTCGACCACAGAGCCAGATTGGTTCCAGACCAGACCGCAAAGCTATGAAGGTATGTCGCCCCTTGACCCTGTTCATATATGATATTGTCCTATTAACTCTATACAGGCGTTACCATGACCGGCTCTGCGCCTCTTCTCGCGGAGACGAACCCCGTCGACTTAGGACAAAAGACCTTTGTTGCCAATGACCCGTTGCAGACCTCGCAGCCTATCAAAGGTGCAAGAGGTCGAAATATCTTTCATCTGATGGGTAATCTCAGGTATCTACCCAAGCTGCCATCAAAGCAATGTGCCAAGTGGATGGCTGCTGACGCCATTGCTACATAGCCCATTCTTCGTTCCAGAAGAAGGATTCGGCGTAGATGAATATCCTCTTCCCGAAGGAGCAACCATATCCCAGGTCCATCTGATTCACCGGCACGGGTCCCGATACCCTTCCGACTCAGAAGCCATTGCCCAATTCGCGCAGCGCATCTCAAATGCGACATCCAAGGGCACCAAGTTCACCGGAGCCCTCTCCTTCCTCAACGCCTATTCCTGGAAGCAAGGTGTAAACATCCTCGTTCCCAAAGGCCGTCAAGAGCTCTTCGAGAGCGGCGTTCTTCACTTCTACAACTATGGCGCTCTATACAAAAACACCTCTAAACTCGTCGTGCGCTCAACAACAAGCGATCGGGCCCTGAAGAGCGCAGAGAACTTTCTAGCGGGCTTCTTCGGTCTGGAATGGAATGAGCACGCCAATATCCTGCAGCTCATCTCCGGAGCAGGATTCAACAGCTCCCTAACCGGCATGTCTGTTTGCAGAAACGCCGCGCAGGTCTTCGGCAGCCTCGAGACCGACGCAATGAAGGCATGGCAGGACATCTATCTAAAGCGCAAGACCAAGATCTTGCAGAAGCTCGCAGGCCCCAAATTTAACTGGACAGTCTCCGACAGCGCCAACGCGCAGACTCTCTGCTCGTACGAAACGGTCAGTTTCGGATACAGCCCCTTCTGCGCTTTATTCGACTATGAAGAGTGGGAAGGATACTCGTACGCCTCATCGATCATGTCGTCTTCCCTAATGGGCTTCGGAAGCCCCATCAGTCGCGCCACCGGAATTGCCTGGGTGCAAGAGTTCCTTGCGCGGGTTCAGGGCCACCTCCTTGACGACACTGCCCTCGCCGGACAGACGAGCGCAAATCTAACTCTCGACACGAACCCGGTTACCTTCCCACTCGACCAGCCGCTATACTTTGATTTTGGTCACGATGCAAGTATCCTGGCTGCGCTGTCGGCGTTTGGGATCACGCAGTTTGCCGAGTATCTCCCGCCGACGGGGCCGCCGAGGCATCAGCAGTTTTATGCGGAAAGGGTTACGCCTTTTGCAGGGCGGTTAGTCATTGAGATTATCGATGCTCCGCATGAGGTTAGGGCTGAGCGCTCTAGCTCCGGTGATTCACCATATATATTGAGGAAGGGCAAGACGCGGTATGTTCATTTCATGCTCAACCAGCGGACTGTGCCACTACATGCTAGTTTTGATGAGTGTGAGTACAGGGATGACGGCTGGTGTGAGTTGGGAACTTTCTTTGAGATTCAGAAGGGTAGCCTAAAGAAAGCTCAATTTGAGTATTCTTGTGAAGGGAACTGGGAGATTGGCCCTTATGGGAGTGTCACTGATGGGGTGCCGCCTCATTGATTTGGACAAAAAGTAGGGCTTAGATGTTCCTACGGCATGGTGAGTCGAAGCTTATCGAACCAAGACTAGTTAGGCACATATAGCACGAGAAGATGGCAATTGCATATATTTTCTATTGCTCTAGACTTAATAGTAACGGGTTCATACAGCAGGTTGCGAGTGGCGTACACAGGCAGGTGACAATCCTCGTCTCTCGTTCGCAAACCTCTCCATTCACCTCTCGGCACATCGCCCCAGTTCCTCATCCGCATCCGGTCGGATATCATTTAGCTCCACCCAATCTTGAGTCATATCTTCTCCAATGCTTGATAGCCGAGCCTGGACACCACGTGTATCTGAAGGAGGTGAGGAACCATGAGCCTGCGCACTTGACAAAAGTGCATCCCCGCCGGAATCAGGGCCATGGCTAGGCCCATCAGCCGCTTCAAAATGAAGAGCTTTGGCGTCTTCATCATCCTCGGGGGTACCCTCTTTACAAGCCCAAGCATCAACAAATCGGAGTACTTCGCGCGGCCACCATCGCTTCATGGCCAGGAGGCGAAATGGTACCAAGGCCACAATAAGAATCGGAAAAGCAGGCGCGGCTCGGGTCAGGGTAACAATGAATATCACTACTGTGATGACGATCTGGAGGACTGTGTAGATGTGGACTGGAATGTAAGAAGGAGACGAGTTGTGGTTCTCGCCAGGATCGGGTGTATCCTTGCTATCCTTGTTCGCCAGTGTCGGCGGCAAAGGTGGCAGTTCAGATGGGGGCGTCAGCAGATAGAAAGTCCGGTATAGAATGGGACTACCGTGTCTCATGTCAGCCTTGAACGGGAACAGGAATGGATGAAGGCACTTACTTCACAGCTAGACTCTGCTCACCCATGAACATGAATAACCCTGCAAGGACACTTGTAGGTGTCAAGCCAAGAACTTTCATGAATGGAGGGCTGACGAAGCAAAGGATAGCACCCGCATGCAGGAAGGCTGACCAGCGCTGTTCATAAACTCGCTTAACCTCGTATGTATCAACCTTCTCTTCTCCGTCAACAACAATGATACGTTGTTCATTTTCTGTATGCATCAGGGACTCTGAGTGGAGAGGCGCTTGGGGGAGCAGTCCATTGGCCGGGGGGATCCCTAGGATCCCACACAGGGCCGTGGTGGTGCCGAGAAGCACGATATCCCAAGCAAATCCACCCGGCTTTCTAGTCCCATAACGGTCAATAGTGCATATTATCGAGCTCACTTCATGATCGAAGAAGAAAAGAACAGTGATGATAATTCCCGGGATAATGGCAGCGAAAACCCATTGGACGGGCAATTCCCAAAATTCGACAATAAATCTGGTCCGATCTGGCGAAGATGGCTTAAAGGATTCGCTAATAGGAAGGGTCATCTTGTCCAGATCAGCAAGTTGGCCCACATGCGGCAACCCGATGAACACAATGATTGAGATTGCAGCTGCGTACTCTGCTAGACCCATGCGGATGTATCTATGGAACAATGGTTTCCAGCTTTCCGCAGTAGACAGGAAGATAGCAAGTAGCATTGTTCCAACCGCCCCCATGATTGCATAGAGAAAAGCCGCAAAAGAAAGGGCCTCGTGGGCTCTCTCCAGCTCTTGGATTGCCTTGTGGAAATAGATGATACTGTTCAAGAGAGAGAAGATTTCGGTGGTAAACGTCGTTACATAACGCATAGTCCAATCATGGGCATTGATTATGGCGAGTAAATAGTGTAGCCATGCGGCATGTATCAGGGACCATGCCATAAATGGTAGAAACGGGATATCGAAATCGTCACGGCATAGTTCATAGATATTCTCTGCCAGGACGGCAAAGGGGCCAGTCACACCCAGGATGGTCAATGGCTGAATTGAGAACCTGGCAGACACGGTTTGTTCAGCACGGCTTGCTTCGCCAATTATTAGCCGTGCTAAGAGCTTACAGAGAGAATATCAAGCCGGAAAGCCCAGTGCTAAATACGACTTCAATCGCGCCATAGCTCTTGCCTGTCAGAACATACAGGTCACTGGCAAAGGTGATGCCAGGAAGGAGATTGGTAAAAAAGACATAGACAGCGCTCGCAAAGATCAGCTGATTGAAGATTGTCCAGTCTGACGCATAGCGGCGGCGAAGATTCAGGATATCTTGCTTGATCAGTCGGAAAGGGCGCAGAGGCCCACCAGATGATACCGTCTCTTTCAAGGCCCGAAATGCTTTGGGTGTGTGTTTTGAAGGGGTTATGATAGAGTGCGCATCGTCCCTCTCAGTGTCTCCGTCAATCTCCTGAACAACGCTTGGCTTTCGGCCTCGTCGTTGCCTTGGCTCTGACCTGGGAGGAGCAGAGGAAACGCGCGTTGAGCGCGGGCGAAAGGCGGATATCAGAGACATTATAGGCAGTCTAAAACCATCATAGAGTGAGAATAAAATGGTAGCCTGGTCAGTTTGCAGTCACTTGGTGATGAGGAAAAGTGAGGAAAAGTGAGTAGGTAGAGAGGAAGGAACGGATCTAGAAGCCAAGGAGGGGCATCTCTTGGCTATGGGTGACGTAAACCGTCTGAAGCAGTCTAGATAGACACGCTTTGATTTCCAGCTGCTATGTGCAGTATATCTGGGTCATGTGTATGTTCAACCCGAGACAGTTCGTACTCCAGGGCTATCACATGAGTAACATGACCGCGGAGCCACTATGTAGGATCTGCCCTTATAGTTTCATGGGTGATCAATAAGCAGCGGCCCCTGATAAGCAGATAGAGATATAGATAATGTCTACCGCCTTCTCCACCGCCAAACCTTCCTCGGAAACTGCCTGGAAAAGCGGATTTTCCTTGACGCATCCAACAATCAGGACAACAAAGTCGTCGCTACGGTCGCAGCCATTCTGCGATAGATAATGCCGGCACAAAAGGCTCTACATTATTCCAAAGTGATGGTTCTACGATAATGGCGACTAGATTCGTGCCGCGCCAGGTATTTCCCAACTATGCCTCCATTCCGCGGTCCTACTTCCTCGGCCACCACAGGGCAGGGTTGAAAAAGATGCAGAATATGCTCTCTTCTATTGACTATGTGGTTGAATGTCGAGATTCTCGGGTTCCGGTCACCTCTGTGAATCCTATGTTTGAAGAGGCTTTGGGAAAAACCCGACGCTTGATCGTCTACACCAAGAGGGATTTAGGAGCTGAACTAGGGTCAATTGAACAGAAGACCGTAAGTTGAGAGTCACGCCCGAAACCTTTATAGCCCATTGCTTCGAAAACCGACTAACGCGCTCTTATTCGTCCAGGCTGAGGAAACCATACGGAACTTTGACCGCAATAGCGCAGTATTTTTCGTCAGTTCGTCTTCACGTCCGAATGTAACCTCAATCCTCAAGCATTTGCGCACCGATGCGGCAGGTCCAGATAGACTTGTTGGTTGTCGCGTGATGATTGTCGGAATGCCCAACGTAGGAAAGTCGACGTTAATCAACAATCTTCGCAATCACGGCGTCGGAAAGGCCAAAGCGGTCCAGACTGGAGGCCAGCCTGGTATCACGAGGAAGATTGGAACTCCCGTGAAGATCATTGAGAGGGAGAATGGCGCTCATGTCTACGTGCTGGACACACCCGGAGTATTCATGCCCTATGTGCCAGACGCCGAAAACATGCTGAAATTAGCCCTTTGCGGTTGTGTCAAGGACTCAGTGATCTCACCGGTTACTTTGGCAGACTATCTGCTATACCACATCAACTTACATAACGCCGACGTCTATCAACGTTGGTCTCCGGCGACCAACGAGATTCTGTCACTCCTGGATAGCTTCGCTCGCCGGACGGGCCTTCTCGCCAAGGGGGGTATACCAAATATTGAGCATGCGGCTCTGAATTTCATCTCGAAATGGCGCTCTGGTGAGCTCGGCAGGTTTATACTTGATGATTTACAGGCGGAAGAGCAACGCCGCGAACTAGGCGAGGAGATAGAAGTGAAACCCAGTCTCACGCAAGCCTTGAAAGCAGAAAGGCTAGCGAAGAAGAAGCCTAGATTAGAATCGGGAACTGAGCAAAAATAACTTGAATGTCCAGATACTTTAGATTTATACCCCATATAACGGAATCTTGATAAATGAAAGTCATCAGATATGCACCGAGCTAAGCCGAATAAAATGAACAGAACCAGAAGGAATGAAGGAAAAGAGACAAGAAGGCGCACTATGAGATCTTCTCCAAAAGACGTCTCCTTCTCCTATCCACAAGTTCTTCCTGTACCTCATCCAATGACGGCAGTCGCCATTCAACACCATCCCCAGCATCTCCAGGTAGCGGCTCCCACCCGTCTTCTGCATCCTCGCTATCAGCCTTTTTCCGTAGCTTCTCTACCGCCTCTTTCTCCCTTTGCATTTCATATGCAAGTAACGTGCCATCCTCTTCGTCAAGCCCATAGCCAAAGTAACTGGCATCCACCTTCTTCGTTGCAATATCCCCGCCCCTCCCCGTCGTAACCTCATCCTCCTCCGCAGGCCTCCCTCTCCTCGCCGCAGCCTCCAACAACTCCTTCACACCAGGTAACTCCCTCGCACGTCCGAAATATCGATATCCTTTCCCACCGCCGGGAATCTCCCTCCCTTCGTCATCATACACCCGCCCCGAGCCACGCATATAATTCGGCCCGCCCAGATTCCGAATCTGCATTTCCCACGCCCACTTCTCGCGCATAAGCTTGTTGATTTCGTCATTCAGATCGCGTATCTGGTGGTCGGATAGACTCGGTTCTTGGATTCGGGACACCTTGCGCGAAATCTCTTTGAGGACCTGGCCGCGCCATTTCTCGCACATGGGGATCGATTCGACGGTCGTGATGGCCTTGGGGCGTCTGGTTCGGCCTATGTCGATGATACCTAGGTCTGCGGCCTGTTGGGCCCGGAAGCGGAAGAGCATCGACTGGGCTTTTTCGCTGTTGCGTGCCTGCGTTTCATCGTGAGAACTTTGCGATTTTTTCTCTTCGTCGCGAGTTGTGGCGGGATTTCGGGGGTTTGCGGAGGGTTTGGATCTCGCAGTTCCTGTGGAATTGGACTTACCATCTTGAGTATATGTGTAAAGGAAGGCCGGGTTGGTGTTGTACTCCCTGTGGGCGGAGGTGAAATCAATTTGGTTCTCTTCAGAGGGAACTTGATCTTAGCTCAAGTGGGTCAAACGTTTCTCCACAAGCGAGCGGCTGCGAGGAGCCGCGCGGCTAAACCAAACGGAATCCTGAATTAACAGAATATTCACACAAGGTGTTTGAATCGCGTCATAAATTAAATACTACATTGATTAATTGGGGGAAAAAAGATATCAGGAAGCTCTGGCATTGGTTTGATGCGGGGGTACTAAGTTATACAACGTCAGTCTGGGCAATTTCACCCGAGCAAGTGGTCATATATATACGGGTGAAAGCACAAGCGGATCTAGAAAAGAAATCAAATTAAACAACGCTGCTGGTATACGCCTTCTCCATATGAATAACAATCATCCTCCATCATATACTCTTAACCTCAAAAGGTTCACCCAACCCACAAAAAACGAAATCATAAACATCCAAAATGCGTAGTCACATAAGAGTAGAACATAACAAAATAATGACGGAGCGTTCGGTCTCCCTAGCACCTCATAGACATCTGGTTTGCTAGAAATTTATAGCCATGATCCATTGCCCAATCTCCGAGGGATCATTTCCGCATCATGAACGATACCTGATTAGGGCCAATTATTCACAAGAAGCCTTTCGTGTTGCTGGGCATCCGCTGAGGGATATCGCCGGTTGTATAAGCACCGCTTCCCTTGCGACTTCCGGTGTCGCTAAACGTCACATGCGCTCTCCCGATGGCGCTGCTTCCTCTTTCAACCCTAAGAGCTTTCCACCCCTTAAGCTCACGCTCAAGCCTCAAGGATTTCTCGCGCTCCTCTCGCAATTCCCGCTCGGCGCGGCGCGCTTGGAGCTGCGACTCTGACTCGCTTTGCTGGAGTTCGTCGATACTCTTGAGAAGGCGCTCAACCTTCTCACGGCCCCTATTGACATCTTCTTCGAGCTGAGCGTTCATCTTGTCCCTACGGTCGATTTGGGACTGCAAGTCCTTGACCGTCCGGTCAACGTTGCGCAACGATCGCTGTTCAGAGCTGTTCTTCGCCTCCTGTTCCTCTAATAGGGTTTCCAACTGTTGCAAAAGCCGGTTAGTATACTATAATGTTAAGAAAAGGCCGTAGGCTGATACATACCTCCTTGATTCTCTTGTGAAGGAATCTGATATCCTGGCTGCCTGACGAGTAGCTCTTCGTCTCCAGGTCAACACACCGGAGCTGCGACTCCTTCAACTGCTTCTCCAATGCGGCCTTCTCCTTGAAGAGTTGAGTGCTGGCCTCCCTCTCAGCAGTGACTTCTTTTTGCATCTCAAAGGCGAGAGCCTCGGCCCGCCTCATCTTCCCAACTGCGGCAATAGAGACGTCCTCCTGTTGAGCAAGCTTAGCCTTGAGCTCAAGAAGCTCACGATCCATGCTAGCAGCGTTGCGCATGGACGGACTCTCTCCCTTGGCGAGATCCTCCAGACGCTCTCCAGCCTCTGTCAACCGCGCCTCGAGCATCTTCTTTTCCTTGAGCAACATATCACGTTCCGCAGTCACGTCATCAACTGAAGTTCGCAAGCTCCTAACCTGCGACAACAGAGATACAACCCGCGACTGAGCTTCGTTGTGAGCACTGGCGGCTTCATCGCGAGATGTTGTCACATCTTGGAGCATGATTTCCATGCGCGACTTTTCCTTGGCCCAGGTCGAGCTGTTCAGCACTTCATCGTCCCATTTACTGCGTAGATCTTCCAGCTCCTCCCGGAGGCGAGAACTTTCGCCACGAACATTGAGAACCTTTTCGCGCTCCATCTCAAGCTCGTTATTGAGGGTTGTGATCTCTCGTTGGTACTTCTGCCTTGTCTGCTCCATTGATGTTTCCTTGTCCTCGATGTCGATGGCGCGCTGGTTTCTGTAATCCTCGAGTTCGTTTTGCAGACGCTGCTTGGCTTGAAGAGCACCTTGCAATTCCGCGGCCTGATCTTCCATCCTAGCTTCGAAGGACTGCGTTTGTCGCTGTAGGTCGTCAATTATGGCCTCCATCTCCTTGCGTTCGGCCATAATCTGGGCGCAGCTGTCCTCGGTCTCCTTGGCCTGAGCCTTAGCAAACTGCTCTGCACGAGAAGCTTTGAGAAGGGTGATCTCTGCTTGCTCGAGCTTGCCGAAGTACTCGTCTGCACGGCTCTTGTAGAGACTCAGGCTAGCGGCGAGGTCGGCAGATTTGGAGGTTTCTGCGTCTAGGCGAATTTGCAGATCGGAAAATTCCTGGAGAAGCTGGTTTCTGCTGGCCACATCCTGCTCTCTTGCAACCAGCAGCTCTTGAGTCTCCGAGCACGCATCACGTAGTTCAATTTCCAGAGTCGCTTTGGCTCGCTTGAGTTTCTCGAACTGGGACTTAGCATCGGTGAAATCTGCAATGGTTTCATTGTGGACCTTGAGCAATGACCTTCTGGACTGTTCCTGGGAGTTGATGAGGTCGTAAAGCTCCTCATGGGACTTGGCTTGAACATCCCGCAGTGAGAGCTCACCCGAGCGGATGCTCCTCTCCAGGGATGATACTTTCTTCGCTGAATCATCAAGCTGGTCATGCAGGCGGCCGTTCTCCCGCTCCAGGAGCTGCATGCGTCTGATTGATGGACTCTCATCCTGCCAGATGTCCCGGGTAGGAGCAGATCGCTCGAGCTGGCTCTGAAGGTGCTTGTTCTGCATCTCAGTCATCTGTAGCTTGTTCTGAAGCTCCTCAATTTCAGCAGCCATATCCATCCGCTTCTGGTAGCCAACAGTATCGACTGTTCTGTCGGATCGCGCAGAATCATTGGATCCATCGTGCAAGTTAAGTCGGCGATTGGGCGTAGTTGGCGTGCCAAACTTCTTCACGCCAGCGTTCTCCGAGTTCTTACGAAGATGAGTCGGGGTACGAGTACTGGCCACTTGATTGTTGTCAATTTCCTCCAGTAAGGCACGCTTGGATGACGAGTAGCGAGCGTCGAGTTCTTTCATTTCATCTCCATGTCGACGCCGCATTTCCACAAGCTGGCTTTCTGCTCGACTGTACCTTTCCTCCGATACTTGCAACTTACCCTGCATGGTCTCCACTAGCTGAGCTAGGTCGATCTTCTTCGACAGGTCAGGCTGGATCTGCTCCCAAGTGTCAGCCGAAGGGTCGGCTTCGGGTTCAACGATCTTATGCAGAAGCATGAGTTGACGATGTAGATCATCGATTTCTTTGTTGGCAGTATCCAACGACCCTTGGAGCTTCCGCGTGTTAGCCTGGGCTTGAGTCCTCAGCTGCCTTTCTGTTTCCAGGTTCCGGTTCGCTTCCCCTAGTTGGATTGAGGCAGCAGAGGCGGCTTTCTCAGCATTGCGACTGGCCTTGTGCTCTCTGTTGACTTCGTGGTTCAAATCCTCCATGCTTAAGGCTAGCTTCTCCTTTTGCTTCTCTAACGAAGTGATGGATAGCTGGAGGTCCCCAAGTTGGCGAGAGAGCGCCTTGTTGTCTTCCTCCAACTTTGACTTTTCCTTCTGGAGGGTCGCAACGCGCAAGCGCTGGCTGTCACTTGCCTTGGAAGTCGACCGAGCAATGTCGAGGTTCTTTTGCTGAATCTTAGTCAATAGGGCGCGATTGTCGTTCTCGGATGCCGTGAGTCTGCCCTTGAGGGTTACCAACTCCCTTTCCAGGCGTTCCTTGTGCTGATCATGGCGAATGCGGAAGTTTTCGGACTCAGCAATGGCGTTCATCAACTGCTGCTCGCGGAGGGCAAGACGTGATCTCTCTGCATCGACCTCCTCTAAGCGGCGCTCTGTGTCGTCCAATTCCTTTCTGATGCTCTCTAGACGCTGATTGTTTTGCTTCACGAGGTTCTGCTCCATCTCAGCCTCAGCTTTCAGGCGAGCATCTTCGACCTGGGTGAACCGGTCGCGCAGCTTGATCAGTTCTGCCTGAAGTTCCTTTCGTGACTGCTCAGCGGCTAGTCGAGCCTCCGTCGCCCGTCGCAGAGTGTCTTGCTGAATGTACATCTCTTTTTCAATAGTAATCTTCGACTCGTTCAAGGAAGTGTACTTGTCCTTGAGCTCAGCCAGATTATGTTCTGCAAGCATCTGAACGTCGTCTCTCGACTGTCGTTCCCTGCTGAGATCAGCCTGAGCTTGGAAAAGCTGATCCTTCAGGTCGTGGATCTGCTGCTCTAGGAGTTTTCGGCTCTGCCCAGCTTCCACGTCTTCTGACATCTTGGCTTGAAGAAGTTTCTGAACATCGGCAGCTTCGCGCTCAAGTTGCACCTTTTCTGAAGCCATAGCATCAACCTGAGCCTGTAACTCTCTGAGCCGGTTCTGCATGCTGTCATGGCGATTTGAAAGCGCAGTCTTCTCGCCCTCTAGTTGCTTCTTGTCCTCGACATACTTCTTGGCTTCATTGCGCAAAACGGAGAGCTCGCTGTCTTTGCGTCTGAGCATCTCCTCGTAGCCTGTTGACGTCGAAGAAAGATCAGAGATTTGCTGGCGGATAGAACGGTTCTCGTCGAAAAGCTCCTTGACCTGCTTCTTCGATTGGTCAAGCTCCTTCGAGGTTTTCGCGAGCTTGACGTCAAGGTCTTGGTCGGTTTTCAGTAACTTCGCCTCCAAGTCCTGTAGCTTGCGGTCCTTCAGACTGAGGTGACTTTGCAGCATCTTTATTTCTTGGCTGAGGTCCTTCATCTCGTTCTCCTTCTCGGCGGAATGGTTTTGGGCCTCAATGATCCGTTGCTCAAGCTCGTCTAAGCTCTGCTGCATTTCCTTCTTCTCCGACTCTAGGCGTAGGATGATTTCACCGGCTTGCTCGAGTTGCGTCTTCCGTAGATCGAGTTCCTCCTCTGCCTTTTTCTTCGCTAACATCAGTTCATCCAACTGATCTTCAAGACTTTCCTGATCAGCAATAGCGCCAGCAAGCTTTTCGCTTAACTCGACCTCGCGGAGTTGCAGTCTCTTGAAAATCTCCTCCTTGTCGAGAGCCAAGGCTCGTTCGCTCTCAAGTGTCTGCTGGATTCTCTGCATCTCGATCTCGGCGCGGCGTCTCTCTTCTTCCACCTTCTGTCGATCCATGTGGTCATTCCTCATTTTTGCTTCGAGCTCTTTGATCTTGTCGTCTCTTCTCTTCACTTCCTGAGCGGTACGTGTCTCACCAAGAAGAGGCTTCATCCGCGAAAACAGACGCCACCAAGGATTTGACTTCATGTCCAGATAGGCCCGGAAATTGTGTTGGATGATGCGTGTGGCCTCCGCACGGTACAGTCTCTTGTTGGAAATCCGGCGTTGTACAAATCCTCTTGCCACAGACTGGAATCGGGTCATGATCGTACGAATCAATTCGTCACGCTTCTCTTCAAGCTCTGCTAACACACCTGCACGGAAGAATACTTTCGTGCGGCCAACTCGGAACCAAGCTTTGTCGAGTGCGAGTTTTTGCAGCATGATGTGAGCTGCAGACTGCCCGTCCATGTAGCCCTTGGGCATATCACGGCAGAGAACTTCATAACGTTGTCGAAATTCGGTAAATGAGAGCCGATTTGGGAATCCAGTACGGGCAATCCTGATACCCTCAAGGACACCGTTACACCGTAGTTGGTCGAGAACCAAGGGAGCATTCAGCATCTTTGGGCGCTTTTTGTGGTTGGGGATAATACACCGGACGAAATGAGGGTGAGTGGAATGAAGCTGGTTCATAAGGCTCGACAACTGTTCCTTATGTCGCTGTGCAACCGTACGGAATAAGCCCTTCTTGACCCGACTCTTGGGGTGGTCGATTTCATCATCAGCGCCCCCACAGTCCGAGAACAGCTCGGCGACATGGCTATCTTGCGAGGCCGCAAGGAGCCTAGTCACATTGTCGTTAAGAGGATGTTTATTTTTCTCCAACCAACCCTCAGTAGAGTACTCGACCTCAGCTGCATAATGCGTAAGGACAAACCCTTGACGGAGCCGAGCGGCACGATATTTTGGGGACTTGGTATCCCACAACGAATGAAGCTTGTCCGTAAAAGACCTATCTGTAGCTTTCGGCATGACAGAGTCCTCGTCCAAGCAAGAAAAGATACCAATGGGATTCGTGACTTCGATCAGATCAATTGTGGGCTGCAGGTCTTTGCCAAAGTCGATAAACTGCCACTCAATTTGCTCTCGTGCATACTCTTCCTGTTCCAAAACAAACATGTGGTGATTGAAGAACTGTTGCAGCTTTTCGTTGGTGTAGTTGATGCACAACTGCTCGAAGCCGTTTGTCTGAAATATTTCAAACCCGGCAATATCGAGAACCCCGATGAAGTAGCTATCCTCACCCGTGACAGTGTTTCGATCTAGGCGGCTGTTGATACGGTTGACAAGGTTTCCAAAGCCTCTCTCATAGATTGCCTTTGCGAGTGCATCGAGTGCTAGCTTGACCTGTTCCGGAGTCTGCACCTTTTCAACCCATTCGCGGCCGGCTTTGACCCTTGGGTGCAATAGACCCTGGACGAAGGGCTCTGGCTCAATTCCGAGGAGTTGGCACGCTCGTTGAACACTGTCGAGAGCATCACGACCGAGAGCAGCTTGATCCGCTCGTAAGCTCTCTTTCATGACGGTAATATTTCCCAAGTGAAGAACAGCCGCAACAGTTCGAAGAATGCACTCCTGGTCTTCTTCAGAGAAGTTCATGATATGAAATGCCTCCAGCAAAGAATTCCACTCGCCTTCGTCAGAAACACCAGCTATACTGTCATTTCCGTCTCTGGTGTATGCGAAATCTTCGATGTGCAAGTTGGAAAGCAGCAAACGCTGTCTCAGCTTCGCATCTGCACCTTTCAACAGCTGGTAGAAGATGTGATAGTTTCGTTCCTGCACATTTGGTTTCACCACCCGAGATTTCTCGAGTAGATACCAGTCAATGGAAGCACCGGAGATCTGACCTGATCGAGAGAACTCGATTCGGATGAATTTACCGAAGCGGGAAGAGTTGTTGTTTCTGACAGTTTGCGCGTTACCAAAGGCCTCGAGAATAGGGTTGGCCCTCAAAATCTGCTGCGAAAGAGTACTCAATTGCTTCGCGCCAGAACGTGAGTACATGTTATCTGATGTCGCAACCGCTGCGAGATATTGTATGACCTTCTTCGTGTTCTCCGTTTTGCCTGCTCCGGACTCTCCTCTGTTCAATAGTCAGACACTTACAATAACATGCGCGAAGCTGGCAAAAAGAACTTACGTCACAAGGATACTTTGATTTTCACCCTCTTCCACCAGGTTGCGGAAGGCTACATCGGCCATTGCAAAAATATGTGGCCGAGTCTCCTCTCTACTCCGTCCCTTGTACATCTTGATGTATTCATTGGAGTAAATCGGCAGCGGACAGTACGGGTTGATCGTGACTAAGAACAATCCGGAGTAGGTCTAGGGGAAATGTATTTAGTCAAGGTTCAGTGCGCTGCGCAATGGATTCGGATAGTCTCACGTATATTAGATCTGCTTGATATCGGGTATGCAGGTTATGCACCACAGAGGCTTCGTTCAAGTGTGTGAGTTCCGCCATATCATCCGCTTTGTCAAACTTTGCGGGATTGACCCGGTCAACTTGGTCGGCCTCCACTTCCCGTTGCTTTCACAGTGTAAGCGCATGCATGACTTTAGTATCAGGTATAGTTCCTACCTGTCCACCATCTGTTTGTACCAATAGCCGCCCTCCATCCTTTTCTTCTAGGACAAGTCCCTTGATGAAAGCCTTCTCTGGGTCACGTAACCAGACGTATTTGTTTCCGGAGAAGTCATTGTCACCTTCCTGTCCTCGAATTTGGTCTGCTCCTCGTCGCAGATCCTCTGACTTGATAAATTCTGGCGCAAACGTGCCGGACGCAGCATCGTTCCTCAAAGAGTTTGACCTCTGGCGGGTCGCATTCCGCGCGAAGGGGGCGAGGGAGGACTGCGCGATGGAAGAAGAATTCCGAAAGTGACCTTTGGCCTCTTCAAACTTCCCAGGCGACGCTATTATTGCAGATTTTGGTCGCGCTTTCGTCTGCGGGCTTGAGGATGGGGAGGGCGAGGGAGATGCACGACCGAAAGGATTAGCACGCTTCGGCGAGCCATTAAGCTGAGAAGGAAGCATTATTATTGTCGTTGTGATTGATAAAGCATCCTCCAGATGCAAGATGTTGAAAGAGAAGAGAGAACAAAAGGACAGATGCGAAGCTCAAGTCAATGAGCAATAGAGACTCGCTCAGCGCGGCATCAAGTCATTAAAACATGCAGGGAGTTGGGATGTTGACAAGAGTTGGGGTTTGATGTGGGAAGTGACGCAGGTGCAGGAACGCTTCAGCTCGCCCAGCCTGTTCGTGTCGAGTCGATCATGGATCCCAGCAACCCTGGTTCAGTCGTTGGTTGAATCGTATTAAACACCCCACTGTTGGCGTGGCTCTAGAGTCTGTTTGTTTACATGGGCGCCATGGGCGCCGGGGTGACGTTCCTGAATCCTCAGGCTCCCACACGCTGATCACTCTAGTCCCGATCTGGAGCTCCACATGTCACGTGGTATCTGCGGCACGAAACGATCTTTGTTCTTTTTGATGCTTCACCGCGCGGAGTCTCCAGCCACCCTTCTGCTGCCATCTCCCTCGTTCACCTTTTTCAATCCTTCACTTCACCCTCAGCCTACGCTAGCGCCGAGACCCTGCCGTCTGAGTACAGTTCGTGGGTTGTAGTCAGGGGTTGTGGATGCTCTAGGTTCCCTACTTGACACGCCGTCTCCCTCGTTCATCCTTTCGCTTCGATCGGAGTAGTGTGCGATGTCTAGAGACAGCAGACGCTTTCCTGATTCATCACAGAGATATCTGTCGTCAAGCGCAAGCCTCCTTGGAGCGCGCAGACGCTAAACATGTCAAATAACCCTATTCCTCCACCTCTCCCGTACTGGGGTCCTCTGAACTATACACAGCAATGGGGATCACATCCTCCACCATCGGGCACAGCGCCCCATAACATGCAATATAATCCAAACACTACCTCTGCGCCTCAAGCCCCGCAAAACCTCGAGAGTTTCTACGCGAATGCCAACCTTCCAGGCTTTGGGGTGCCGGGTGTGAATGGCTCTTTGCCGCCACCGTTCCCCTTCCCTGGCGCCTTCCCTCCCGCACCGGGTCCTCCTCATTTCCCAGCCTTGCCCAACATGAGCTATCCTCTGATGCCGCTGCCTCCTGGCCCTCCCAATATTCCACCCGCCGGGCCGTCGACAAACGACTTTATTCATTCCGCACAAATGAATCCCGCAAACTCACACCCCATGGCCACCTTAAGCATGGAACAAGAGTTGGATCGGGAGGAGGGCGAGTTGACGGACGTTGAAGCCCCTTCGGCGGGCAAGCAGCAGCCTTTTTCTCGCTCCACAAAGCGCCATAATCTTGGTGATAGTGCTGGCGGTCGGAAATCTCACGATGTGCGGAAGGCAAGAAACTCCAATAAGCTGTCGGGACAAGCCCAATTCAAGACTCCAAAAGGGCTCGGCGCCAAAACCCCTCCCAAACCTGCCCTTGCGGGTCGGCGCCATCGCGACTCTTCATCCTCAGATCTCGAAGAAGGCGAGGCGTCACCGGAACCTCCGCATTCGAGTAGAGACAGCGGCTCTCGTACGTTCACTCAACTTTGTCCTGGCTTTACCCAGCGCGCTAATGTACTATAGCATACAACCCTCCTATGCCGCTGGACCCAGGGTCTCCTTTCGCGTCGAAGTCACTACGCGAATCCTCCAGACCGCTTAGTCCAAACGTTGATGCCATGGATATCTGCCTTCCGAACTCCACTGGAACACAGGCATCTCCCGGCTCTGGAAAGTCGCAGGTGCCACTCCGAGTTCAAGCTCAAGGCGCCCTACTCAGTTTAGCACCACATAATATTCGTTACAACGAACTAATCAGCGAGGGCATCGATCCGGTCATACTGAGGCAATTGTATGAAGATATCGGCATCAAAGTTCCCACCACTCCCTCGACGGATCTCAGTTCCGTAACTTCATCTCACGAAAATGAGATCTCTTCGACTGGTCCAGTAGCGGAGGACAGGCAAGCGAAGCAACTTCCCCAGCAGCTCGGGCCACAGACAAATGGCGCGCAGGTGCCCTCAACCCTCGCTGGCCCGACTTCCGCGCAAACTCAACCTGTTCAAGCCAATACCGCCAAGCCCATGGAAAGAAAGGAGGTAATTGCGCGAATGCTCGCCGCAAAAAAGGCCGCCAAAAATTCACCAACCTCCGCACCACCCCAGGGCGACCCTGCCTCAACTCCACCAAGTTTACCCACTACGGCTGAAGCGTCCACAGTCTCGACTCCCTTGCAGGAATTGTCGTCAAAGGACCGAGAATTGCGTGTCAAGGAAAAGAACAAGGCGCAAACCGAATTAGCAAGGCAGCGTATTGAGCAGTTGAAAAAACAAGGGCTGATGAGAAGCCAGCAAAAAACACAGTCAGACAATCAGGGGCCGGAAAAGGAACAGGGGGACTTTATGCAAGAACCATCCCATCCCACCAGCTCCACCATTGTCAAGCATCCTCTGCCTGAACGGCCTCCTGTCCCAGATACCGCATCTTCCGATCGCATACCGGGTTTATTCATGACTGAGCAAGCCCTCGAGGTAACTAACGGCTCTGACACAACTCCCATGCAAGATGACATGCTCGATTCCGTGACCCAGTCTCGCGCTAGTCAACGTAAACGTCCTCGAGCGTCGGACTTTGATGAACCCATTCCTTTGCCCAAAAGAGCATACAGTAACGGTGCGACATACACACCGCCAGAGAGACTTGTTATTGATATTAGTGACGACGAATTCTACGGCGATGATGAAGATGTGGTAATGCACAGCGAAACGTTGCCTGGGGATTCTGTCAAAATTGCTATTGCTCCAACTGCAGACAGCTCATACCCGCCCCCAATCGATAACCTTCCACACCGGCCAGCAACGTCTCAGAGTCATAGTATCTCAACCTCCTCCACTCCTTTGAATTCTAGGAACCATGAACAGGAAGACTTGAGAAAGAAGGATCTTGAGATTCAAGCGATGCATCGACGAATCGCCGAACTTGAACAGCGAAAGAAGGCAAGATTGGCAAGTCGCACCCAGTCCCCGCGAAATTCGGACGTTTCACCTCCCGAACCCGTTAGCATGCCTGTAGCAGCGCTGCCTGACTCCAATAACGACAACGTGGAGAGTTTCTTGGCGCCGTTGGATGTTGAAAATCTGAGAAGAATGAAGGCCAACATCCTGCGGGTCCAGGAGATAGAAGCTGGCGTTCCTTCGTTGGACGCGGAGATACAGAAATCGGAAGCAAGGCTTAAGGTCTTCAAAAGAGAAGAAGAAAAGCTCCTGTCAGAGCTTGAAAGGGGCAAAGAAGGTCGGCGACAGCTGTTAGAAGAGCTGAGCAATCTGAAGTCGGAGCTGAATGGATTGTCGCTTGACCAAGTGAACACCGCACTCAGCAGGCTGGAAACGCAGGAAGAAGTGCCCGTTGGAGTCGTTCAAGGTATGCTTCGAAGATTGTCGATCCCAGGACCACAGCACCCGAATATAGCAACTTACGAGTCTCACGCTATAGCTCCAGGCTATGGTGAGAAGGAATCTTCAGATGAAAATGCTGTTGCCAGCTCAGAAGTAACTGGGGTCGATATGCAAGTTCAAGAAGATACCGCCTCTTCCCAGAACGCCGAACCAACGACCCAAGAACCAGAGCTTGCTGAACCTTCACTGAATGTGACTGAAAATCTTGGAGATACCGCCCTGGCAGATGCACCTGAAGATCAACAGTCAGATACTTCCATGTCTGAAGACTCGAGCTCAGCAATGGACGAGTCTTCGGATGATTCAAGCAGCAGCCCGGGCTCGGTGAACGAAGAGATGCCCGATGCACATGATCCTGTCATCGACCCAGTGCCCGCACTGCAAGAAAATAGCACAACCCCCCCAGAAATCCCGCAAAATGTGGATGTGGAGGATCAACCCTCACACGAACTCCCACCTACTAATATCCCACACACATCTGATATAGTGACCGACTCCGGTGAAAGACCAGCGGCAGAGACCGTGGACCACCGTGCTTCTCGCGAATCTTCTGTTTCGGAGGCCTACGAGCCCCCAGAACCAGAAGAATCCACCAGTTCAACTGGCTCGGATTCGAGTTACTCCCCAGCTCCTAGTCCCCATCCCCTCGACCCTACCATGAATATGGACATTTCTGGACCCTCGGAAGATCCACCTCAAGAAGCTGGTGAGCCGCTAACTGGAAAAGTCCAGGAACTGGATGTTCAGCAACCAAGCCAGTATTCTCAGATTGGCATTTTGGATGTGCGACAAACCTCAGTTCCTCCCGAAAGGTCCGACGCTGACTTACTCAACAGAACATACGATCACCTGAAGACACAAAACATGGGTTTTCACCTTATGTCAGTCTACTGAGGCTGTTTAAGTCGTACCGCTTCCATCCAAATTACAGTGACAATGTGTCCGACGGCTACCGCTCCCTAACTTATAGCCATAACATTGACCCACTGAAATGTCTTTGTCCATTCGAGTCTTCCGGAGGGGTCTGCAACGACCGCTCCTGTGAGTTCCAACATTTCCGGGACATGACTCTCAGCGGTGCGTCGACATCTAAACAATGATTTGCACAACTTCCCCCGTCGGGAATTTTCACTTCCTTACCTGCTACCTTCTTCTCTGCTTTCTTACCTTCGCCCTCCACCTTCACTTTCGTTCGTCAGCATCTTTTTAGCGTGCGAATGCTGACACACAGAGTTATTAACTTTGACAGATGATAAGATTCTCGTCCAAATGGGTTCCCTTAGGGAGGGGAAAACACCTGAAGAATGCGACAAATACATCGCCGGTCTAAAGGAGACCATCAACGACATGCGGCGCGACAAGGTGAAGGAGTTCAATACCGTCGCCGCAGAGATTGCTGCATATCGTAGACGCTTTCTTCAAGATCCCACGCGGATCTTAGCACTGTAACAACAACAGTTTCTTTGGTGCAACATCCGACTTTTCAAGTGAGAAAGGCTTCAAGATCCTATCAAGGTGAGCTGCAGCTCCAGCATCGGTACCAACAGAGAATCATCTCTATCTGAGTTTGGTATATCCGTGAAGCTGGTTCCCGCAACGAATCCTCGGCTCGATGAGCTCCTCATCTACTCATAAATATACCCAACTTTCTTCGCTCCTAAGGAGCCCCGACCCTCTTTTCTTCGTTTCCCATGTCCCTTTTCGTCGATCACTTTTTGCTGTTTCGCATGCAACGAGCAAGCGTGGAGTTGGGGGAAAGATCCAGGTTTATTTCTTTGCCCTAAGAGGGACGTAGGCGATTCACCCGCCTTGGAAACAGGACAGGCAAGAGAGCAAGCGCTCAGCAGAGCAGAACAAGAGAAGAAGAAAAGCACATGGACATTTCGCAAGGTCTTTCCAAGGCTGGGTTGAGCAGCATTGGCTTGCAGTTTCTCAGCCCGAATATACGTGCATATCAAAGGATGGATTGTACAGCATCAGGTTCTTGAATTTCGGATCCATGGGATACATGAGGAGTACATAGTCTTAGTGCCTAATCGCAACAAGCAATTGTTTATCCAGAACAAAGCCTCCTTCCACTTGTACTCATGCTCCCAGACACAATGACCCAATTCTCCGGCCCCAGGGTCCCCAAGAAGGCGGTGCCCCAGTCAGCCCCAACCCACCGCGCCGGGGCACGAACAGGGCACTCCGCGTCATTCCGTCATGTCTCTCGACCCAGTACCCCCAAATACTCATTGCCCGAAGTCTCAGAGTGAGGTAATGGCCCATAGTTCGCTCCACGAGCCCGTGAACCCAAGAACACCCGCACAACCCTCTGACTCAATTCAATATCATTCACAGACATATCGTGATGCAGTACGAAATCACAGACCCACAGCCCCCATTTGCCTGGGTCGAGGCCCCGTAGGGCAAAGCAAGGCAGGGAGGGGCCGGAGGGCAGTGCAACAACCTGTGCTGTGCCCGGCCCGCCCTCGGGCCCCGGCGGGGCCGACCTGAGGTCCTTCCTATTGCGGACCAGTTTAGATTGGATAGCAAGTTTGCAGGTAAGGGGGTTCAAACCTCGGCCCTGAGCCCGATGCCCTTGCTCATGCCCTGGCTGTGGCTGTGGCTGTGGCACCTGACCCGCATCGAGGGAGGGATGCGTGCGTGCCTTTTGAGGCGGAGGGGAGGTCAGGCGTGGTGTTTGGGTGCGTGGTCGCTCCTTACTCACCCAGACTCGGGGCTGCGCGCTGAGTGCTTGAGATTTCCAAGAGCTTATGTGGTCGAGCCAGATAGTGGTTGTATACTATGTATCATGGATTTAATACGTACGCTGATGAGTGCGACATGATCTTTTGATAATATGCAACTTGCAATGAATTCCAAGCATGAGCCTGGGAAGAGCATAAGTTCGCTATTATTCCTGTCTCCAGTTCAATCCTAGTATACTGATTAGAACGAGTAATTGATGTCGCTTCAACGTGGACACATGAAAAGTAGCCTAGAGGTCAAGGCAAAGAATGATCGACTGCCGCTATGCGATACGCTCATAAGCAAGACAATTAGGAATCACTAAATATGCAAAAAAGGGTCTATAAGCCAAGAATGAGGCAATCCTAGGAGCCTGATTCTCGTCGGTGATGTTTCGATCGTCTTCTTTTACGTTTCGAGTGTGCGTCTGTTGGGCTGGACTCGTTGCTTTCTAGAGGGGAGTCCAGTCCTGCTTCTCGTTTAAGACGGGCAACCACTGGACCAAGTGCGAATTCGCTTTCGAGACTGCTGTGGTCTCCGCACGGCGCGTGTTTGAGGGGGAGGAACCAGTCGAGGACTGAGTGGCCTAAGATTTGCTGGAGATTCCTCAAAGGGCTGCCGAGGTCGAATGGGTTTTCTCCTGGGAGCGTTTGGAGAACGGCAAAAACATGCTGCTCGCCATCTGCTGCCGGGGGAGGTGGTACCGTTGGAGGTGGCGGCGGAGGAGGGTATCCTTCTCCAATTCCAGGTTGAGAGGGCATGGGAGGGGGTGGCGGTGGTACCGGCGGTAGAGGATAAGATAATGTGCGAAAGGTAGGCGCCCATCTTGAACCGGGTTGTAGCCGGGACAGTACATGATTTGGTACTCGTATGGCTAACGTCCAGACGACAGATCGGCGGCTAAGGTTCTCGATTGTTGTGAGGTTCATCATAGCGAGTTGCAGAGAGCTGAGAGTCATTCCAAAAGTAAATATGCCAAAGAATCCGCTCCTAGTATGTATTAGTGCGGATTATAGCATGAAACGACTAAATCGACTTACAGTCCTATCCCAATGGCCCAATGAGGATTGACATCACCGGTCTTCGACTTGTCAACGAGTGCTTCAAACAGTTGAGGCCATGAGCTTACCTCTCGCCGCAATTCAGCGGTAAATATAGCCAGCACTATCAGAACAAACGCGCAAAATACCGCAGTATAGAAGACAAACTGTATGAAAAACTTGAATGACTTCTCGGATACCACTCCCCCAACCCTGAAAACGTCAGACAAAACGTGTTCTTGGCCAATGAGGAAAACTCACCAGGGGCAGAAGTGATCCATTTTTCGGACACATCGATCTACTTCTCGGCAATGGTGAGTTCTGTCGGGTTTATAGTGGCAGCATTTGGAGCAATAAATGGGCCTGCCGTCCGGTTGGCAAACAAAAACGTCTCTTTTATAGAACTTCTCTAATCCAGCCGTGTCCCATGGGAGGACCATAGGGCCCGCGTTGTTATCGAGTGCCTGCTCAACATCAACGTCCGACTTGTCCGTTATTGGCTTTCGACGTCGTCTCCTGTTTCTCCGGGGTCGTTCGCGCGAATTCCGGGTAGGTGCATGGGTATCCTGTCGTTCGGAAGTCGGCGGAGACGGTCGAGGCAGGAGGTCGGGGTTCCATATCACGGTGTACAACAATCGTAGGTAGGTAATGACCACAAATAGTAACAAGATGTAGAATACAACGATTATGGCGGCGCCTGCACCGGTGCGACTAGGACGGGTATACTCCAAGGTAGGGTGAATCAAATAATCAACTAAGCGGCGCTTTAGCGGAAACCTCAGGCCCGGCTGTCAGGCAACTTACTGCAGAGCGTCTTTGTGAGCGCATAGCAAGCATAGATGATCACACCGAAAAGTATCAGCGGGATGACGCGCGAGACTATCAAATTGACCCGACGGTCCGCCTGCCTAGCAGCCCCTGCCATCTCACTTTGACTCTCAAATCCGGAGCGCAGAAACGGATCTGCATTGAGAAATCATAAGAATTGATGTTGGTGACATATACTTTCAAACGTATGCATGGTAGACTTGAGAAAGAAGGAGTTTACATCCAAAACTTGAAAGGGAGAAATGACGCTGACAGGAGTATCACGATCGACGTTGGATGCAAACAGCGCAAACATACACGTGATGATAAGCTCCAGGGGGCGGTGCGGCTCCGGCTCTCAGTGGTTCCTCCAAGTCGCAATCCACGGTTTTCCTCAAGTCCCTGCATTGCTCTGCAAAGCACTTGACAACGGAGGATAACACTGCACCAAGAGCGACACACGGGATGCGGGCTAGGCACCGGTAGCTCCAAGACATCCATACAGCGAGGATGCGTCATCGAGGGCAGAATTCCTCCGAAGAATTTCGAAACCACGGTGCCTAGGGGTTCGAGGTCCCCGCGTCAAGAACAGGAGTGCTCAGCACATCCAAACGAACGACACCAGCTTGGACTCCACACCCGCGAACGCTCTTCGTGTTTCTCTTTGCGAGATGATTCCACCCTCGAGTAGGCACGAATTATTCTGCCTTTCTCCGTTTGTTGGGCCGAGCACTTCGCGGTTTCTCGTAGACCTCATCGCCGGAGGTCATCACGATGCTCACAGGGCACCTGGGCGTGTTTGCGAATCCTAGATAGACTATAATTGCCTGGGGGCTTGGGTCGGGAAGTGAGGCGACAGGCGCAAAACCCGGGCGAGGGTTAATAGGAGCCTGTATTAATTTGAAGGTGCTTTACACAAATTCCGGAGGGCTGGAACTCGGGACAGAATTGTTGGGATGAGTAGCTGTCTAGTATGACAAGCTCCTGCAGTATTGAAACCAACAGCTGCAGAGATCGCCGTAGGCGCTGGGAATATTTTGATGTGTAGGACAAAGGAGCAACAACATCATCCGAGTACCTCTGCAGAAACTCCGAAAAGGCAAAAAGTCTTATTTGAATATCTACCCATAGATTTTCAATTTATTTTTCTTCGAAAGAAGCTGACCAGGCAACAAGGGTAGTGGGTGCCTGCCGGCTGACTTCTGCGCACCGCGGGAACAGGAGTATGGGCGGAAGTCGCAGCACTGCATTAGCATTCACGGGAGGAGGGAGCAGATGATCTGAGCTGGATCACAAATCATAGCAATTCGGATTCAAACTTGATCTCCACTGCGTCCGAACCGGTCGTTCGAAAGACGCAGCAGCCTCAGGGCAACGCTGAGTTGCTGACCAAGAGTGGAGCCAACTGTCGTGAGTGCCTACCTTCCTTAGGCAGCACAAGGCTCGAGAAACAGCCCGCAGACGCGCGCAAGAGGAGCACACGCAAAACGGTTGGAATGAAGAAAGAAATTCTAAATGAAGATGCGCTGACGTTAACACGGCAAACTGAATGAAACGAAAAGCGACCCTCAGCTCTACAGCGCACTCGGGGCCACTGGCGGAGGAGACCCAGCGCCGGGCGAGGACGGGCGTATTCGACAATAATGCCCTGTGTCTGCCTCATGAACACCAGTCGAAACCTGACCTTGCTCGTGCTCCGCGGGTTTGACTCAACTGTTGCAACTAGCTCGACACGCTGCAATATTGAGTCAACTTGGAATATTCTGCAAAACGCTGCCCCACGAATCAGGCTGCTTTGTTCTGCGACGAGGCTTCGATGCAGCCATCGAGGTTGAAGATGCCTGGGTTTCCACCCATTGTGGCTCATGCTTCGCCCTTAGGGCGTGCATTGCCTAGTCTGCCTAGGGATCTCTCTTCTATGATTCACTTACATCGGCTTCAAATCTATAAAATAACGGCTTCCCCCTTCTCTTCATCTACCATCAATCACATCAACACTCACCTGCTCTACCTCGCCCTGCATCTGCCTTCTATACCGAAAGTCTCTTCTAGCACAACAAGCCAATCGACTCTACAATACCGTGTCTCAATCTTTGATCAATACCCTCGACTATCATCAAACCATGCCGTCCTCTATCTATCACGCTTCGCAAGTTCTCGAGAGCTACACACCTCTCTTCGGCTCGGCTGAAGTGGACACTCCTTCTAGTGGGCACGCCTCGCACCACCATCACGTCCTCAGTGCCTACGATAATGGCTCTACCCGGGGGCACAACTACAGCTCCTCTGAAATGTACATCTGCTGCAGATGCGGTGATGGGCCGAAAGTCTGGGCTCACCAGCCCACATGTGTTATATGCAACCACACATCCTGCGACGACTGCACTCGCGTGAAGTGAGTGCGAACCAGCAATGAGGTAAGTTCGCAACAAGCTTGGAACCCGTAGTACGGCATATACTGATACTATTCATCAGTTACGAGTTTATTGTGCGGAACCTGATTGACGTTTGATTCCGATTTTTGGAGCAATGCCAGTACCAACAAGAGTGACATACAGCGGCAGTGAGCATTTCTTTTTCTCTGGGTTAGACGGTTACATGGAGACCACGGGCATAATGCTTTGGATCACGCATGAAGATACACAGGTGTATACTATTTTTGTTGGAGTTTTTTGAGTTTTGATGCTGTTGTCTTGATGCGCAGGCAGGCCTGCTCACCAAGACCTCAGCCATGTCGGATGCGCTGCATTGTGGGATGGTGGGGGCGTTGCTCGGTGTTTTTGACCTCATTTTGTCTTCTAGATAATATTTTTTTTTTTCCCTGTCATTATCACGATTTCGGGATTTTGAATCATACAAGACTATTTTTATCCAGAATGATCTTCAACGGAGCATATTGATGTCGAAATGGGCGGCCTTAAACCAGTAAATCAAGGCACCATCCCAGTTTCCAGATACGAAACGAAGCTACCGTGAGAGCCTCACGAAAATGACAGGGGAGTTCAGCACCGATCAAATGTTAAAGGATCACCATCTCGTACCCTGGAGGCACTAGTCTACAGCTTGCAAACGAACCGTGGTCCTCTCCGCTTAAGCCGCAAGTCTTAACCCTGGGACAGGGTGGAGTCAATATGTGGCCTGAGGCCTGGGCCAAGATAGTGGATACGGCCGATGCGCAGCACAGCAGAAACGGAGACCGAATGGAGACACGCTCAGCTTCGTCTGCACGACAGCGACGTTTTTTTCGCGACGATCGAGGGCTAGGAAAATGAATTTGTCCTCTCAGCGAGTCCCAAGTCCCCTGTTTGACAGGTTGACTCCTCAGGCTCAGGGTGTCGGGGCTCCAGTTACGACCCAGTGGTGCGGGGCCTACCGGCACAAACATTCGACTCCACGAGCCCCAATTGCGATTTTCCCAGTCCCCGAGTCCTCCTAGCTCGACAGTTCCAACACCGCCGCTTCTGTATACATTCGGCCAAGCGATATATGGTAAAGTAGCGGTGTTTGGTCCCGAAACTCTGAATTTTAGTTGTGTTTGGGATGCTCAGCTCCGACTTTTCATATTGGAGTCACGGTCTACCACTCTGGCCAGTCTACCTCACTCAGAACATCTTCGATCTTGACTTTCGCGTTTCGCATTTTTCGATCTTGACCACTAATCAAATCTGCCTGGCCTCACCTGCTCGTCCTCTGCTGGGTATAGCGTCCGCAGAGCTTTCGAGAATGACACAGAGGTGCTGTCATGCAGCCAGCTTTGACTCATATCCTTCTTCCAGTTGCGTTCAAGTTCTTGTTTTGTGTTTCGGCGAGGGGCTGTGTTCCGGGTTATGAGGGGTAGTGGGTGAGGGTGAAGGTAGGGATTCTGCTGCTTCATCTTGCACTTTTTCTCCTCCAATTTATGAGGATATTTACAATGCTCTGTTGGAATAATTTTCGCCTGTTCAGGGATATCGATTTTCATTTTGAGGTTATTCGTGCGGCCCTAGGCTCGAGCGTTGGGGAAATGCCAACGGTACTTTCGGCGGGATTGACCCCCTCATCGGCCGGGCAATCGCACCATCTCCTGATTGGGGATAGCGGTGTGATCCAAGTATCTTCAGAGTCTAAGGCTGTAGATAACTATACCGCGGTCAATCATGGCAGTGCCATCCATCTACGGGGCATCGCTTCTAATCCTCTAGATCGCGTGTACATACTCGAGACCCTGCGAGTTGATTACGATCCCAACGTGACAGCCACGCTTCGTCGGCTCTCATGGCCTCATCCAATCTACCCCTCACGCAGGGCCTCGTATTCACTGCATCCTACATCTGCCCGCCTGCACCGCATAGCCATCGAGTCCGTTGATAACGTTCCACGACCTTTGACCGTAGAAAATCTCGTGTCCTGTTCACTAATATTAGATTCAATGGTAGTGCCTGCGGCCAACTCTATCTCCCTACATATCTATTCTATGTATAGATCCTGCAGTTACTTTCAGACTGAACGAAGAAGTGAAAAGGGCGGAGGGGAGGGGCCGTACGACGCTCACCCCTCGCAGCAACAGCGACACCAATTCAGATAGAAGAGGCAATGCGCAATGAGATGAGAATCGGAATGGTGGCTTAAGTCAGCGCGGCAGGATTTAGAGATCCAACAGTCCGGCTCAGAGGGTGACCGCAGCAACCCCTCCAACGTTTGTCCCACCACACCCCCAGCAGCAAGGGCTTGTCATTGTTCAACAATGCAAATTGCTGAGCCTCAACTTGAACCGCCCTAGTATTTACGGAGCCCCATCCATCCCTATTGTTCAACGTTTGACGGCGGTTCAGATGATTCTTTGGGGTGTACCCAACACTCTGGGTTGACTAATCTGCTCGGACCAGGTACTTGGGTACGTACTTGATACATCCCAGGCTGGGATTGGAGTTGGATTTGTCAAGCGTGGTCCGGGCCCCTGTCAGATTCCAACAGCTGCGGTCTGGGTCTGGCCTTAGCACAGCAGGTACTCGCCACATGGACCCAGGGGCAGACGAGATTATTCATGCCGCAAGGAGGCGGGCTATGTAAATTCCAGGTCAGCTTATGTGTTTGATCTACGTTACAGATAGGTGAAACACGGCCATTCTCGGCTATTCTTTTGGCAGCGGCTGGCTGCAGATTATGGGGCAATAGTGCTATTGTTGGTCAGCTCACTCAGATAACTATGTTGAGGCAATATTACTAAGTCTCCCAATACCTACTACTCCGAGGGATAGTAGTAGAGGCACCCTTGCTATCGACGGAGGTTATATGTTGAATCATCATGAAACACAAGACTGACCAGAGTCTAGACGTGACACTGCTATCCTCCGAGTCGCTGTCGCCAACAACGGGCCTTGTGTCTTCGTCTTCAGGCTGCCAATACCAACAGAATAATGCCTTGAGTCCAAACAACAAACCAACACATTTGGCCACTAAAGGAAAGAAGCCACTGATGAACTGGACTGACTAGCGTGTTGGCGATGATTTTTCCATCAGTTCTCCGATCATACTCAAACGAGCCACCCATATCGACAAGGCTTTCAGCAGGCATCGATGTCTTCCCAAGCCGGAAACGCCACCTTCGTAACCTCCGGTTCGGCTTTGACTTTGCATTGTAAGGCTTTGTACATCCGACACGAAAGAGAAAACCAGAGCGTTCATACATGTCCAGGGAGGCGCTTGAAGGCGTCCAGGTACGCTATGCAGCCTCCTTATGTTCGACAAGATATATCCTGTCGATATGTGGATCAGCTCGCATAGATGAGCGCGGCAAGCTCAGGTCCGGCTCGGCTACCGATTGGTGGTAACAGAGTTCAGGGAAATCTATAGGGCTGGTCTGGCGTCCCTGACGGTTTCGAAAATCTTATAGTTGTTATGTCGTTCGTCCTCAGGCGCTGATTACCTGGGTCAGATCGGGAATCTCTTGTCTCTGACGATGTAAACCCTAGGCTCGGACCGCCGACAGGAACACCTTCAATAAAAAGTCCACCACCTTCCCGGCTGTTGCCATGGTCATGAGCACCTGCCTTTCCTTCAACGTCAAAGGCCGTCAACTTAGCGAGCATCGGCGGTATCCCGGTCTTTCGGCGAGGCATAGATCCCTCGCACCAAGATCGAGGTGATCATCTCGGGAACATGGAGGAAGGCATTCGGAGGAGAGAGTACTTGGCCAAGAAGAACCGAGGAAGGCACTATAACGTATTGGAGTTATCTACCATGTTGATAAACCAAGTTAGCAGCTGTACCAGTATGATGAATTGGGTTTGTGAACTCTTCATCTGTCATCTAACGGACATTCGGAGATAAAGAAGATGGCAGAGAGGAGGAGGAGGAGCCATGAAGGTCATGATAATTAGACAAACAATATGAGTATTGACAGGGACATTCTCCTGCTTCAGCGAGTCAAAGCCATGCATATTCTTCCAAGATTGCCGTGGGATTGCCGTGGGAGGATGCAGAAGAAAGATCGGTTGAGGTCAGAAGGAACTTCAAGATCAACCCTCGGAGATAACACGAATCCCTGTCCATAATTCATCTCTTAACCACAGCGCTTAGGGAAAAGATATTAGATTTCCATATAAGAAGCTACTTGACCATAGCTAACCTTTGTGGAAATCATGGTAGCGCATTAGACTTACCACGAACCCAAACCCATACTTTGAACAACCATGGAACAATAGCAATAGCAACTCTGGCATTGAGGCTTTGGTATCTGAGCAATGACAAATGAAACAACACCTCTTCACCGCAACTTCATCAATATCCAAATCAACAAATCCAATGTTCCAAACTCCCTTTGACACGAACAAGGCTCCCCAGGCACCTCTAGGCCGCAAGGTTGAACCCTCCAGCCACCAAATAATAGTATGACGGCTCCGAGAATTTACCTTAAATCAGACTACATGGACCCGACAGCCTGAGGACATCGCCGAAGTCCTTCGGTCACCCCGGTAAAGTTCAACCAATTCATCCCATCCTGCCTTTGATCTCCCAATGGCAGGTGAACCATCCTCCTGGAATCACACCGACTTATTGAACTCCCCATATTTCCCCCAATGGCGGCGATTCCGTCCCTGGTCTATGTCCTTGAGTTGACCCTGAGGGCTCATGAGCCCACGAACCCCACGAGCCCACAATTACGTGGACTCATGTCCGATATGCCTTGGGTTGCGAAATCCATCCGTTGTTGAGTTTCGCGATATCATATATCTCACGCTTGGAAATTAGGAAGAATTTTCTCGCCGCAATTCGTCACCAGGTCCTTCAAGGCTCGTCAGCCACAACCCGAGAGTTTAAGCTCGTCCGCCAAACAAGCCAATCCCAACGGCCCCCAATGATCGCGCTGGGATATTGTGGACCTCGAAGGGGCATTTCAAGGCTCGCTCTGTCACTTGTGTCAGACCTAATACTAAGCTGACTGCTGCGCCTCTATGTGTGGCTGTTTGTAGGCTATCTAGCCTCGATTATGGAGGAGAGAGGGCACTTGAGTTTGCCTGGGCAACTTACCTCGCCCTGTGAATCGTTTATCGGGAGTGTTTTGCTCATTTTCCTCGTCTAATTCACTTAGTCTAGGTTTAGCTGCGTTGGGGAGACATTGGGTAATGGCTTCATTGTTGGACGGTAGATAATCATAGTGCCTTGCTCATGATACGCTATATACAAACGCCGTCCCTGATGCTCTATCAAAGATGCTCGTCAAACCAAATGGTCTATGGAAACATGTCCGAACCCCCGAAATTCTAACCCACAAAAAGCCCGAAAATAATGATGTTGTACAGATAGACGAACAATATTCAAAGAAACAAACGAAGCAGGAGAAAAAAAAACCGAAAGCGTGCAAGCACCGAGATGAACCGAGATAGAAAAGAGACCCAGAATTCAAAAGGCCGAAGGCAGAATATTCGTTTATAGTAGGGTAGCCGTCAAAAAGAGTTGTCGGGGGAAAAGGTCGAAGCCAGCAGAGGCAGGGCAGAAGCACGATCAAACTTGGCGGCAGTTGTCGCACCTGAAATGCCCACAGGCGGGGCAGCATTCTGCAAGCAGAGCAGGGTTGACAAGATTTTGACAGTGGCAGCAATACCACCAACCAGTCATGTCGTGACGGTTGCTTAGAGATTGGTTGGTAGGGGTAGTCATCTGGGAAGAGTTGATCGGTCCGGTGGTATTGTTGGTAGTCATGGTTGCCATTATTGCTAGACAAGTCAGCGACAGCCCATGGGCAAGACTCTGTTAGGTCCACGATGGACTCACTTTTGGATGGATCTCAACCGAAAAATCACAAAGTATGGAAGGGGAAAGAAAGTTGGCTTCGAAGATGGACAGCGGACTTGAAATATCCGAATAGACGATGTTAAAATAAGGACGGGCCCAGTTCGATCTTATAGTTGTCCCAGGGTCCTGAGCGCCACGATAAGAAGAATAGAGTTCTCCTCAACCAAAGGCTCTTTATATGACGAGTTCGGGGCACGATGCGTACAGGGTGAAGCCTCGTTTCCCTGAATCCGCAGCACCAACGCGAGCAGGCGTTCAGATGGGACCCAGGTAAAGGGTTGAGGTGGGCAAGGATCGTACAGAGCGGTAACAAGGTGTTGGCTGCTGGAGCAAGCGTGTGTATGTTCATAATCAGGGTCGTCATAAGGCGCCTAAGGTTGAACTTGAATAAAGGGTCGCGATATAATCTATCTAGGCAGCAAGCCCCACCAGTTTGATCGCAATGATCGCAACAGGGTGCGAGGCGGAGTCAACGATTATCTCTTTGAAGGCGATATGAGTCCTTTTTACCCTCGGGTCGCAGGCGGGTGCAACAGCGCCCACCCCGTCGAAGCCCATTGAAGGCGACAACAGGAGAGAGCGCAGCATCATCCTGAGAGTTTGCAACATTAGAGCGTCTCTGAATACCATAATGAAAGTATATTGTTCATGAGTCTGCGACTTGTCAGAGTTCAGCGTACTAAGGCTAACACGGAGAACAGGACGAAACAAGAGAACCCACTAGCACCGAGAACATGGATAAGCGACTTTTTCCACCTTGAAATTTGCGGATTCAAGAGACAATTGTTGAACAGACCCAGCGGACAGAGGTCCGCGTTGACGGTCTCAATTTTTAGACAAAGCATTCGGGTTGCGCGAAGGCGAGGTAATGACCCGAAGGTTCTTGGGGTAAAGCGATGTGCTGGACAGATCATGGCCAACCGTGGTTCCTGAAGGGAGAACTGATGGGGCTGTGATCAGCCTCGTTCAGGCTTTCTTGTGGTTGAGCATCTCCAGCTGCTCAGGCTGGGATCCAGCAAGCCCATTGATCCGCAAAACAAAGAGGTGAGAATCAAACCCGTCGGGCCGGTTTAACGTTTGATGTATAGAATGGATATGACATCCCATGATCTTTCAGAGCTAAGGGCCTTGATGGATGAACAATAACTCGCCATGACGTAAGCGAGGTCACAACCGATGTAGCTCGGATTTGGGACCTTTGTTTTGGGGCTTCGAGTGATGCTCTTCAAGGCTTGGGTGGTGGGCGCCTTGCGCCAAAATCAGTGACGGATGATGCCTTGATTCTGGAAACCCGATCGAAGACCCACGAGAAACGTGAGTGAGGCATCGTCCTCCCCTCGCAGTCAGCAATGTTGGATGAACGAATTCCCACTATGTCCGAAGCAGCGATACGACTAAACTTACAGCCAACGGTCTGTGTCCTTATTTTGAGCCGCATCAACGCAGGAGTGCCGTCTCTGCAGCTTCCGATGGCGATCTCAACGTGGTGCATGTGAGAGATGACGCCGAAAAGTCCTGACAAAGCCCACTGAGAAGCCGTTTCCGCTCCACAGAGACACCGCCAGTCAAGTCGGTGAACCGGCGGCGGGTGGCGACTGAATAGAGGCTAAGAAAGCCCCATGATCCATGAGCCCCAGAAAGATGGCGATCCGAGTGGTTGCAGAGATTCAAAGTCTGGGTTAGTCTGAGTCGGGGTTCGGGCGTGCAGCGAGGGGAAGATGATTCGATTGAGTTCAGCAACTGCGAACTTTGGGACGGACAGGGCGTGACCCAGACGGCCAGCGGCGAGTCAACCACGGATCTTGTGTTTTGATTCTCGGAATACTAATCCGCTGTGACCGCAATTGTCTTGCTTTGAAATCATCCTCGGATATTGCGAGCCGTTAGCACTGAGCACTTGTTGCTGTCTGGGGCAAAATACAGTTGCGAGACCCCTCGCCGGTCATCTGATTTGGCGTGTCTGTCGGCCCAATTGGAGGGGCTCCCTCGCCAGCTGCGTCACTGCGATACCACCGCCCTGTGGGCCTTCTTCTCATTATTGATCCCCCAGGCTCTCAGTCATCGTCATCTCCATCATCATCGCCCTCGTCTTCGCTCTCATCATTTATCTCCTCATTGGATCTCCCGATACCACTTCCGCCCACTTTCACCCCTATCTACCGACTTTCAAGGGGGATTCTGCGTCTTTCTTTGCCCGTTGTCTCAGGTGGATAACTCCACCACACTGCGGATCCCCACATCTGGGTGGCTTCGACTTTGGGCTGCTTTTTCTCACTCCAGCCTTATTTGCTTTTTCAATTCTTCTCTCTCCCAATAATTCTTGGGCTTTCAAAGCTTCTTTTGCTCTTCATCGTATAAGATCTACCTAACGCGAAAATCGACTCCAATTCCCCCAACATCCGAAGCCCTTTACCTCGCCCTTGCCGCATTTCTACGCTCAAAGCTCTTGCGCGACGGCAGGTTGCGTCTGCAGAAACTCGACGATGGGCTCTGCTGCACGCTACCGGCCCTTGTCCCCGGGGAGCTCACATATGATTGACCCTATGAGAGCGTCTACGGGCACGGTGCAGCTTAGCTCCTCCTATGATCCCTACGACTCTACCGCTGGTCGCCATGTGTACTCAGGCTATCGCTCCGACGTTCCGTATCTCCCCTCGTACGATCCACGATGTACAGTTCCCCCGCGATTGGAAGCACACCCGGTATCGAAGCAGACATACAGGGACCACGGGAAGCCTACCAAATTGAGAACCGAGTACGCCATCCGGCCCAGACAACGCAGCAGTACCACGTCCGCAACAGATTCACACGGCAGACTCGACATACCTACTGGCTCTCCAGTCTCGAGGCACTCGCCGGTGATACTGTCGGATTATGGCCGGTCTCCCAGCCCTCTCACAGACCAAGACGGCTACCTCATGCCTGCGTCATCTAAGCATCATCACAGGCGTCATCACCGACACTCCTCATCTTTCGACTACTCCAGTGATACCGGGCGGGCTCCGAATTCTCGAGCGCCCCATGGTGCGTACCCGATATATGACCACAGACGGCGATACCCTCAAACCGGAGGCATTCGGAAGGGCGAGGATATTGATGACATTGACGCATACTCCTACACCAATCCACGCGAGCAGTTTGAAAAAGAGGCCGCGGCAAAGTTGCGCTACCATCAAAGCGCCAGGAAAGAACGCCCGTTGAGTCTAACCGGGATCGATGACCCCCATTTCACAGGAAGAAAGGAGCCTCGAGCATTGGGGCCTCCTCCAGCTCGGAGAGGGTTTGAGAAAATGAGCCGGGACGAGGCGCGACGATCTACACACGGCTATGGCAACACCGAGCTTGACTTGGCAAGTCCTAGGCAACGGTCATCGCCACGTTCAGTCACCCTGCATCAGGATCCCGATGAAGGTTATTCTTCGTTCAGAGACGATATCGACGACACTCGGCTCGTTCACCGCGAGCATAAGCGCCCTGACAAGGACACGCGTGACCGAGAGCTTCAAGATAGCCGTACACCGAGGCAGTCCTCCACCAAGCTATCTGCGCCTTCTGTGTCCAGCAATGGCCTGGGAACGGCGGTCTTAGCCAGTGGATACTCGGATGACCTGGACTATGACCTCACATCTCGCTCAAGTCGCCATAGGTCCCGAGACCTAACAGTTCGTGATCACAGCAGATCGAGAAGACGGTCCAGACGGCGCGCGGAAAGTGATTCTGATGGGTACACATCGGATGACGACCTCAAAAAGTACCGGCGAGAGCCATCTGTACGTCCCAGGATCCCCGGTTCAGACAGCTCGAAAGAGAACGACCACCCGCACCGTCATCGTTCGCGTTCTCGCCACCACGATCCGTCTGCGAAGGAGAAGAAGCAGGATAACCAGAAGAAAGCTGAATCCTCGCCGCCCAAGGAAAACGACGCTCCGCCCAAGGGGATTCTGAAGCCCCCACGCGACAAATTCCCCGAAGAGCCGAACCCTGTCCGCGAGGGCGTCGCACCACTCAAGGATGCCCATAAGAAAGGGATCCCCCCAGGGGCACGCTGGACAAAAATCGACCGGCGGCTTGTGAATCCGGCTGCACTACAGGCCGGTCAAGAGCGCTTCGAGGAACGACCGGAATATGTGATAGTCTTGCGGGTGCTAAGCAAGGAGGAGATCCAGGCCTACGCCGTCAAAACACAGGAAATTCGAGGTACGTTTGCGTCGCCATTCACTGTGCTCTATATACTAACAGCAACTAGACTCTAGATATCGAGACTACGTCAGCCAACGCCGCCGACGGCGAGAAGAAAGCCGGCGTCGTGGGTACGCGATAGATGACTTCTCGAGCGACGACGAGGATGAAGATGACGATGCACCGCTTGCAATTGAAGGGCCAAGTGGGTCGAAATCAGCCCAGAGGAATTCAGGCACAAGGACTGAGAACGCACGGCCAGCATAGTGGTCAATCATGCTTAATGACGATCTGGATAACTTAGACATATTGGGATATTGTTTGCTATTTGGAAGATTTATTAGCGTATAGTACTTAGAGCAATCAAGCATATGTCCACCACACCACAATCTTCCATGTGTAGATACCACAGCGTCACTCCGGCACACCACATCCAATTTGATAAAAGGCACATCCACAACAAATATATATCGAGAGAAGGAACAACATCCCCCGTGACCCCCTTAACTCCAAGACTCACATCGCGCACTCCAACTTATCGGCACCAACCATAGGGCCCATAGCAAAAAGGTCGTAGCAGCCCAGGTTACACACAGCCCAACAAACACCCACTAGCACATCCCATGACCAACATGGAAGACCAAGACCAAGACCGATGCAAGACCGCTTATCCTCGCATCGCAAATAATCGCTTTCCTTGTTTCCTTTTCGGCAGACCGATACCGACCTGCCTGCTATGGTCTTGACTCATTTGCTACCTACTCAGCAAGCAGCCAACCAGCGATCAAGCCATCCTTCCCTACAACTGGACGTTGGCGCGGAGGTAGGTAGGTATGCTGACATGACTGACACTCACACTCACTCGCTCACTCATGTCATTCGGACTACATTCCCATTTCGCGCTCTGGTGCGCTGCACTGAGTATTCTGTGGGATTGGGTAGGAGATACGGAGTAGTAAACTTGCTCACTTTCAGCCTGATTTTTTACTCTGTGCGTTATTTGTTAGGTGTTTTTGATATGGTACGCCTGACCGGCGCCTACACATATACGGACACCTACTTGCGCCCTCTTACTGAGGGGAGCGGGGGGAGGATGAAGAGGGGGTAGGAAAGAGCACCTCGCACCCCCTCGGGCTTCTTGGTTGTCAGCCACACGCGTGGTTTACAAGACAATGGTTCGGGGTGAGGATCATAGCAGAAGGGGGGGTTGTCGTGCGCACGCGCATTTGCGAGTTACGTAGTAGTTACGTATATATATTTTCCCGGTGTAGAGTAGAGTGTCAATACCTCTATCTACCACCCCGGGGTAGGGGTTCCGAAAACCTAGGATAGCAGGGCCTCGGACCAAGTTAGGCCACGGAGCCTAAGATGTGCCGTTGTGTACTCCGTGCTGAGAGAGCTACGGAGTATAGCGAGTGATAACTAGGAAGTAATGTTTGTTTGCGTCGATATATTTTCCTTTTGCGGCGGCTCGGCCGTGCTTGGAGCGATTTGCTCCGGGGTTTGGGCACAAGAGAAGGAAGGCGAGAATCGGATGTGAGAAGGAAGAGGCCCGCGTGTGAGTGCCGTTGCAGGAGGCTGTACAAGACTCCGTTAAGAGTACTAGTTGGAAGCTCCACGGCTTGCCAGATGCGCGCTCATTTGCCGCACGGCGCCAGAGACTCATAGTTCTCCTGCGTTAATGGTACGCAGTACTCACTAGGTATGGTGCAGGTACCACCGCAAGTCGTAGTCTACCCTCCTTCAACTCCTTCAGCTCCTTCAACTCCTTCAACCTCTCTCATCCACTCCTCAACGCTCATCGAGGTTCCTCGAAGAATCCCCTTTCTGTAGCCATGCATAACCGAAATGATGGCACTAAGAAATGGCCTGGCGCTAACCCAACTAAAAGTCATCGATAATCAAGCGCAGAGGAGCAGGGAATCAGCGGGAAGACGTGCATTAGGGGGGACGGTCAGTGTGCATGGATCCCTTGATTCTGTTCGTCTGTCAGATACTGGTCCGCAGCGGGCACTGGACAGGACGCAGTTCAAAATCGATGGATGTTCTTTTTTTCTGCCAGTATGTTTACTTTTTAGGCCACCTGTCAACGTGGGACTCGACGGATATGAGATCGTGATGGATGGGATCACGGACGGGATTCACATGCGCAGTGTGAGGGGAGCGCAACTGCCGTGGTCGGCAACAAAGGGATTATTCCTCTTTTTTTTCATTAATAATAATTCTTCTGGCTCGCGCAAGCAGGTACCAAGTAAAGTGTCTCAGGGCCTCAGAAACGGTACTTCGGGCATTCGCGCGTGGTGAGCCGGTTGAGTCTCCCGATGACGAACTGTCAAGCGAGCTAAGCTGATGTTCCCCCAATCACAGCCTGGCCTTCAAGAGCAACGGTGAGTCTTCAGCAGCAAACGAAGAGTCTGGATGGTGCTGTGCCAGCTGTGGTTTTTTGGTCGGCTTCTCGGTAGTCTCAAAAGTACACGAACCAGCTCGAGTCTTTGAGTCTGAGTCGCTGCTGAAGCTCGCGAAGGGTAATTACAGTACCGTTGATACGCAGCCTTTCCTCTTCAACGCTCCTGCATCGCAAGGAGAAAAGTCGCCGCGAAGCTTCTGAAAGGCCATATTGCTGAGGGGTTTTTTTCCTGCCGCGAAGGAGAAGATTCTTGCCAAAAGATCGTCTGCGAAATAAGTCAAAAAACCTTACCTTGTTGCTTCGTTTCATCTCCCTCGGAACTGAATTCCTCCACAGAGACCGGCAATCCTTTGCCCGTCTCCGCTTCGCTCAGCAAAAGCAAACAGAACGATATCAACGCCGCCTCCATCGCTTCATTGTGCGGAGGTGAAGACTCGGCTCGGAAATGAACTCTGAACCTTCGTCTTGCTAACCTTGGTTCTCGCCTCCCCCGCTAGCTGCCGATGACCACTCTTCTTGAGTTTCATGGATAATAAGGAGAATAGGACCTAGGCCCTCGGGTGGCAGTCGCACGGAGAAGCGAAGGGACCCATCCGTCTTCGTTTCTTCCAGCCCAGTTTCCACCTTTCTCAGAGCCGATAATCACCCGTCGAAAGGACTTACTATCAGGGTCAGTGCGCGGCGATTTAGCCACCATCAGCACCTAGCCTTAAGAGATGACATGGCTTGATCGGATTTGACTGAGATCAGTGAGATGATTCTTCCGCCCGCACTTAAACTGCTTATCCATCCATAATCCTTGCAAGTCGGAGTGAGGCTAAATTGGTTGGCGGTAACCAGAAATGTCTCTGTTGATCCTTCCGGTCCAATCTGTACCAAACTTTGTTCTCCATCGAGCATTTTGACAAAGAAAAGCAGGTTCCGATGCCTAACAAAGACGGAGTATATTCCACTGCTAGTACCACAGTGCTCCGGGTGGTGGGGCCGCACTCCTGGTTGCCTTCCAAATTCCCGCTGCCAGAGTTGCGAAGGGTGCGCATTATTATTGCGAACACTTGGGCTCAGATCACATGTTCTCAGGCTAAAATCTGACTGACACGGAGTCGTGGTTTCATTATTCCCCCGTTTCTCGGCTGGTTCCAGCCTGTATCGTATAGGAGCAATACCGGTAACGTACGAATAACGGGGAGGCTCCATCACCATCATCCTTAGCTTTGCGCCTCTTCCGTGGAACCCGTTAGGAAATGGAGCACTTCATAGGGGAAGCTCTGAATACGAAGCGCCGTGAGATTCCAACACTAACAGCTTTTTCTGGTTACTCGGCAAATCTCGTGGCGATTTCGCGAACGTTGCAGAGGATCTCGTGTAGGATGATATTGTTGTCTGGCCGAGGATCCGATAACAGGTTTAACAACCCCAAGCTGAGCCATGGAACATGGCCCGCCGAGCAGATCGTTCCCAGTAGTGTCCACCCCCGTATGTAAAAAGCGGCTCTTTGGGCCCATGTCAGTCTCGTACCCAGACTCCGGACGAAGTACTCCCTCGATCTGGTCCGTTCATGCCGAGGCCCAGTGCGGAGACTCTGTTCCTCTCAGCGTTTTACAATGTGCCTGCTTTCGAGTTGACTTCGGTCTTTAGGCTGTTCGTCTTTTGTCTTTTTCCGCGCCTTGATGACGAGATTGCTTTTCAACTTGTGGACAGGGTTAGCTCATATCATTCTCTTGCGGAACAGCAGCAATAATAGAACGAGGTTACTATTTTGAGCAATGCAAATCAGAGAAGCCTAGATTTGTGTGTGATTGTGGGACGACCCACGGGGATTCCTTAGGCGAGGACGGTACGTCGTGACAATTGCAAAGCTAGACCGAGGCTCTGGAGAAGGCAGACTTGGCTGAAAAGTGGGATGAGCTTTTCCGAAAGACAGCAGCGGAGTGACTGCTTGGTCAATTAGGCGCAATGCTTTTGGCAAACAAGAGATAGTTTGAAGCAATTTTCTTTGGCTCCTGAGGTCATCCTCTGGTGATTTGAGATGCGAATAACGGATGACAAATTATTGTGCAACTTGTCCAAGCGCAACTTTACGGGCTTCTGTTTTGCGCTCGGCATCGCTGAAACTTCGGCAGAAGTGGAAGGGAAAGTCTTCGGCCCTGGGCTCTCTGGTCGCGCTCGTGCCAAGAGGCCAAGGATATCAAGATTTTCGGTTGCAACTTGTCCCAAAGCTGGACTCCATCATTCCCTGTCAGATGCCGAGGATACATCGATGCAGAGGGAGGGTGTGTTTTGAACTTTTGATTGAGAGGTGCTGATTGGGCGCTGCGGGTGCGGTTTTTCCCGCAGACGGAGTAGATTCCTTGTCCTCCGTTGGATAAGGAGAACGGACTCGAGTCCTCGATGGAGTCTACTGAGTATCAAAAACTTTGACCCACAGTGTCATTACGAGGGGTACTGTTAAACCGTTAAGGCTCGGATATTGAGGACCAGAATAACACCGTGTTAATAACTTCGAAGAGGCGATCACGGATAAGTTGCGGATGCTCGCAAGATATCGGTTCGTTCCGCTTATCTTTTGTTCTGCCTCTAAACCTCCGAAAGTTTGAACGATGGAAGCTGGCAGGATCATTATGACGCTTTTCGAGTCGCAGAAGTGGAGCCATCTGCGGGGCATAAAGGATCGCACATCGAGAGACGTGAACAGTGCAAGCTCACTGGCTCCCGATTGCTCGATATGCCCAAAG